GGTGAAGAGCTTCGTGTGTGATCCTTCTTCATCGACCACCCTCAATTGGGGATTGTTTTGATTCTCCGTTGGGGACTCATAATCTCTCCTCATGGCCCCGCAACCCCGACTGGGGTGCTGAAGGGGGAAGAAAAAGAATTCACACACACACACACCAGCCACTGCTGGAGATGTGCTTGAGAGGCTGACACACGGGGTGAGAAAGTGTAAAATGTCCTCGCCATGTCGCCCCACAATAAAAGAGACACACACCAAAGGCTCAAATCCGCCCTCGTGTTATTCCATCCTGTCGATTCCTGCCGAGCTCGAAAATTTAATCAGGGGATGATTCCTTACAGACGCTCTCTCACACTCTCTCCACCCTTTTCGCAGCCTCAACAAGAAATCCCCACTTTCTTTTGCCATAGGAATTCATGCAATTGGATTATCTCACTCAGGAGTCACTTAAAACTAATCCCTCTGATTCCCTCAAAATAGCTTCCTTCCACTGGAGGAAATTCCCCAGGAAATATTATTCCATCAATTTCCCAGTGGTTTGCAATGAGATAGAATTTGATTAGAATACAGTTGAGACTTTAAACGTCCTGCATGGTAACTAAAGGAGAAATAACCTTCAAATTGATAGTTTTAGTGTTTTTGTAAACTTTAACTTTGAAAATTACAATGACCGCAATGGTCAACTCTTCCCAATCTCTTACTAAATCTATTACTTTGACTTTCCTAACCTTGTTGAATGCACTGAAATCATGAGAGTCAAGAGGGAAGGTCCGGAGGGTGAATTCCAGTCTGTGCTCTATGAGCTCATGAATTGATGCCAAAGGTCAAATATTTGCTCACCTAAACGTCCCAGTACTCGATCAATAGACACGTGGAAGAAGCCTGCCGCTCGTTCTCACTTGCTAAATAGCATTCATCGATGGTAAATAAATGAGATGTGCCGAAGAATGGATCAAAGACATCAATATCTATGGCACAGGGACGATGGAAATCGTTGGAACAGAAGAAAGATTGCGATATGTGGGTGAAAAATGAGGGGAATATTCAGTGAGTTATTGTGTATATTTTGCTGTTTATTTAACCAATACCGGGGTAATTAATGAAGCTTCCCCGGGGAGCTTTCCTTTCATCGCTCTTACGAATGGTCATTACCGAGAAACAGTGACACAAATGAATGGTGTAGAGGGTGAAAATAAATCAAATTATCTCATTAGGGGAAATATTGCAATTGATAATTTATTAATTATGGGCCATTGAGTGAAAAATGGCAAGTGATTTGCTCACCCAGATCTTAGGCAGACGCATAGATGTGGAATAGGGAAAATTTTGCGATTATGGTAATCAGACCCAAGATGATTTCTCATCAGATTATAATTTATCTCCACCCCCACACTGTGAGAATCCCCGCAAACTGTGGAATCTTGTGCATTAATATGCATCTAGTTGCTGCCGCTCTCAAAATGAAATCCAGATTATATTCTTCCACGTGAATCAGTGATGACGGCGCGGGTCCACGGATGCCTGGAAGGTGGGAGTTTAATGATTTCCGTGGGTGCGAAATACACCATCGCGAGAGCGACATGCCTCCAAGTACCACTTCGGCTACCATATAATTTTGTCATTCATGAGGCCACTAATTCTTAATTACCAATTATACAGATTTTCCACCCCACAGCCGCCAGTCCTCATGAATGTGGCAAATGATTCTCGGTGCGCGTGATGTTTTGTTTGGCGATGCCGCTGTGGGTATCGTGGCATCTGCCAGCATTCCCAGGAGTTTTATAAAGTCATGAGCGCGTCAATTTTCCTTGCAGCTATTTAAAAAACAACCCCATCCACAACTCCACGGTGTTTGAGCCGTTTCACGTGGCAAACGTGGGAATTATTCCAGCTACTGTTGTGAATTTTTCTTCTCATCCAGCAATGATTGGCGAAGCACTTTCAAATGAATATCGCAATGTGCGTTTCACACATTTTAGCCTTAAGTGTGCCTGAATAAATTGTCTTCAGTGAAGCAGAAATGCTCAATATAACATTCAATTGCATGCAAATTGTTCCTGAAAACTAGAAAATTAGTGAGAAATTGGGGACAATCATTGGGTTGAATGTGAATAAACAATCTCGTATCATCTCAAATGCTTAATTACATCACAGATTTGTAATTACTGCAGCTTTCTGCCGGATAGAACACCATGGAATCAGCTTGAGACACAAAATTAAGAGCTTCCCTGAGGAATGCGGGCGGGTGAGTGAGACATTCTCAACATGGCCTCTGAGTTGTTCATTGGGAATGCAAGACTCCAACAATGCATTTCATCAATTGAACTCCCAATGCAGGGGGAAAGCAAACTTGCAGACATCCTACCGTCACGCAACCTCATTGAAAAGCAATCAACAGTGTCCCATTGCTCATTGAATTCAATTGAGTGCCTGGAATAGAGAAAGAAAGCCAAGAGAAAATCCCTCCTGATGCGCGCTTTCACTTAGTAAAATCCACAGGAGCTTCACTCAATAATTAATAAACTTTGTAAATTACCCAAATGTGTTTATCTCGCACTCTTGCAAAGATTACTAGTCTTCTTGGGTGGAAGGTTTGCCTTTCCTTGTTGCTCTGCAGGAGTCTGAAAAGCATAGTCAGAGAGAGAGATGAACGAGAAGGAGCTGAAGATTCAAGTGGGATCAAAGTGTGAGCCACAATAGTGCGCATTAATTCCATCTCTACATCCTCAGCATTTCTGAACACCACCGAAATCTCTTTATAGGCGACAAAGTTGATAGAAACAGATTGTAATTCGTGTAGATTATGATTCAATAGCGCAAATGATCGACTGTGAACGAAATTAGAGGAAACAGCACAAATCTCTAACTAGGTTTCATGCCATCCAAGAGCCTTTACAGAAAATCTTCGCTCCTTAATCTTAAATCTGCAGCCTCAGCAACTCGGTTGTATGTACTTCATGTATACAAATTTGAGGATATAAATTCATATCGAAACACTGATCTAAATAGCAGTTAACATGAGGGGGAGGCAAAAGCGTGTTAACAGCAAAGCCTCGTCATACTTTATCCCCTCAAGAGAAACTCCAAAATCTCTTATACTCTCACTTCCTGGGATTTGTTCTTCAGACATTTTCCGCCGTGATGCTGCCTAGGCACTCTGATCCCGAATTATGTGGCAGAATCTGTTTAGTCACCCAAACATCATCGCCACTTCAGGCGTGCCCTTTTTGCCGTGCGCGGCAATATGAATTTCCCGAACTGTCGGAAAGGGAGCCAAAAGTGCAGGGATTTCAGATACACCCGCCGTCAATGTCGATCGGATGTGATAAAGTAAATCCCTTTGGGGTTATCAGAGACTGGCAGGTGTGACATGAGAAGATGAAGAGTCTCACCGGCAACAGATTGCAAGTGAATTAGAGGATTTGTTCTAGTGAAAGCCTTCAAAAGCACGGTATTTAATGCGATTTTATGCAATAAATTTCACTTAATCAAGCCACAGTGCAAAATCACGAGAAATCTTCAATACCAAACAAAAAACCTCATGAATTATGCATGAAACTCGAGATTTGCGACAAATTTCTATGGCTCTCCTCTCATGTGGTTTGATCTCGATCAAAATGCCACTCTTGTTGTCTTCACTCCCAGTGTTTTCTGCATAAACAGAGAAGAATGGAAATCTCCAGGAGTCAGCCTGCATGGAAAATTGTGGAAAATGGTCACGTAAGCTGTTGAAAATAAACTGAAAAGCTCAACAAATACAATCTTCCAGCCACATTTGGGGTGGAAAAAATGAACAAAATCTTCGTTAGATGAAAATTGGCGGGCAAATTGTCCCTGCGTGCCATGAAAAATTCAATACCACAAATTTCTCACCACTCTCGATCTTCCATAATCCCACCCTCATGCATTTTGTGACAAAATTCTATGATGCCTTGGCTCGTGCCACTCTTTTCTCATCCCCAAGCGGCAGATTTATCTCGCCCGTTTATCGGGATCATAAAGTGCAGACTCGAGAGTTTTGCCACACTTTTTCCACGTGCTCAATCTTATTAATTTGCTAGCTTGGCTGAGGGTGAATCCATTACATATTTTGCAATCAAGGGGATACGCTATATTTTTTTTTACATAATCATCTACTATTTCAAAGTTATCTCTCAACAATGCATTCCATTTCGAAAGCTCGAAATATTGACAAACGTATATCAGATCTGCGTCAGAATTTCCGCCGAAATGACTCGATTTATTGAGAGGAAATGAGATGTGAGTGGAAGAATGTGCAAAATGCAAATCCTTGGACAACTCTGTCCACTCCTGTCTCGTCAATCCGCCCGGTAACAATTGTGTCTCTCTCACACATGTTGGACATTATATTGACGAATTGCACATTTGATATTTCACATCCAGTAGAGAGAGAGCGTTTGTGTGTCCCCGAATTCTGCATTGGTGCTGTGGATGCTCCCATGGGAGGTTCGGGGTAAGTAATTTCCTTACAAAATGAATCAATACAATCACCACAGATCCAGAGCCGAGGGTGCAACGTGAATAACAACCTCCAACGTCTCTGAACCTTCATTTGCAATACGCATTATCCATTGGAATTCGAGTCAAATAATAATATGGGATACCGAAGGGCCGGGGGAATACATTTTGTTGAGATTGCTTTGAGATGCATTTGGGAAAGAGGGCACCAAATATCCGTTGCGTCTGCAAAGGGAGCACACGAATATTTATTCGTTGAACACACACACACGTAGTAAATTGAATCGACTCTCAAGGAATCCACTGACTGATGTGAAATGGTTTGTGGGCATGTTTTTTTTTTGGAACAAGTCTCATTGAGAAGAATGTCGAAATTCATGACGGAAGTGAAGTGCGGAAAGTCACGCAGGAAGTGCGACTCGTGTCCGTCGGAAAATCACTCAATCAATAGCTTATTTATCGCTATATTAACTGTGTCCAATGGGAATTCTTTACACACAGTATACTCCCACATTTTTCCGCTTCTTTCATTGCTGAGCAGAACAATTGCAAACATGCACTTTATTTCAATCAATTTATTCTCATCATCATTTAAAAATTAATAAAGGAAATCCACTGTTGTCCGATAATACCAAAATGGACAAGGATTCAGAAGATGTCTATAAATTCTGGGGATGCTGGGAAACAGATGTTGTTTTTATATGAAAGAAATTAGCTTACTTAATTCTCGTCGTCCTCAATTTTGGGCGCCAAATAGTAGCGGATGTGACCGAGATCGGCAATCCTGTACTCCACCACGAGGGGCACGTCCATGGACATAGAAAGCTGCACTTGGGCCGAAAGTGGCGTGGCCTTGGTGAAGGAGTTCAAATAGCGACAGGCGAAAGTGAGCGTCACGGGCTCTTGCATTTCAATTATGACTGCCTCCTCCTCCTTGTCTATGCTCGTCGTCTGGGCCAGTTTAATGTTCGCGGAGCCCACGTCGCCAGAGGATGAGAACTTGACGCCCTCCTTGGTGCAGCAAATCACTAGGGACTCGCCGAACTGAGAGAGATCTCGGCAGATGCGAGCAAACTCCATCGCCGGCATCCGCACAATGCACGCATAGTCCGTCTCAGGGATGCCCAAGTGCTCCTGATCGAGATTCATCAGCTTCATCTCGTAGTCCGAGACCTTCTCCTGATTCTGCGACTCGAACATGAACACCACTGTGTCGGCATTGTCCTGGGCCTTCATTGTCACGGTGTCATCGTTGTTGGCGCATTTCATGATTTTCGCCATGCTTCCCAGATTCATTCCCATCGACAGATTCCTGTCGCATCTGTACTTGTCAAAGCCATCCGCTCTGAGGGTCAAGGAAACCAGGGAAACGTGGGAGTTGTCCATGGCTTGGAGCTGTCCGGAAAGAAAGTGAGGTTAGGGTACTTTCCCATCATATATAAAAACCATTTTGGGGCGATTGGGGGAATTCAGTGTGGCCAAATTTGTGCAAGCTGTGCTCACCTGAATCCCTGAGTCATTGCAGTCAAATGTAGCCTCATTCAGCAGGTCTTTAATTGCATCCAGAACCTTCTTCAGAGTTGTGGCGGATCCCAATCGTGCTTCAAACATCTTTTCACTTGTTATATCACGTTCAGTCGGGAATAATAGAAGCAATAAATTGATTTGAGCGTTAACTCAAATAAATCAGATGAATAATCTCTGAGAAAATTCCTCGAGAAGACCTCTTTCACAAGAGCACGAAACGCGTACTTTGCCGCCTGAATCGCCGTCACAGTGACATCCCCAAAGCTTTTTCGCCTGCTTTCGCCCGAACTTCTTTCGCCGGATAAAAATGCAGACAGATGTCGCACTCGTCGTTTGGAAGCTCAAGGGATGCGCATCGCACCGCAGATTGAATAAAAAACCATCTTTTCCAGGAGAGAGGTTTAAAAAAATAACCAGTTGTCTTTTCTAGTGTTTATTTCTTAATTTTGCAGGTCATTTTTGGTGAGTACATATTCATTCTTGTTATCTCTGTACGCCAGAGGATTTTCCGATTGGCGTTCTCGAATGTCGTTGATCAGCTCTTCCTTGGAGGCATCTTTGAGGTTCTTACCCACGCCATAGAAGGTGTCTTCTGTGTAAACGCGATCCTTTCTTCTCTGGGTGCCATGCAGTGTGTCCCAGTATTTAATATTGAAACCGAAGTTTACGTGGAAGTACTGATGATGATTGTCGTGGAAGCTGGCGTCTGGCTGCCAGGGTTGCCACCATTGGGCTTTGAAGGCCACTCCAGAATGATCCAGAATGGCATGGTAATAGGAATAGAGAACAACTCCATAGAAAGGGGCTGTAAAAGCAAAGGGAATCAGCGGCAATGCTTTGGCTTGACGGGCTTCACTATAACACTTACCCCAGTGAATTGGGATGAGAAAGATGGGCAAGAGAAGGGTGATCTGGATGTGGACAATTTCCACGGGATGAATGGCTGTCACGGAGAAGGCAGTGGGCTGCTTGTAAGTGTGGTGGAGCTTGTGGAAGCGCTTGTAGAGAAATGGAAAGTGGTATATCCTGTGGAGCCAATATGTGGTGTAATCTTGGTATATGAAGTAAGCGGGAATCTGCAGAAACAGCCACCACCAGCCTTGTTCATCCCATCTGTAGTAGATGGTCAAGAGAGGGCCATCGTTGGAGGCATAGCAAGCCAGAGTGCCCGTAATGATTGAGCAAATGAACAAGGAGAGACTTCCCCAGAAGATTTCATGCAGTTCCAGTTCGGGCGGGAGGAATTTTTCGGGTTGTATTTTCCACTCGTGAGCCTTATGGCGTCTCCTAACGTAAAAGTACCACTAGAAGAAGAACAAGATCTGTGTATTATGATCTTGTGGCTGTGATAGAGGATTTATTTATGACTTTGGACGGAAGATTATAAATTTGGAGTCTCAATCGATAGATTAGAGGTGTTATCAGTCAATTGTGCCTATTGATTGGTGCACATGAGAGCAACAGATTATCGATATTGGTTGTGCGAATGTTCTGATTCGATGTCTACACTTACATGAATGAAGCCCCCGATAACAAAGTACATCGAATAGGATCCAATCGCTGAATAGATCCAGAAGGAAAACAAGTTCTGCAGGTGGAGCTTCTCAAGGGTGAGATCTTCCCATGTCAAAGGAAGCGACACATTTTTCTCGATATCAGACAGAGCCTCGAAGTTCCCTGTGTACACCGTCTTTCCCATTTGCCGCAGGAAATGCACCATGATCACAATCCATTCACCTTTAAGTGTCGCGCCAAAAGCAAAGATTGCCACTGTGGCCAGGAAGTGTCCAAGGATGTTGGGTATCCTATTCCAGATCTTTTCCAGTCTTTCGCCACAGTATTCTGTCCACTTGACGCCATCCGTCATGGGATTATACGTCCACGATTTGTGTTTCTCACTCTCCTTCATCTTGACTCACTGGAATTCGGTTCACCATTGGATTTGGTCAGAATGCGAGGCGGTGGTTAAATAGTCCGCGAGTGCGTGGTATCAGTATCATGAGCAGACTCAGCATTATCACTTTTCCCACCCACTTTCTCTCATATCGATCTTAAGCTTCTGGGCTCGTGTGTTTTTCCACATTTATCTACGCGATGGCCCTCTTTGACCGTCTGTACTCTCGCACCTGGACACCATAAATCAGGGAGAGAGAGAGGCGGGAGGCCTTACCAGCCAGTACAGCAGAGAATCGCGTGGAGTAAGATAGATTAGGAGGTATTTTTAGGCGCTTACTCACCTGAAAATTCGAATAGATCTTTGTCCATCTGAAGATTCCTTTCTGCATCTGTGAGAATCTTAGCCTAATCCTAATTTACAATTAAGCAATTTCAATTCCAGTGATTATTCTCAAGCCTAAGTTCCAAAATCTGTAAAATTTCACTCATTTTCCCACAGTCTCTAATCTCTGATAACGCAATCAATCAATCCAGGTGCGATTGAAGCCAAATTACTGATTTCACATCTTCACTGTACTCGAGTTATCAGCGCCGTCTTACTTCCCATTCACTCACGCTGATGGGCTCAGGCTCCTGATAATGGGTGCACGTGCACCGAGACCACCACGCATTCATCGCAGAGTTATGCCGGATCGTGCCAAAAGCTGGGCTGATAGCTGAGTGGCCAGCTGTTAGATTTTCAGTGCATCACCTGGTCCGTGTGTTTTTTTGCCGCTCTCCATCGCAATTTCACGGTCTCAGGAGCGCGTCATCGGGTGGCTTATCTGGAAAGTTTGGGCATGCTTGACAAATTGAGGAACGTACTTGGCCAAAACAATACTGGGGAACAATTGACCGATAAAAAGGAGGTTGATAAAGAGCGGGCGTAATGGCATAAAATACTTAATCTGAAGAGATAATTGAGTACAAAAACGTGATTTCTGAGATTATTCGATGATGTAGTTGGGATGTACAACAAGCAGTGGGTCTTCAGTGTCCTCCTCCTGGCCAGAATCTCCCTTGGTGCGCAGTCCAGTAGATCGAAGTGGTATGATTACTTGATCCTGATAAAAGGGAGAATTCGGATTGAGATCAGCAGTCAGAGAAATGAGACTTCATCGGATTCTTACATGATAGACCAATCTGTCCAGGACTTTCTCGGCGAGGGACTTCCTCTCGATAAGCTCATCTTCGGTGTCTATTTGATCACTGACTTGCTCAAGATACCAATTGACGACATCAGAACGACGAATTCCTTCGGAATCACTTCCTTCAGTTTCCAGGCGCGTCTCTTCGTTCCTCATGTGAAGAATCAACATATTCGAGAGAGTCTTGTAGTCCTCGAAGGAGAGAGTTAACTTCTTCTTCTGCACTGCGGGAGTTTCCGGTTCTTCTTGAGCTGCTTGCTCGCCTTCCTGTCCCACCCTATCGCTTTCCTGACCATTATTCTGTTGATAAACAAGAGTACATTAACGGATTGATTTACAATCTTACACTTGATTATCTCTGAATTGGGCTCTTGAGATACTCACGATTGGGCCGTCAACATCAACTTCCATCAATGCTTCATCGTCTTCGTCGTCCAGGTGGATTTCGGGCTGTTCCACTCGAATAATGGACTTGTTGAGGAGTCTATAGGCCTCCCTAACGTGCTTCACGTCCACCTCATTGGCGCATTCCATCTTCGCCATTGCTTCGCTGAGTCGAATCATGCTCTCTAGTTGCCTCACTGTGATTCTCCAGGTGCTCTTGCCCACTGTGCCGGTGTCTCTCTGTCGCAGATGGCTGTAGTTGTCCACCAAAAGCTTAGCTGCCTCCTCGCCAATAATTGGCTTGAATTGCCTGGCGAACGTGATGTAGCGCAGCATCTCATCCCGCGTGTAGATTTGTTCCACTGGGCTATCAACGTTTGAATGGAGGTCCACAATCTTCCGGGCTATCGCGTAGTCCACCACTTCGTTACACTCGTCAACGAGGATGAAGAAGAGATCGAAGCGAGACATAATGGGAGCGCTGAGCTGGATGTTCTGCTGCAGGGATTTGGAGCGATCGTAGCGTCCGTTGATGGGATTTGCGGCCGCAAGGATTGATGTGCGAGCATTCAGAGTGGCGCGGACGCCTGCCTTTGCCAGGGAGATTGTCTGTTGCTCCATCGCCTCGTGGATGGCCACCTGATCTCGAGGATCCATCTTATCGAACTCGTCAATGCAGCAAATTCCGTTGTCCGCCAGCATCAAGGCACCGGCCTCGATCACGAAATCAAAGCTCTCCTCGTCCTTGACCACAGCAGCGGTGAGACCGGCGGCCGAGGAGGCTTTTCCGGACGTGTAGACTGCCCTCGGAGAGAAGTCAGCAACTTGCTTGAGGAACTGAGACTTTGCTGTGCTGGGATCGCCCACAATGCAAACATTGACATCGCCTCGAAGACTCGTTTTCTCATGAGTAGTCTTAGCGATACCACCGAAAAGCATCAGCAAAATGCCCTTCTTCACTTCCTCGTTTCCATAAACCGACGGGAAGAGACTGGAAGTGAGATTGGCATAGAGATTGCGATCCCTAGACATCTCGTATACTTTGTTCCACTCTGCATCTGTCATTTGGCGCTTCATATCTTCCGCCGTTACCTCACTCATGGGCAGATCAGTTCCGCCAAATCGCACGCTAGTCGCCTGAACACTGCAGGCGAGGAAAGCCATTCTGTAGGTCAAATCCCTGACACCGAGTGCTTTCAAGCCCTTCAGTCCTTCGGGGCGATTTTCACCGCCTTGGCGATGGCGCGAGCCCAATTCTGCCTTGGCTCCTGGAAACTGTAACACTCCCACGTCTGGCACAACGATCAGAGTGCCCGTGAAATCATAGCGATCTCCTGCCTGAACGGTTTCCACGATATCCGCTCTCAGGATCACTTCTACAGACCGCGGAATGCAGCCACGAGGCAATTCAGCCTGTGTCTCCTGAATCCTCACTTTTTGGAAGTCAATGAAGGTGGATTTCTCGACGTCCAAAAGAAACTTCCGACGATTGGAGCATACCGGATTGCGACAAATGGTGGGATTTGTGAATTTGAATTGTTGCTCAACATTTGGCACCTCTGTCTGGCATTCAAGACACACGAAAGTCCCCGCCACGAGTTCAGGATGCACCGGATGGGTTCGCACCACTTGTCCTGATATGCGAATGAGAGTGCCGATCTTGGAAGTGGTTAATTCTCGGACCTTGTGGCGTGTTGGGACTTCCACGAAGGAAATGTAGCAATCCTTGTCCTTCTTCAACTCGAAGTGATCCCGAGCAAAGCCTGTGACAGCTTCACAGAGGCTGGGGTAAATCCTGTAGTACTCCTCAATGACTGTTTGGGCGAGGTTCTGGTTGAATTTCTCGAGATCATCGAAACTAACCTCAAGCATTGACTTGTCCGGAGAGAGAAGTTCTTCGGCCAATTTCACGTATTTGAGTTCACCATCTTCCTTGAACCTGTGGAGAGTGGAAGAGATGATCAATTGAAAGTTCCAGTGGCATTATCCGGGGATTAACATACTCCTCGAGGAAATCCAAGAATAGTGAGCGACAGCGAACTGCAACTTCATCTTTCACTCTTAAATGTCCAACATTTGCATCAGTCGGATTCATTTTGGGTAACTTTAGTCACTTAACTTTGTTCTTCACAAGATTTTAATCCTGAAAATGGGGGAAATCTTGGAGAAAACACTGGAAAATTGCGGAGGGAATGTAACCTGTGTGATTGCCAATGACGTAAACTGAGGTTTCCCGCGCATTCCTCCGGCGTTCGGCAACTGAGCGACAATCGAGCGCAAGCCGAAGAATGATTTCGTAAATGGTGGGTGTCTTTGATAGAGCGCGCTTTTCTGGGCGGGATATTCGCCACGTGTTCTTTGAATAGAACAATTTTTCTGGTTACTTCTTTGCAAAGAAACATTACAATTAATTGATAATTAAGTCCCCAAGTGAAGTGATATTTGAGTTTCGAATAGAAAATTTGTATAAACTTTCTACAATTTATATGTTCAACGCATTTCTACATAGTGAGAAATATCCTTACTGAAACTGTAATTTAACTCCTTCTGTGCCGAATTGAATTCCTCTGCTGATGTGTAAATAAAACGTGAATTTCGATGGATGATTAAGCGCTACGTGTTGTTATTATTTTTGTGATATTACGCGCAGCGAGCAGCTGACTCGTATTTTGTGCGGTGCAGGCAGACGTGAATAGCGAGGCGGTGAAAAAAGACACACATACGTGGTAAAAGAGAGGCACAATCTACGTTGGGCACACCAGGTGCGAAGAAGGTACGGAGTCACAGAACAATTCTCCTCCGGAGGAGTTTGTGTATTTTTAAGCCTGAGGGCGCCGTGCTGGAAGAAAAGCTGGTACGAAGCGAGAAAGAGAAAACGAGAAATCGCCATGTGGACGTTGTGTTTGGTCGAGGAAGAAGGAGTGGCGAGGACAAGAGGGAATGCCGATATACTCGCGTGAGTCTGGTAACGTTACGATGGCGAGTGTGTGCGTCGAGGGCAGGAGTTTGAACCCATTCATGCTCTACGGAGAGGTTACTATCGCGAGGAGAAGGAGGAGAGACTTGGTGAAGGCGAAGATGTCTCGAGACTCAAGGGTTGTAGAGAATATTGGGCAAGCAGCAAAACGTGATCTCTCTAAACGGGCCGAAAATATTGGGTGCGATCCATAACAATACATTTTAGGGTAAAACGACTGGTTTTTAATTATAATTGAAGTTCAGATGAAATGCAGAAATGATCAATACTGAAATGCATTCGATGAAATATATAATATTGTCATTACTGAAAGATTTACCAGGAACTTTGGATTGTTTTAAGACATTTTACCTATCTAATCATTCAATCTTCAATTGTCCAATCCTGACGATCGTGATCGCACGCGTGGGTGATCATTGCTTGTCCTGAGCAGCGAGTGTGAACAGCAATGCAAGGGACACGCTGGCAAAACGACATAAATATTCGTTACAGATATAACTGACTACCCTCTTCTATCCCTCGCTCAGACTCTATTGTAATAATTTTCTTGTAGACTCTCTTGGAGGGTAATTTTTTCCTTCAAAGTGGAGTGTGTTTGTGTGACAAAAGAGGCCGAAGAACTGCTGTTGTTTGGCAAGTCTTGTTTTCTTTTCCTTCGGGTCGCAACTCTCCTTCGTCTCTGTGTGTAAAGTATTGCGGCGCTCGGAAGTGAGTGATCGTGTTCACCAGTCTATTTCATTTGCGATCCGATCGTCGTGCTGTTGCCACCGAAATGTTCTGCCTTTGAAGTTGTGTTCATCTTCCCTTTGAGTGGTGAATAAAGAATATTTTTTTCGTGGTTTTATAGTGAATTATCAACAGAAAAATGGATCTAAAGTGTGATGAAGTCGTCACTGGGAGGGTTGATTCGAATGTGGCCGAAGTTGATCCCACCATGAGCACAGATCCTCGTGTAATTGAGAATCTGATCCAACTCGAGAGTGCTACCATCCCAAGAATGGACTACTTCAAGGCATTCCAGTCGGATATCAAGCCCTTCATGAGGAGATTCGTCGCTATTTGGATGCTGGAGGTGGGAAAATGTGACGGAGTAGTGATGAAAATGGTTTTATAATGTGTCTTCTGTTGGGAATTCGTAGCTTTGTGATGAACAACACGTCGAAGAGCAGGTTTTTCCGCTGGCCATCAACTTCCTGGATAGATTTCTCTGTGAGTGCGATATTTCCCGCCAGCAGCTCCAACTTCTGGGCGCCACGTGCCTTCTCATGGCCTCCAAAATCCGGCAGTGTATCGCCCTCTCAGTGGAGCTTCTCTGCGCCTACACAGATTTCACAGTAACGCCGGAGCAAATCAGGGTAAGCACCTTAATATCCTTTGAGATTTTTCTTCAAGAACACCAGAGTTGAGATTAATCCAGAGATTAGATGTAGTATAATTATAATTCGTAGGAAGAATTTCATTTTAAGTGAAGCTATTCTTGTAAAGTCATAGAAAAGAGCGTGAAGTGATAAAGTTTTTTAGTATTTACATCTGGAATATGATTGAAAATCTTTACTTATCAACTCAATAATTGGCTAATTTATCTTATAACTTTTGCAGAGTTGGGAATTGTTGGTGTTGGCGACACTTCAGTGGAATATAAGTGCCATAACAGGCTTCGACTACATCGACCACATCCTTCAGCGCGTTTCCTGGGGCTCTGAGAATCCTCACATTAGGACCCATGCCCACACTCTCGTCTCTGTGTGCCTCACCGGTAAGTTCTGCGCCTTTCTCTTAATTGTCCCAAATTTCCCCGTGTGCGTGGAGACACTTTTCATTTTCCCTCCGGTGACCTGATAAAGCCTCGCCTCACCCCGCCTCAACTCATGATTTACCCAAATGAATGCAAATTGTGCGAAATTTCATGGGCTATATTGGGTGCGTGCGTGAACGTCACGCAGTGGGTATTATGGGAAAAGTTTGCTAGAGTGGCAAGGAGAGAGGGTGAGTGAGAGAGAGAGCATCTTTTGTAAATCAATTGATTTTCCCTCCCTGGGCGAGAGAAGCCCTCGCAGTTTCATTCACATGGCGAGAAAAGTTTCCCTTCGAGGGTTAATTACGACAAACAATCTCAACGGAGAATTATTCCTTCTGTGTGCCGAACTTTCCCGCCGAAAAATCCGTCTCGAGTCCCAAGAAAAGGTACTTGGTTTATTGCATTAACCTTTATTTTCCTGGTGCCGCTTAAGTTTCAGAAAACACCTCAGGGATGAATTAGAATATTCATGGGATTTTTTTTCATGAGGGAATAATTGGAAAATTTCTCAACTTAGCACACATTGGAAGGGAGTGAATTGTAAAATTGGGAAAATAAATTTCACGTCAATCTTCCCCAGAAATCTTATCTTGCGACCCTTGAGAAATTCGAAAGGGTAAAATATCAAAGGGCAAAAAGCTGCCGTAAATTTCGGTTATTAAATTAATTTATAATTTATTGGCAGAGTCAAGTGAATCTTTATATAGCTGAGAAATTTTACTGCTTCTGACGAAAAAAATTTATTACATTTCCTTATTGCAATTAAATTAGGAGAACAGAAATAATTGGAAATCAAAAGGCAGTTTGCATTAGTTTGGACGCAATAGCAGTTCTTAATGGAGTTTCAATGAAGTCTCGAGAGGATCTCTCCAGGCTTCTTGCAATTCTCAAGAGTTCCTTTTTCTTCATGCAAAAAGAGACTCTTCCACAAAATCCTTCAATGACTCTTTGAGGCGTCAAAGTGAGATGCCATTCCGAAGAACTTCCCAGTGAGAATCTCAGGGTTTTTTTCTCACAAAGGCCGAAAGTCACGCCGAAAATGGCATAAAAAAGAGTGAGAGTAAACTAGAGGAAGTTTCTAAAAGTGTCTCTGCTGGAATTATTTACAACTTGTATCACCTTCCTTCCTTATTTTGGCTCATCTCCTGAATATAGTGGGAATGAGGCACTATTTGCATCCCCTTTTGCTCTCTCTGATTGGCACTTTCCATCATGAGGAAATGCTTCTTCCCATAGAAATAGTGTTTGATCCATTTTGGGGAGGATTCTATGGCTCGTAAATTGAACGCAATCTCTCACTTATTTTCACATGGAGGGGGATTTTTCATATCACTTTTGCTTACCTGGAAAGTGGAAGGAATATGGGCCTTGAGGAGGGAAAGATAAATTATGAGGACGAAAAGAGAGTGTCTCTCCTTCTTTCGATATTTAAGTAATTTCATGTTCCTATTGTTGTACTTCCCTCCATTTCTTCATGATTTTTTCACCATCTCTCTCCCTTGATTATTCCCCAGCATTGCGTCTCCGTAACAATATTTTTTGTTGCTCGCCTCTCTCCTTCGTGTGTCTTTCATCTGCCAAAAGCGAAGACGGTGCGATGTGTGGTGGAGAAGGAAACATCTGCCACTATTTTTCTTCTGTATTAACACACAAAAGTGTCTCATGCGTATTTGATTGTGTTGCTCGATCGCCATACAAATGCGTCTTCCAGACCGACGCAATCAACCAAATTTCAACGTGCGATGACGAAGGATGAGAAAGGACACGTTTGGCCACTGAATAACATCCAATCTCGGGCGATGCTGTGGCGTAATTTTTCACCCAGAACCTTTGTGTTCACGTCTCTCTATCTCTCTCTCTGTCTCCGCATCTCCACTGTTCTGGGGCGGCAGATGGAATGGGCCTCGAAGAGATTTTCAGATGATGCACCAAAAAAGCGCAGTGGGGCAATTTAAATGACCGCCAGATGTTTTTCTCGCGGCCAACAGGTGCTCCTCACGTTTTGTGTGTACGCGTTCTCGCAGAATCCACCTCGATATTTTCGGCGTGTCTTCGTGAGATTACAATGGCCAGGTGACTCGATATGTGTATACAAAACACTGAAGACACAGACCTGCAGAGAAAGGGTCACAAAACTCATTTGTGTCTTTGTCTCGACATGCGAGGAGAACCTTGAAATATACACCCATTATATTGGCAATTTTTCGCGCTCATTTTTTGGCGCGCATCTTTCTATATATTGGAGCACCTCGAGGAATCGCGCTCTGTTTGTTTTTATTTTACTGTAGAGTTTCTGCGAAACTACTCAGGAGTGAAATTGTTGTCGTAAGTTCCATTGTCCTTCTAGTTATGATAAATGTATGCACAACATTGATATGCTACTCCTGCATCTCAGTTTATGTAGATTTGAGATTTCGTGGGCAAAAATATGAATTTTCTCGTAAAAAAAATCCAAAATTGATCTTGGTCAGTTTATGATCTACACTTAATTTTCCCATTTGCCGAACTTTTGACTTCTTTGCTTGATTACAGAGAGGAGCCAATGTTTTGCCTGGTTCTCAGTAATAAATTAAATTATATTCAGAGGCAGTGACAATTAATGATGGCCCTCGCGGGAAAAAAAATTTGCTGTCTTAATTGAATGAATAAATTTTCTTTATTATCCTCATCTCATGGCTAAAGAGGGTCGAGCGCACGTTCAACCTGTGTTTGAGGGACAAAGAACTTTGTGTCGCAGGAAAGCTGAGGAAGTAGAACTTTTAGAAAGCGATTGGGAGATGATAGTGTGGCCTTCTTCGGGAGCCCACAAGAAATGGGGTGAAGGGAATTTTAATTGATACTCTGACGCGACTTGCACGCAACCCTCACTAAATTCCATTGCCGTCCCGCACCTGATGCTCTCTCCCTCGCTTCCGACCAACGTCTATGCTCGCCGCCTTTTCACGCGATCAGACAGCGATGTTTCATGGACTTGTTGGAGTGGTTGAAATATTTCACAAAAATACACACGCTTGTCTTAAATTTCATCCCTACGGTTTTCTCACTGCACAAGGGCGTTGAAAGTTAAATGCGTTCGAGTGCTTTTCACCCCTTCTCACCGCATTGTCTGTCTTGTTGCAGAGCTGGTGTTCATGCGAACGCCCCCGTCCGTTCTGGCGGCCGCCTGCATCTGTGCGGCCACGCGTGGCATCAACTCACCCTCGGCCAGGCTCGCCCTCGGGGACATTGTCCGCCTCATCCGTGTCGACCCGGTGGAAGTGGAGCTCGCGGTGCGTCACATTGAGGCGATCGTGGCCACACAAGCGGCCGCCATGCAGAAGCAGCAGCAGCAGATCGCCATTAAGAGCCAGTACGCCGGTCTGCCCGCCAAGTGCGCCTCCGAGGTGTACCACGAGTCTGGCTCTGACTTCCAGGGCGTTGGCTTCTACTAAGACTTAGGCTTAATCGTGGTTTTAAGAAGGAAAGTGTTCGGCATTTCTTTGTCCCTTGTAAGTAGTTGTCTCGGATTTAAAGTATAATTTAATTCAAATGAAGTATTACAAATTGATCTCTCTAATATATTATTAATTTTTGTGTAATTATTTTATTCTATAGATTCGATTTTCTATATATAAAGTTAATATAGCTAATGTTAAGTGTGAAAGAGTTTATATTTGAGTCAATCTCGCGAAGAAAGTTTATTGAAATAATGGATATAACTTTTGGATACATACGATTTATATAGCAAAAAAGATTATCAAGAAATTTAGAACAATTGGCCTCAACTGAAAGATGCAAACAAATTAGTTGAAATTTAAAGACGAATTGGTAAAATATTGTCATCTGCAAATTGGCATGTGTTAGTTAAATTTTTGTTCTATACATTCCATGTGTTGAAAAGTGAAGTTTTGGTGGTTGTATTGCCACAGAAAAAATATATTTTGAAAATGTAGCACCAATTGAATGCTGTATTGGAAATTGAAGATCAAAATTAACTGAATTTATTATAACATTTGACGCTTTCCCGAAGAAATGGGATTAAAAAATCATAACATAGAAAAATTGAAGTTGAAGAAAATCTCTCTGTTGTTTTCATACCAAAAATTGAGAAATGTTTTGACTTGTGTGTTTGTTTTCCTTACGACATTCCGTTTGTTAAAATAGAGTTTATTCCTGAAATAGAATGTTTTCCCGAATGAAAAAGAACTTTGCAAAAATGAATTTGTGTAAATAAATTTCTGTGGAACAATTCAGCTCTTTTGCTTTGCTGAAGGGATGCGCTGGAAGGAGTTAATGGCTTCTGAAGAGTCCATCGCACTGTGATCAAATGTCTTTTTAATATCCCTCACAATATTTACTCAATTCACCACTCTCTATGGAACATTTCATATTGGTGGCTCGAGAGTCCTCGTGAATGTGAAATTTACACCCACTCTCGCTATTCTCGAGTGCAAATACTATGTGACGGGAGCAAATACAAGAGGATCATCGAGTTGAAAGTCAATTGGCGCCTTTTTGCTGTTTTCTCTCGATGCTGAAAGCTCCGGAGCGACCACAGAAGGGCATTCCGTCAGCTTCTCCCACGCCAATTTCCCGAGTTGGCGCTCAAGTGGGGCACTTTCCCCAGGCTGGGCGGAGCTCTGGGAACCACTTGTGGCATGCGAAGGCTCAAGTGGACCAAGAACGGCTCAAAGAATGGAGGAAATCATGAATGAAATCTCGGAGGGGGTCGGCAAAGACAATATGTCCACAACAGCGTAACCATTCACCAATGACTTAAAGGAGTAAAAGGATGTTTGTCTGCATTAAAAAAACCATTGGAAATGATGATGGGAAACTGTGATGGATAAAATTCTAATTCAATTTCCTTCTGTAAATTTGATCAAGCAAAGATGCTCGAAAAAACTCAATTTTAGCCTATTTCTTCCACAAGGATCAAAGGAGATTTTAAATTCCGTGCAAAAGACAAGCTAAACTTTTGCGTAAATCCTGTTAAAAAACTAAAACTTAGCTGAAAACATCCTCATTATCGAATTAAAGGATCCAGAGTGGGAGCTTTGGCGCCTTTTCTCCTCATCAACAGTACCAACTCACTGAGTACAGCACTCTGAAGCACACCTGTTGTGCCATGGCGGGGAAGTCTGCAGACTGAAAAGCGCTATGGCTGATACGGCGGAGCTTTATAAATACGCTGTGACAACTCCAGAGGCACACAAGCTCCAACACGGCGCCAAAGTGAAGAAGCCTCCCTGAACAGCACAGTGCCGAGGAATCTTTCTCCAAAGAAGGGACAGTGAACGGTTGCTCCTCTAGAAGGAAGACTCTTCCTTCGTTCTGGAGTGAAGCAGAGCCGCAGTTCTTTTGTGATTGTGAGCAGTGGAAAAGTGTGTGCAAAAAATTATACCTTTGTGGAAATTTGCCGTTTTCCTCCGGTGCGTCCACAAGGATCCCTCAAAATTGAATTCATTTGAAATTCATATTGAGACTCCTCGTCAATTTGTCTATTTAATTTTCTCACCATCCTTTCCGCTCTTTCCACATCCAGAAAGTTCAGCCATATAAAAAATCGTATCAAATGAGATTTCAACGGTGTTGATGGGTGGAAGAGTCTTGAAGAATTTTAACACCATTTTTCCCATGAGGCGTTGTTTAAAACATTTTTTTCGGGTGGCTTCACAAAGGTTGAAAAGAGGTGTGAAGAATATTTCAGGGGCTTCTCATTAGGCCATTACCGAAGGCAAAATGTGCTTCTAATTGTGATTTAGGTCTACGGAAAACTTTTCCGTCAGCATATGGCAATACGTCGCGCATAGAAAGTCTTACATGAATTGTATAATAAAGTCTCCCAAAATTACCTGTTTTAACAAGGATTAGGCATAATTGACAGGAAGCTAGAAAGCTTAAATGCTTTGTCAAAAGCATTTTGAACTCACTGCCATATGGTCTCAATTAATAAAACATCAAAAGACTTGTCAAAATATCACTATTTAATATATTAACCGATTATTAAATTTTCATCTCTTGTAACATTATAGAGTAGGAAAAATCGCATGGAAAATTACTTACTTTTATTCCTTCCTGCAAGCTATTATTCTTTATTAGCAAACCGCCTTCAGAGGCTATCAAGTATTTTTTTTCCTCTCCCTACGTATTGTTATTTTTGGGGGTGGAAAGACGTGACAGGGATCGATTTTTTCAATTACCGATTATTGGGTTGATTATTAGGGGTGGAATCTCTCCACGTACCTGCCGTTTTTTATCATACTCTCCTGTCTTGATGCCGTGAATGCGCCATTAATTATTCAACAGCTAATAATTCATAATTCCAATATTATCAATTTACCATGTAAAAAATTGTCTTTTTTGCTGTGCGATGGAAACGGAGAATGTGATCAATTGTGCATGCTGAAATGAATTAAATTGCACCATCGAGAGTATCAATGAAGCGCATTAAATGATCAGCGCGATGTAATTAGCTTTTTCGACAATCTGTACGATGTGTGAAATTCCAAACTGAACACCTACGTTTGCCAATTGGCGTTCTAATTAAAAGTTCTCACATATTCTTCTGCCTTGAAACTCCACATAACTTGCTCTCTAGATAGTTTGCAATGCGAAAAATCAGTCTCATATTTCTCATTTACTTTTCGCGCAAAACTTTTTCACCGCAATTGTGCCAATTAAAAAATCGCATCACTGGCATGTGCATGAGATTAAATAAAAGATACAATTTTCCACTAGTGAACAATTCCGCTCCACTAATATTAACATTAAATGAAGTTTGTACACCTGATACTCAAATATTTGAACACGATGAATTTTTTATGATTCTCCAGGCGGATTTTCTCTCTCGTTTTTTTTCTGATGGAACCAAAACTGAATTATTTAAATACTTTGTTATCGATTGATTTTTAGTTCAGTCCTTGAAGAGAATTCACACGAAATCATACATATATCCTTTGATGGATTTTCTTTATAAATAAATAATAACTCTTTTTCTGTGAATAAATGACATAACATGTGACATTTCAATTGAATATTTACCAAAAAGAATTCATAAAATTTATTTCCTAGAATTTATTTGAATTTCCATGATAGATTTCCACTTCAAATATACCAAATAGAGTGGAGCTTTAACGCCTTCCTAATGATAATTCCGTTCACACAATATTCGAAAGACAAAGAGAAAGTTTCTTACGGAACAACTTTCCCTTGTCATTTTCACACATCATATTCTTGTTTTCACGCTATTTTGAATAATGTTGTCCCTTAACTTCGAAGGAGTCGGAGAGGATGAGAAATGTGGCGCTCGATTCACAAAATTCCCTCGAATATTAAATTAAATACAACTCACGCTCAGTGGAGGTGCCGGGTGCTCAAATTCAATCTCCATTCCAATGAGTTTTCCATAGAATAATTCAATTTAGAAAAAAAATAACTTGAAAAAGTATATTTTTAACATTCCTTTTTCATTGCTGCTATCTGAATGGACACTCTTCTTGACATCTTAAAGGAGTTTCTTTCTACTGCATTGTATGACTTTTACGCTCACCACTAGAAAATCTTAAAAAGAGGTAAGTTTTCATGTAATTATTAATTTCCGAAATCTCTGAAATTCTGCCTAAAATGAAGGCAAGTTTGTGAAATCGTATCTCGATAGAGTTAATAATACCAAAACATAGAATGTATTTACCCTATCGCAAGAATAATTGAAAAGAGTTTCGGTTTGATGGAGCTTTTTATTCCACCCAATTGAGCGCTTTTCAGCGCGCTTTGCCAGCTTCGGGGCGATGCAACAAGTTGACTTCCAACCCACTAAATTGCCAACCTTTCGCTAGAGCAACAGGATCGCTCTGGGGAGTGATTCAGCGGTGAAAAGTACGACGGAGACTGCCAATTGATTCCTCATTGAACCATGAAGCGATAAACTGGGAGAAACGACGGAAAAAACACCTGGAAGTATATCGCATTTTCGGGTGGATTTTTCTCCGCAATTCTCAAAGGGTGAATAAATATTGCAACATTTTCTCTCTGTCGAAACTTTTTATTCCACTCTCTGGTGGCATGAAAAAAATGCGGGAAATTGTCACAAAAGTCTGGGACATTTTCGCGATAAATTATGGTGAGAAACTTTCGCTTATCTGTGTCGATAGAGGAGAGGTTGAAAAAATGTATGTGAAAACATTGTCATACTTTTGCATCCTCGTGCTGAATTTATGCCCACCATTATGGGCATAAGTGATGTATTTACCGCGAAATATCAGCAATAAAAATTCACAAGTCAATATCAAAATTTGCTGAAATCATTGCCAGACGTATTTTTTGAAATAAAACATTGAATGCATCAACTGAGAAATAGAGCCGACGCATGTTGTGTGTGTGTGTGTCAGAAATTTTGCGTCGTTTCAAGAAAACTACCTAGAATAGCCTAGGAAAACCACAAGGTGATAAACATTTAATCTAACGATGTACTAAAATAAAAGACGATAAGGATGAAGTGCTAAATTTTCCACTAAACTTGCCAATTTCCTTCCGTTCATTGTCCTCAGCAAAAGCTCCCAATTTCAAAGTCAACGATTCATGCATATTTAAGTAAGACCTCTAATCCATATACTTCTTAATACTTTTCTGTTGTTCTTGTCAACTCGTGCATTCACCCTCGAATTGTTTGATTTACAAATTGCTTTCTCACCTCCACATCTCAAACGCATTAACGCCAGGCTCACTGATGGATTTTCGGGAATACTTGATGGTCCATCAAATGGTTTAATGGCAAAACATAATTCCCAAAGTACTCCTTTCCACTGGCTCTTAATTTCTTGAACATTTTTCTACTCCCCCAGCTGAAATGAGGGTCTCTTGAGATGTTGGAAAGTGGTGGGAAATTGTGCTAGATACCAAAGTTCCCTCTTCAGCGCTCCTTTGCGGCGTGAGAGTTGAATAAGAGCACTTCAAAAGGATCTCAATGTCATTGAAAGTTTTGTCACAATGAAAATACCACGAAAAGGTGTGAAAATGTCCTTCTGTGAAAAGCTCCACTTTACTCAGGTGGAAAGACGACTGTGAGCATTGCTCATTTGTAGTAGTTATTTTACATTCTCATCTAATTTTCCATCCTGTGTTTCACCATCAACGAGGAAGAATTTATCAGATTGTGTTGCAGGTGAAACAAAACAAAAAAATGCACAATGCAAATTTATTCATTGGATGCAATTTTTCCTGAAGATTATCCATGCTGAACACAAATATTTTAAGTTGAACAGCGAGTAGCATTGAAATTGATTGATCCTCACAATTTTGCTGGCTGTAATTAATTCTCAGGCTCGTATTTTAATCTCATTCTAATTCGCGACTCCGTCGTCAATTTTCCATGTCTTCTGTGTAGACGCAATCCGCGGTGGTGGGAGTATTTTTGGGGAGCGACACAGATTACCGGAGGAGATAATTCTGTTGGCGGAGAGACCATGTAAATTCATATTAAATGATAAGACAGAATTACGATAAAATTCGTGTGGAATTGATGCCACAAAGTGGGTTGAACATCTTTTTGGCGTACATCGTGACGATAAAGCACAGATTAATGAGATTCAGGACTTGGTGGGAGTGCGGCTGGCGATAAATGGGCTTTTTCTAGTTCACAAAGATAAGTGCGTTAGCTGAAGAATGGAAAGTTTTACCTACACATGAATGCGAGTACACACGCACAAATCCCTCTAGCGGATAGTAGTTTCACATTTCAGCGCGATTCCCAAATTGAATTTTGGCCGTGAATGAAGCACGAGAATTAAACTGAAAATTGCCGCCTCTTAAGTGCAAAATTAATTTAAGTGGATCAATTTTGTGTACTATAGATTCTCCCTGTTTGTCTAAAATCACCTAGAGGCCCTTGTGAGTGGTGAAATAACTCCCAAAATCCCAATTTCAATTACATTTCATATCAATTATTTGTGACAAGCGCTGAATGAGAAGCTTTGAGATTTTCCATCCTAAAAGTGCTGCCAAATGATAATGAGGGAGTAACAGAGAATTTATCTTTGCTATTTCATCTCGACGTGGGTGGGAATGAAAGCGCAAATGGGAGCATTTGCACCGTGGTACACATCCTGCAGATCGTTTTAAATGGAAATTTAATCAACTATTCACAGTGCCCGAGCAATACATGTGCAAAATATTGTAATTGCTGGAGCTATGGAGGATGAATTTAAAAAGGTACAAGTGCAAAAATGCTGGATAAAACCCGGACAAAAATTTTCCAGTGCTGCTCAGCATATAACGTGTTCTTTAGTCTACTTATTACTGTACAAATATGCGGGAAAAGTGCAATAAATCCTCTTCACGTGTTTCAATGCTAATATTTTCACACAGGCTTTCAAGTGGAAATTTTACGGTACCTGAAAATGCATAAATGGAAATAGATGAATTAGCACTTACATTCGGTTATCTAAAAAGGATGACATTATCAATGTAATCCTAAAAACATAGGTCAGAAAAATACCAGTTTCGGCAAACTTCTACATCAAATTTCCCCAGAAAATTCGTTGAATTTGGTTTCAATGGAGTTTTTGCCCACTCATAGGCATCGAAAACTTTTGAGTCTCATTAAAAATTTAGGAAATACAGGATATTGTGGCTTAGCTGATAATAAAAGCAGATATACACAAAAATCTGAATCGATTATTCCCCGTGCCAATTCAACACCTGTTGCGAATTCCGGAGTGAAAAAGGTAACAGGAAGGTTTAGACTTGAAGAATGGAAATGGAGAGAAATTGTATTATTTACGGGACACATTTTAGCAAGGAGGAATTTTCCACCCCCCATTTTGACGGGTGAAAATTTCCATGGTGGAGATATGGTAAAAAATTTCATCACCTTATTCAATTTTGAGGAGAAGAGCAGCATTCAGTTACAACAGAGTTGAGCAATGAGTGCTGTCGACTTTCGTAGTTTCAGATTCTCAGATACAGATTGAAGTCACAATCGAAATGTGTCTGGAGCATTTTATCTAGAAATTCGCCACTTTTCCTCCATCCATCTTTCTTCGTCAAATTGAGCGAAGGGACTATAAAAGTTGTCACATCTCACATAACGATACACGGGGAAACGGTTGCACGGGAATGTCATGGAGTGGCTGAGTGGAGAGAAGCAGAAGAATAAATTTTCCCTAAATTTGAGAATGATTTGATTGAATTAAAGACACGTAAATGTCTCTGAAACTCACACTCTATTTAAATGCCATTCTGACTCGAAGAAGACATGGACATGGCACTTAGAGTGATCGATTGTACATGAAAAGGTGAGCTATAACTTATTGTGGGGATGGAAATTGTTGATTCTCCCACTGACTGAGGTACACAAGAGAATTAATAAGAGCTCAGAAAAGAGTTCCATCAATATAAATGTGTGTTATTACGGACTCAATCAACCCCACTGAGCTATTCAGGCTCTCACCTTTCGGAACATCCCCCATTTCTTCCCTCATGCACTTTTCCTCCCTCTCAGCATTATTATTTTTCTTCTGATTGTGACACATCTCTTTGGCTTTCACCCCACCTCACCTGTGCTGTGTTTTCTTATTGAAATGCACAGGACAATGTGCGTGAATGTGTAATAAAATAACTTACCATTGTGTCATCCCGCCATAAAGGTGCGCCCCAACCCCCAAAAATGTTTCATTGTGCCGAGAAAGAGTTCAATGGGAGGGCGACGAGACGAGAGAGGTATTCAGGAGTCAAGCGGGGGCGGAGAAAGAGGGCAGATTTTCATTTAACCTCCATCTTGGAGGAGAATTACTCAATGCGTATTATCTAATGGAGCATTTGGGGATGTGAATTGGATGATTATGATGCAAAAGACCCACCTTGTTATTAAAACGAAAACGCCGAATGTTATTCGTGACAATCTCCAAAGCACTCTCTTTGGAATATTAAGCTCAATCTGCAGGTAGTTTTCAGGGATAATGAGGTGGAGAAAAATATCAACTGAGGCAATAATCATGAAATTTCCACGTATTATTGCTGTGGCGTGAAAATAACACCCAAATTATGCACAATGCCCTGAGATTTCATAAAGACATTTATTAAAATTTAGAAAAGTCTGGTAATAATGGTAGGGAGGAAAGCTCTTCATCAATCATGTGTGTTAATCCAATGAAAGCATGCAGACCTTAATGAAAGTATGAATGAAGTTTTAACCTTTGATGCTTCATTAAACATTCAACAAGTCCGTCAATCTATTTGTCTTTCTTATTGTCCTATTGTCCATAGGTTGACTATGAGTCTACTTTCCTTAATAGGAAAAGCTGTTATGTCAACATTTACCATGCAATTCAACAACTTTAATGTGATTGTATAATATTATAGCAGAGATGGATTAACTCATAGTGTAAACTTTTGAACAAATCAGTGAGATTTAGCTTTTTGAAGAGTGACTTTAAACTTTTATACGGGAAAGTTGACAAACTTTTCAAGAATGCAAAAAGTCGAGGCAAAACTTCTCTTTCTTTCCTCTGTTTATCATGAACTTGAACCTGTGAATTTGTTTGCCTAAATACCACACGGAAAGTCAATTTACTTTCCCTATAGACTCTTTAAATGTTGTTTACTCAGGAAATGATTGTGCGCGGGAAAATATTGAGGACATCTCCCGACAAAACTCGCAAAATGCAGGTAATTGACTTCTGAACCGCAGGGTGAAAGTTCCCCCAAGAGAGAGACAGAATAGATATGTATATACATAATCTCCGGTCAGAAAAATACGCAATGAAATTAATATCTGGAAAATTGTATTTTGGAAGAAAGTGTCAATGACCATGAAACATTCTATGGGGGGAAAGAGCCTTTTGCGGAAGCGTTTTATGCAAAGTGGAGTGAAAGCAATTAATTGAAGTCACAAATTGTTGCAACATTCCCCAACGTCGGCCACCCACTCGGCATTAATCACACACCGGGTTGAAATTAATGACTCAGAAGTACTTTCGGTATCAAATGATTTACTTCTATCTTATTTATTATCTACTCAAGTTGAGATATTTTATTGATAAAATGCGATGTGCTTATTTATAGAATAGCTTTTTCGCTCGCATCACAACATGGTGGATTATATCCAAACAATAGTTTGTTATTTCATTCATCGCACCTCAACTGGAAAAGTGAGATAAATCAATGTTGTTTCCATTCAAAAATCTATCGATTTCCAATCGGATATTCAGATTATTTAATTTACAATTTCCCTTTCGAATGCACAAATATTGGGAAACTTGTTGGTTTTGTTTTTCACACTTAACCGTAATATAGAAATTTCATACAGTCTTCTCGGTCACATCCTTGCAAAAAACGCGTCAATATATATCATGCACATATCATTGTTCTTCTTCTGTTCGTGACATCGAGAAACTAATCACGCTCAGAGGCGAGTAGCAACTGCAACGGATCCTTGACGAGGAGGTTGATTTTTTCTCGCACGAGCATTCAACATTTTTTTCTGACGTATACAAGCAATTCGAGGGACGACTCTCCCCCCACCCCCCGCTAATAATTAGGTAACTTTCCAGGTTAACCGGCGATTGATGGTTATCTCGTGCAAGTCGTGGAGTGGATATTATTATGGGATTTTAGGATATATAACTGAATTATTTACAGGTAAACGGATTTCGGAGTGATATTACGAGAGAAATGTATATTTTATAATATAGTGTACATACATATATACGAGATTGATGATGAAATCAATTAATTATGGAATAGTGTAGGGAAAGATGACTGGGTAAAATGTGTTATTTAATAACTCTTTACTTTAGGAACACAACGTATAATGTATACATAATGTAATCTATCAGTCCAAAACTTATCGCCTCTCCTCCAGACTTTACTGTGTACACAACTCTTGACCCCACATCAAGTAACATAATTAATTCACATTTCAATTGATTTTCCCATCATATGTGGTCGATTCTTAAGCATGAGACACGCTCTTTGAAATATTAACTCGAAATAACGATTACCTGATACAGAAACTGTGAACGAGACTTTCCACTCGCACAGCGACATAGTCGCGAGTCCAGGGATTTCCTATGGGACCGATTTTCGTACCAAAGGTCACATACCTGATGGTTTTTTATCCCTCCTCATTATTCTAATTGTGTCACGAAAATTCATTTCTCGTGTCCGCACTCCAGACAGAGAGTTGGGGCCCAACTTTGAGATGTTGAGAACCTCTTGTCACTTTCAGTGAAATTTATACTCCCAAATGAGACATTAATTAAGCTGATGGGGTCCACGTTATTCAAACCATAGTTACAAACAAGCCACCAAAATTGATCCTGCGCCCATTTTTCTCCACAATCACACGGAAACCCTTTTACATGGGATGAACTTCCAGTAGAAAATTGTATTTTCAACTAATATTTTTGCGGTGAAAATGCAATTTCCGGGTTATTTTCAATTATTGCAATTCTCCAACTCGCCGTGAACGTCTGTATCGTTAATTTCCTATGCTATTTTCCGCCCACGAGTAGAGAAATTCAAAGAAGTTCCATGTGTTCTCTAATCGGGCACGGAAAAAAAATCTCCAGAGGAAAATTTTCTCTATCCAATTATCTGTGCCTCGTTGTCTGCATTTATCCCTGGAGAGTTGGAAATTTTATGAAATATGCAGTGAATTAATTCTTTCTCGAGACTATGCTCAATTACATTCTCAAAGGTTGGCCGAAGGACTCTCTCTCTCCCTCTTTGGCTAATAAACAAACCCTCCGGAAACTACAAGTCGTTTCCACGTCAATTTTCCCTCATTCTCTAAGTTCCCGGAAGTCCCACGAGGAAATAATTGACAAGGGGATTAAGATGGAAATCCCCCCAAATGTGACAAAGAGCCCATTAGAGGACAATAAGGAATAAGGAATTCTCCTTTCTTTGCAGGAAGGAAAAATGAATGGCGCCAAACAATCTCTTCTGATATTTGTTCTGATTCTTGCGATTCGGATGCTTATGGCAGCTCCTGCTCTGGATACGGAGAGTGAGTAAAGAAATGTGTACTAGAATTTGTCTATGTATGTGAATCATGACACTCTGACCTTTGCCTATATCCACCAAATGTTTCTGCCGCCTATTCGTAATTTTCAAATGGATCTGGCAATTTGTCTAAGCGAAACACTTGACACTTCTGACCACCTTTAGTCATAGTTACGTGCTAATTTGCTGAAGACAAAGTGATGAAAATTCTTAATGGAATTCTTAATGAGATGTCTAGAGATGAAACTTTTGTAAAGGGAGTGCGCCTGATGAAATAAATCCGTCTCTCCAATGATTTATCCATGCGAGAGAGAGCTAGAGATTTATCCATGTGAGAGTAGATTTTAGTCTCTTTGAGAGTAAAATTACATTTTGCCAAATTGAGAAAAATTTCCACAGAGAATTTTTTCATCTCAAGCATCACTCAAGTACACAAATTGCAACATATGCAAGATTAGGCCATATCAGACACGATGCACACACACGGTGAATATTGTATAAAACTGTACAAAATTAGGTTCGATAAATGATCTGTACGAGAGCTTACTACAGCGAGAATACACTGGTCCCATTTCACTTTCCGATCACCAAGTGGAGCGCAAAGCTGTGAGATCGCCCTCCCTGAGACTACGCTTTGGCCGACGCAGCGATCCCAGCTTCAATCCCTTTCAGGTGAGTCCGCATTGCAGAGTGAACCTTAAGTGTGTGTTCTGACAGGAAGTCTTCTACAGCAGATGGAGAAAATCAACCAAAAACCTATCCGATCACCATCCCTGAGACTTCGGTTTGGACGACGAAACGACCCATTGTTTCCCACCTTCAATCAGGTAAATTTCAAGACTGGCAAATGCTGAACTAGAAGAGACCTCAAAGCCTCATTTATTATCCTAACTATGTGTCCCATTTAAAGGACTTACTAAATGATGAGCTCTCCTTCAAACGGCCAGAACGAAAGCCAGCCAGCCGCCTTCGCTGGGGACGAAGTGCTGCCACGACCAGTGAAAATTCAAACGAGGTAATTCATAGTGTATAAATTTGCTCTCCGAAATTTTACATGAACGTGGAAGTGCGCAAAAATCAACATTCTCAGTGAAAACATTCGTGCATTGTTCACCGAGAGGACCACAAGCTAAAAAGTGACTAATCAACGTTACAAACTCTACTCGTGTGCTCATCAAAGGGCAATAGAGTGGAGGCATGTGTATTTATGCAGATGCAGTCATTCCTAAGCCATAGAATTCATTCCATCAAAATTCACCCGAACCATTTCTACTCTACTAGAGCAATCTGAGCTTTGTCGATGTTCGTTATCTTTGCCGTAACTCATTGACGGAATTATTGTATAGCGAAAAGTGGCGTAAAATATAATTTATAGCCTTCAATAAGTTTCCAGACTATTCAGTGTCCTTTTCTGAACGAAGAAATTTACATATTTTCATGGATCACGAAAAAATTTAGTGTAAAAGGGGTTTCTTTCTCATCTATACAAATTTTATAATCGTTATTATCGATATGTATCTAATGTATTCTATCCGGAAACTTTTTGATCATACTTCATATTATATCTTATCTCATTACACCGTGCCTCAAATGTCATATGTTCAATCAGGAAACGTTTTATCCATGGATTAAATTTACATTGAAGAGGAAAAAATGAGTCAAGAGGTTAAATATTTATCTCGGTTTTAAATACTTCACTCAACACTTTACACGCCAAATTCCAATGGAAATTCTTCAGTAGAACGAAAGAATTTTTCAGTTGAAAATGTTCGAAGGTGTTTTTTTTTTATTAAATTTCTATGCCCTGCTGAGAGTGATGAGAAATGGTGGGCAGAGGAATATTTTTGATGCTAATTTTGCACATTGAATCTTGTCACTTGGCCCAAAAATACCATCATCTCTCTCGTCAGGAAGTTATTTTGGGATTTTCACGCTCCACACTGAAGCTTGAACAAGGGATTCATAAAAAAAGAAATTATATCGATTAGACACATGAGATTAATTGATCCACAGTCTTTAATAAAAATTTCTCACGTAGGATTAAGCTATTTATACTGTCTCTCGTCGTAGGAATTGGGAAATCCTGGGGATGTTCAAATGACACGCGAGGAGAGGAAGCCAGCTAGACTGCGCTGGGGACGCAGCGATGGCGGGAACTTAAGGAACAGCATTTTGACTGATGAAGAAATCAATCTCTTGGCTCAACTTCTTCTTCAGGATCAGGTAAAAAGCCGCCAAATTTCCTCTTTCATGTCTCATTAAACTTCCGCGAAACTCTTCTGCAGGAATCCCTGAATAATTTCCTTGGAAAACCCACGGAAAACCACATGACTCTCAATTAAGTCTCCTTCATTTATCAAATGTAAACACCAACAAGGAATCTTTAGACTTTCTTCATCCTTCACATAGTGTAAAAAACAACCCCCTTAAGTGCGCGAGAGAGAGAGAGAAATTGATGGAAATCACCAAGAAAATACAATTCTTAGGAAAAATGAAAAAAAAATCGTGCGACAGTGAAATCTTTTCCAGAATAAAATGTTTAAAAGAAAAAAATCACTTTACGTCATAACGTATAACTGAAGCCAGAAGATGTTTTTGCGGAAAAATTTATCTACCATCCGGAAAAGAAACCTCAAATGAGCACAAAAAATATCTGTTGGGCTACAGAGTTTATATTGAAGAAGTTATCTTGAGGAAAGAGAGGTAAACCTAAAGGAAAAAGTCATTAAAAAATATATGTAACTAACTATTGAGAGAAAACCTGTGTAATTAACGGAATCATGATCAATTATTGCTGAAAATTGTGAGAAGGAAGTTATTGATAAAGGATGTTAGTTTTGTTGCTGACTGCAAAGTGTCTATTTTAATTTATCTATTCTATTATAGAAATAAAAAATATATTAGTAATTGTGACAAAAATTCCTCAAGACAATTTTATTTGTACGATGCATGAGCATTTGTTCTAATATGTATCTCCGCAAGACAGCTAAATGGTCGGAAAAGGAGCACAACTCAGCCTCTGATTTTTTCTGCTGCTATACAATTGTCATGAGTAAAATATATTCTGTAATTTACAAATCACTGAATAACCCTAAAAATGGTTAAATATTGAGACAAATTATATATTCAAATTCATGTACATAATAAAGAGGAATTATATCAATAGATGCATTTTCTTCTTTGATTTTCCCCCGTGAAAACTGATGCAATTGGAAAGGCGATGCCATCGCGAGTCAAATCTCAAACTATACCACAGACCGCAACTGAACTGAACTGAACACATGAAGGAATTTTCACATTGCAACTTGATGTTGATTTTCTCTGCGTCTCACTTAGGCCAGAGTGTAAATATGACCCGAGGCTGATGATTTCGATTTGTGGTTGATGATCAAGCACACTGTCTACTATTGAACGCCTTCACCCCTATGGAAACAAGCCTTGCCGAAAATAATCAAGGGGCTTCATACAAATGGTCATAGATTTGGTTGGGCGATTGAGAACGTAATAAAACAATGCTTACGTATGAAGATATCTGAAATTCATCATATTTCATCCAACCCGAAAGGATGGTAAATTTTTTATTTAGGAACAATGACAGAACACGACTTTCGTGTCGATAGCGTCACTCTTTGACATTCACCCCCGTTGCCACGTATTAAGCGACATATCACAACATCGTTCTTATTGCCATATCGAGATTTTTCTTCACTCACCACCGGAAAATTTTCCACCTACGTCGCAAACGATAAAAGACATTTATTCACTGTTTCACCTCCTTTCAACGGACTATATTGGTCGTTATTAGTTGTGTTATTGTGCTTCATTCTACCTGTTATGATTATGGCACAATTTTCATTCTTTTACAACCATCATTGGTGAAACTCGTGTGGCAAAATCACAATTTTCACTTAAACTTTATGACCTTCGCGATATGGTAGAACTTTTCCACTTTTTCAAGGTATTTTTGCCCCATGGTTGGGAGTATTTTTCCGCGTGATTCTAAATGCCGAATTGCCAATAAGAGCTTTACATTCATGGGCAATGTTGAAGCACTTGAGAATGATCTCAAAATACGCTCCATCCTCTCAGTGGCGCGATTTAAGACGATTTCACTGGGGATTTGCCGTTTCTCGCCCCCAAAAGACGAAGTGCAAAAAAAGCAGCAGAGGGAGAACGAGATTTGTTTTTGGGATTTACCCAGAGCTAATTAGAAGCGCTCTCACATGATTCAAAAGGACTCGGTAAAGATGGTGGGAGATAGAATAATTTAAAGCACATTATTTATACCAAAACACCCCCAAGAGGGGTGAAAGTTTTCCCTCCATGTGTTGATGTGCTTTTGATGATTGTTGTTCTTGCGTTGGTCATGAGAGTGAGAAATTAACATTCATTTCATTAAGTCTCCTTAGAGAAGAGAAAAGATGCTACTCAGCTTGCATTCTGCAATCTTCACCTTTGTGTAATTACTTTCATTTCACACTTGTAATCACTTCAGAATCAGCTGAAAAACCTCAAGATTCTTCAACGCGTGTGACGTAAAAATTGGGCCATGTTGTGACCGTGATAATTACATTCGGCTTCCAGGAAATTAGACAAGACAAAAAATATCAGAAGGAGATTTTTAATTGATTTTTCGTCCAAGTACAGAAATAGATATAAATACTACATGTGTACCAACTTAGAAGCACAGGGATTCTATTTCAGAAGCAATAGAAACCCGGTTAGTAGGTTAAAATTCGTTTTCCGATTTATTTTTAAACAGAAACTCCTCAGACGGAGGAATTCGAGACGGGGATAACAATTTTTCTTTAGAACTCTTGTCCTAAAATTCAATTGAAATTCCACTTGCCAATTTGATAAAGCACTGATATTGTATGCGAGATTTTTAATTTAGAGGACTCTCTGTCACCCCTAATTATGCGCAACTTTCCGCCCACGCTTGTACTCTAGCCCTTTGTGAGCCTTTTTTCAAATGTCCCTTTTTCCGCAACAGTAATTTTTTCTATGTACGAAGCCACAATTTACCACGAGTCTGGAAAGTAGATAAATCATGGGATTTATGTATAGAGAATCTCGATGAAGTATGCAAGCGCCGCTCAATTTATCAATGATTTATGAAAGCTGCCGGCTGCATTGTCAGCGCTTAATTGTGACTTTCGGAGTAGTTTGCACATCATGTGAGCCAATGGAGGCACTGAGAAAATAAACCAATTTGTCAGGAGTGGACGCTCAAAGGACGACTGCCATGTGGAAGTAATGGGGCTCTCGATAGCCAGGGTCACCATGAATGTACTCAATTGACTGGATGATTTGAGGGTATTTATTAGGACTGTATTGTCTCAGACGGAAAATCTTAAGTTGACTAGAAGAATAGGCATCTTGTGTGGAAGGATTGACTTTCATGTGTGAGTGCGAGGAATGGGAAATTGAGTTGGATTTCATACCACTTGCGTCTCAATTTTGGAAAGCAAATATGAACTTGAAAAGCCCTCATTTTCTCATCTGACCACAAACACCGCAATATTTCCCAGAATCATAATTGAATTCGCGGATCAAATGGAGAAAATACATTAAAAACAAATTACACGAATGGATTTTCCAGGTGTTGAGATATTGGGGGAGAATTCAATCTCCCACGGGATATTTACTGCTGCCTGGAGTTGTCCTTAAAATATTATCTCAAGACTATGGTGAGATTCAATCTAAACCCAGCGAAACAGGATATGGATTTCAAATCTAAACACTTTGAGGTGCGCTGCAAGAGAAGCAATTTAAATGGTAACACGGGCTTACACGAGTATATTTCACCCCTCAGTCCTCTCCTTCTCATGTGAGGTGAACTGCAATTGTGGTGCAAATGTTCCAACATTAAAACTAAAACACACATAAAAGTTGACATACTCGTGGGATGAATAAAGTGTCTCGCATTTTGCATGGTGTTATTTTAATAATTCAAACTTTGCTCAATTTTACCAGCTCGAATGGCAGACTATTTGAATTAAAATTACAGATTTACCACAAAGACAATCGCACGAGGATTTTCTTACTAGCGAACCTTGAGAAGCTTTTAGGGTGAAGATTTTGACCCATATTTTAAGTAAAGGTGTTCTTTCCAAGTAATTGAAAGGTAACACAATGAAAAATCTTGATCCTTTCTGAAGAAATCTTATCGAACAACCACTGCTGAAATTCCTCCGAGGCAAGATGAAAGCCTGAGGGTCGAAAGGGGTTGTTTAGTAAGAAATTACAGGACGCCTACAGTATTTTGTGGATAAATACACCCATTGAAGGGATTAATATTAAAAAAGAGTCGTCATAGCGTCATAACTTCACAATTTTCATCTTAATTTGCAAACGAGGAAAGGGCACGATTTAAGGGCTGCACTTGAGAAAATTCATGCTCAATCTGAATTCTGGGAGGCTCTCTCAAGAGAAATCTACCCCAAAAGTGAAGAGGCCCACCTCAGACCCATATGCGTATGAAAATGTATTAAATTTAATATAGTCAGACCGTGTGTGGAGGAAGAAAGGCCCGAGAGAGTATCCGGAGTGTGGAAAATTGTCTAACGAAGTGGACGGTGATGCGATACAGGTGAGTTGCTCACGGCACGACAGAATAGGTGAGGAGAGAAATTCATCTCGGAGGGCAGTCAGCCACCCTCAGGCATTGACGTGGCACATCCACAAAAGAGGCCGCAAATCGATACATCCACATCCTGTCGATATCAGTGGGAATCGGTTAATGTTCAATGGGGAAAAAATTGCCTACAAACTCTCTTGCTGTATGCAAATTCGGCGCGACAAGTCCACATTCCTCAGGTGTTATAGAAAATTCCCGAAGAATTGTGAAAATATGTAGACAATCTTCAACATACGTCTGGGCGAAATCTTCTTTCCCCATATACTTAAATCACGTTATAGAATTGGTAAAGTTCAATTCAAACGCCTTGAAAGAATTTCTACTTTCCTTGACATTTTTCTATTACACTTCGTCAATTCAATTCAATGAATATAATAATCTTTGGGCAAGGAAAAATAATAATTTTTCAACGATTGACTTCCTCCTTTGCCACGTTTTAATGATCCTGCCAACCAGAGGCAAACTCGCGGCTTGTAATGCAAAAAAAAACAATTTGTAATGCACTGAGAGGTTAATCAAATCGAGGCACTGACACTGCTGAAAGCTCAGAAAAACCCCCAAACTTCCTGTGCATATGAAAAATGGTCGAATATGGTGAAAAATTGCGGAATTTCCACTGGTGGGCGACTCTGGCCTCCAATTTCAACATCTGCTGCCTTTCATCATTTTATGTCGCCCACCATCCCCCAGAGAAACGCCTCCCCGATGGCCCCAAATTATTGGCTCCATATTCACGAGGCTGCAGGGAATATAGAAATTGATGTGGAGCATGAGGAGCGGCACGCAGAATTTTTCCGGTCGCGATAATGGAAATTACGACGCGATCTTTGGAGATTACATAAAAACCGATGAGAATGAGAGCAACTCAACATTGTAAAATTTTCACACATCCACGACGCGGGGATGCAATAAAGAGTTCTTTATTTACTTATATCTTCATTTATCAAATTGTTATTTTTACACCACCTCAAAGGCACACATGGTGTAGTCGTAAATTGATGAAATCCGATGGGAAGACGAGGCGATTGTAAAACCACCCACGAATGACAAATACATTAAATTTCCGTGAGATTTGGCTGATTTTTTCCCTTACCACAGAGGCACCAAGGAAGAAAGGTCCAATGAATTTGTAAGAAGCGACGGAAGAAAATTGATTGGCAAAAGTTGGATCGTTTATTTGATAGTCGCTATCTTTGGCATAATTTGTGTGATTGATTGTTACTGATAAAATAAGAATTTCCTCTCGCAAATTAGGAAAAACTTTTAATCGAAAATTCGTCCCGCTAATACAAAATGTATGTAATCACCATTCCTTGTACGAAAATTGTCCTTTGTGCAAAGCTTTTAATGCCACCCATCAGAGTTTCCACGCGTAGTAAATTGTAATGCGAAGAGTCGTTATGTAAAGACCAAAACACTTGAAATTTGTCACACACGCGACACTGAAATCCTTTCATGGAATATCTTTAAACTTTTTATGTATCTCAGAGTTGCACAATGCAGACTGGATGTTATTGCATCATTAATAATCCCATTATCAGTGCGTCAAGCATGGCATGCGTGGCTGTTACTTCTTCTCTTACTTCGTTGTAATTCATGTTAAATGGCAAAGTAAACTTTGAACAAGGCTTTTTGCCGAGCATTCAATTGGTAAATGGAGATTGACACATTGATGTGGACCCGCTCACCTGAATAATCACAACTCTCCTCAATTAAGACTTCTCAAGAGGCAAAAACCATTCTACTTCCATTGATTGTTTTGCATATCATTTGCATATAAATCATCTTTCTGATGATTTCATTGCAATCGTAACAAGTGTATGTGGAATTTTCAGAATTTGAGCCGCCAATTTGAAATTCACTGGCGCCATTGTTTAATAGACTTTTACTAAAATGACACATCAAAGAGCCCTTCGCAAAGGCCAATTTATAAAAAGTTCCATTTCATTTGCTGAAATCAATTGACAATTTACCAATTTCGCTTCATTGGAAAATGACGCAAGTTCGCCTGTTGCTTCGTGTTTTTTTTCCCTCACTTTATAGGTAATATAAAATTATTTTGCAACCCCCTCAATATAGAAAACACATGTGAAAGGCTATAAAAGCTTTTTCATTTCACCACCGGCGAAATTTTTATCACGCGAAACACCATGGAAAGAAGAGCGTTGAAGCTACATATGTATGTGAAAACCTGAGGAATTCTCTACAGAAGCTGCAAATTATTTCATTGAATTATTCTATTAAATGTCTGTGAGAATAATGGTATTATTTTGATGGAGTTTAGAGGGTCAGAAAAATTCTATCAGTGTCGTTGAACTGAATGGAATGTGATTTTAAAAGCTCACACATTAATACGTTGCTTGTGATAAATTAATTTAATTTTCACTCTATCCACCCACGCATTCGGAGGGTGTTTTTTTTATTGGAAAACCAATATGAATCGCATAAATTGATTTAGGCGGCGTGAAGATGAACATTTCGGCCGTCTAAACGAGAATTTATACTGCACAATGCAAAATTCCATGAGGATTTATCGGTGAAAGCTGCGAAGTGGGCAGACGAACGATTTATTAATATTTTGCGTTATTTATCTCAATTAGATGTCATGTTTGCAAATAGAATTTACATGCAGCTGATGGAGGAATGTAAGGCTGAAAAAATTGAGGGCAGATTTATTCCGATAATTGCCCTAATGCGTAATAGAATGGGCGGCCGAGAGCAAATCCCTTCGCAATGAGGTCACATTCGGCGAGAAAAAACTGTACAAAAAGCTACTTTAGTCTCAGAATTCTGTGTGGTCGTTAAAATTGTGTAGCGTGGCTAATTGGGAGTTTTCACTAGAGTGTTTGAGGAGTGATAAAATAAATTTCACAAATATTGTTATGAAGGTCTTCTCTCATTTCACAACACCGCGTGTTATGTGGCTTGTTTTCTCCCAAAAAGTCCACCCTCATCTGTTCGGCGTTTGATGAAAAGTGCCAAAAAAGAGTGTGAATTAAGAAGGTGAAATTTGCGGTTGTGGCTTCTTTATTGTGACACTTTATTAGTGTGGCTTTCATCCGTGCCTGGGTGGAAAATTCGGGAAATGTTGTCGGGGTTGGAACACGATTAACACATTTCTCACTCCCACTTGACATTCCTCGCCATGGAAAATTACACCTCGGGTGTGAGATAATTTCCACCGACAATTAATATAAAGTCGATGTTGCTTCTTTTCTTTCAAACGTGCCGGGCTAAAAAGGTGACACAACTCGATAAATTTCATCTAAAATAGCACGAAAGAAAGGGTGTGAAATGGGCAAATAAGCTTCCAATTAGCTCAGATAAAAAATTATCTACGCGCGCCTTTTTTTCGTCGCTTAAATCAACAAGCGGTGTGAAATGTCTTTTTACCGTGTGTTGAAAATTGCACTTATTAAAGTTCATAACATTAATAATTGAGCCATGATTAACAGATGAGATTGCACAACACAACTTCCAGAGGTCACTTCTTCAGGAAACGAAATAACACTTCGTGAAAAGCTAAGCAGAGCGAGAGAACATGCACAATAATTTATTTGCATCCTTTGCAGAAAGGCAACGGACATGACATAAATAAGCTCAGCAAAAATAGATCCTCGGCACTGATTTGCGAGCGTGAGTTTGTGAATATTTCATTAGTGCACTTGCTGATGGAGCTGCTTGTATCTATTTAGCCTGTCTAAAACGTAATAGAAATCTCCCTCGTACACCCATGGGATCACCTTTCCCCACGCATTCCCGGCATTGTGCGCAAAAAGGTCCCGACACGGTAAAATGTGTTTATCCCCGTTGAATAAACTACAAGTTTTCTCATTAATTTTTAATTTTGCCCACATATTCGCCCGCATGTGAGAAAAATCACACCACAGAGAAGAACATTTTTAGAACAGTCAGGAGAATTTGTAGACATTTTTAGGCTTCCGCACCTTTTGATGACCTACAATCAGACAAAAGAGTGATGTTTTCTTGCAAAATTCATCTTTATTACAAAAAAATACTTCTCTCTCTTTCTCTTTGAGGTGTGATTGGGGAAAATATATTAGGTGAAAAGGATCACCAAAAAAATCATCCAAAGAGTATTTCAGACATTTTCTATGTTACTTTTTTCGTCTTGGAAGAAAACACACCTCTTCATGGAATGCCAAAGGTAGAAGGAAGGGAAAAATACGTACTTGCCAGACTTTTTGCACTGAGGAATTAAGATTGTGGGATTCAACAATGGTAAATTAAAGCTCTTCCTTCGTGTTTTGGCCATCACGCTTGATGTAGTCCGTGAAACCGGCTCGTGATCGCTCACCCGCGAAATCACTCACGAACTCGCCATCAATGAACATCTTGAACGTGGGAAAGCCGTTGATGTTGAATCTTTTGGCAACGTTGGAATTCACAGAGGCGTCAATTGCAACCACCTTGGCGCCTCCCTCCATCCTGCTCAAATCCTCCGCAACCGTTGAAATTGTCGGCTTCACCACTTTACAGTGTCCACACCCTGAAAAGTGTTGCAAGTCAGAGTCTGCCTTTCAATCAGTAATTTAAGAACATAACAAATGGCATGGGGAAATGCCTTTCCACCTAATTGCTTAGAGTGCTTGTCTTCAGGGTTGTATACTCACATGATGCATGGAAGAAGGCAAAGACCTTCATATGCTCCTTCAGGACTCTATCAAATGTATCGTCAGTGGCTTGGATGATGTGTTCTGATCCTGGAAAAGTTCCGAATGCCTCTTCAGGTGATTCCACCTTTTTCTCTGACTCACCGCCGCCTTTCAGATAGGCCACAAAGTCCTTCTCCGTCCTCCCACCGTCGTACTCCTTCACTGTCTTGAGGTAGCTGAAGTACTTGATTGTAGGATATCCTCTGACCTCATACGCCGAGCAGGTCTCCTTGTAGCGCGTGCAGTCCACCGCTGCGAGCTCATACTTGGGATCATCTTTGAAGTGTTCCGCAGCCTTAGCGAATTCTGGCTTGGCAGCCTTGCAGTGACCACACCAAGGCGCATAGAATATCACCAAGACGTTCTTCTTCTTCTTCAGGACAGTCTTGAAGGTGTCATCAGTCAAGTGAATCACTTCCGACGCTTGATCCTCCCAAGGAGCCTCAGGCGGCGGAGGAGGAGGCGGTTCCTTGGGATCCTTCATGAACTCGACAATCTCTTCAGCCTTCCGTAAATTGAGATTGTACTTAAATTCACCATATTCAAAGTACATCACCGTGGGATAACCTGAGATCTTGTATTGACCCGTAATCTCGCTCTCGACAGGGGCATTCACGGCCGCCAGAACTCCTGGAATGTTCTCATCTTTCATCGTAAGAGCAGCCTTCTCATACTCTGGCTTCATTCGCTTGCAGTGACCACACCAGGTGGCATAGAACATTACCATCACGGATTTCTCATCCTTGAGAGCTGGCTCAAAAGATGTAGACGTAAGATGAACAACCTCAGAGTTCGTATCACTGGCCCAGTCGGGTTCAGGTGCCTTCTGCACAGTTTTCCTCGTAGGATTTTCCATAAAGGACACAATGCCCGCCTTATTGTTCTCACCCTCGAAAGTGTGACGCATCTTTCCGCTCCTGAAAGAAGCAAACACATACATATTATTCACATATGATAACAATGTATCCCTACAGTTTACTCACTCGTAGTAGAGCAATGTAGGGAAGCCAGTGATGTTGTATGTCTTTCTTATGACTGAATTCTCCGGACGATTGACGTCAATCGCAGCAAGAATATACTTATCCTTGAGTTCAGTGGCCGCAGCTGAGTATTCGGGCTTCAAGGATTTACAATAGCCACACCAAGGAGCATAAAACATCACAAGGATTGGCTTTGTCTCCCTCTTTAGGAACTTATCCAGAGTCTGCAAAAGAAGATAGATAAATTTGAGATAAGAACTGGGAGGAAATGGAGCGTTTCCAATCTCACATTTGCATCCGGAACGTGAACCACGTCAGCCCCTACTGGGTCCTCTTCCCAAGGCAGATCGCCGGTGGGATCTCTCATGAAGTTCACAATGCTAACGACCGCCAGTTTGCGATCGTAATCCTTGTGGAAGTCGCCGTCCTTGAAATGCTTCACCACATACTGATCCGGATTGACTTTGAGTTTCTTGCATATCTTTTTCACCTCACTGAAACATTAGAAAACCGTCCAGATTACTCTCTTTCTTGTCCCATTAATATGCAAATTGGGGTCCCCAAACCTGTTTGAGCAGTCAAAGAGCGCCAGAGTTCCTTGACCCTTAATGGCCTCTGCTGCCTCCCGGAACACCTTTATAGTGCCCTGATTTTCCTTCGTGGTGGCCAAGAACAACACAAGAACGTTGTTCTTCGTCCGCAGGAGCTTCTTGAAGTCCTTCACATCAGTTATGTCGTCCACAACGGCACTCTTGGAGTTGATCTTTCCCGACGAAAGAGTCGAAAGCAGAAGCTGGGAAATAATATCACTTTTCCCAGTTACTCTGCACACAATTTCCAATCCTCCATACTTACCAATGAGAAAATTAGATATCCTTTCATCTTTGCCACCTTAATGTGTGCTTGAGTATTTATTTACAGAGCATTTCACGGTCTCTTCCTCCCACGATTTTCCGGCCAACCGGATGACGTTTCCCTCCGCCGGAGTCTGTGAGGTTAAGTACACTCATCGATTGTCGATGAAATTCCCATGTTCCCGGAAAGGAAAGCCCAGACATTCAGAGGATTCTCTCTTTATTTCCGTTTTTAGGTATATTCAGCCACCCGGAGACGATTTAGCGTTTGCCACCAACACGAGGAGCGGCCTTCTGGCTGATCTTGGCCGCCTTTTGTTTCTGCTGCTGCTTGCTCTTCGTTGGCGGGGCCTTTTCGATCTTCTTGGCAGCCTTTGTGGTCTTCTTCTGCTCCTTGGCCGCCTTGATGGCCTGCTCTCGCTGAGCCTTTCGCACCTCGGGCTTCATGTTCCTCTTGGCGAGGATCTCCGTCAAGGAGGCACCGACGATGGCTCGCTGGAACTTCTGCGTGCGGCGGGAGCGCTTCTTCACGGCCTCCTCCTCAATGCCCTTCTTGTGCTTTCGCCTGTACAGCACTGTCCAGGTCACCTTGCGCGGATTCCTCTTCATCAAGTAGGATCGCTCGCATTTTTTGTCGAGGAATGTGAAGGTCTGCAAGAAGTTAGGTTACGTGAGTCAAATTGTCAAAGAAATACACAAATTCCGGGCAGAACTCAATCCACATGCCCGGAAAGACACCGTCGTGTGACACTCGAGGAAAATTCGCCTGAGGAACTCACCTTTCCATCGACTTTGACCATTGTTTTCCCGTGGCCGGGGTAGATTTTGTAGCCACTAAATGCGCACAATCCGATCCTGCAAAATACAATTTCACATCAGTTTTCACTCGTTTGCACAATTTGGAACACATTGCAATCGAAATTTTCCCCAAAACCCCCTTGCAAATGCTAGAAAATTGAGAAAAACGCAAACACGTACTTCATTGTAGCTTTTCCACATGTAAAAGGACCGGAACTTGGCGAGATGGCGCTGCGGTGTTTTCTGAATTCCGAACCCGGTTGAAAAGTTCGTACCGAAACAGTACTTGTACGCGTCAGACGTGTGCATTTTCTTCAATTCTTATCAATTTTTATTAGATTTTTATAGATTTCCTCATGATTCTGGCAATTGCAATGAATTATTCATACACTTTACAGCATTAAAATGGGCAAAGAAAGCGTAATGAAGCTAATGGCTATCCCTTTCCCATTCGCTGATTGCTTTCCTACTGGAATGAGAGGGCAACGTCCACTGGGATAACCTCCCTTTCTCTCAGAAAAATTGTCTAACTGTCAGTGGGTGAACAAAAAGTGCATCTCGCGCAGTGGAAAATCAAGTGATAAACAGGCAGTGACAACGCAATTATTGATGGTGAATGGATCCCAGCAAAATAACAAGTTTGGCCACTCTGCTGCGCGACAATGGCCACAAAATCCTCAGCGGTGAGGCCAAGCTGACGCTCTCAGGTGAGAAATTCACAGTCCCCGCCCTTGGAATGCTGAAGTCACTTCCTTGTTCTGCTTCTGCCTTCTAGGCTCCCTTATCCGCGCTCTAAATGACTCATTCAGCCTGATAGTGGACGAGAATGCGGATAAATGCTCCCCGCACACATTCTACGTCTGCAAGCCCAACTACTCCAAATCAGATGTGTTCCGAGACTTGCAGTTCATCTTTGACTTTGTCCAGAAGACAATCCATCTGTGTGTGAATCAGCTGCACGGAGACGACCAGACCGACGATGTGGTGGATCTCACGAACTTCCGGACCCTGGAGAAGCTGGAGATAAATAAGGTGGCCTTGAGGAAATTCCGTGGCATTCAGAGAATGAGGGCTCAGCTTCAGGAAGTGGTGTGCGTGAAGTGCCTCTCCAGCATTCGGGAACTCTTCCTCGACTGCGGTGGTGACAAATGTGGTGGTTTCGTATGGAATGAACTGAAATCTGCCAACTTCTCAGGGAACATCTTGAAATCCCTGGACAGATCGCTCGAACTGACGCCTTGGCTGCAAAATCTCACCCTCAGTCACAATCAACTTGAGAAAATCCCGGAAATTCGACTCCTGCCCAACCTCAAAATGCTCGATGTGAGCTTCAATCTATTGACAGAGATGCCAAACTTTCATCCTGAGGCTTCTCGCCGCCTTCAAATGCTGAACATGAGAAACAACCTTCTGGAAAACGTAACGGGTGTTTCCTGCCTCGACGGTCTCTATGAACTGGATGTAGGTGGAAATTTCCTCATTGACCACTCAAGTTTACTTCCTTTGTGCACTCTCGCCGCTCTGCGGTACCTAAATCTGCTGGGGAATCCTCTGGCCTTCCATCCCAAGCATCGAGAGGCGACAGCGCGATATCTGCATGGAAATACAGCTTCAATAAAATTTGTCCTGGACAGCAGCCACCTCAGCAAGCATGAAAAGAGCCTCACGGGCGCATACAGCAGTTACCACCCCATACTCATGCGCTCAGCCCATTCCGAGAGCCCGTGGGCAATTCAGGGGCGCAGGAGCAACACCAATGAGGGCTCCTCAGTGGCCACAAGTCTGGGATCGACGAGCAGTTTCCAGATCACGACAGAGGTTCCCATGGACAGATCAATTGCAGAATCAACGAGCAGTCACAGAAAGTTGAGGGTGAGAAATGCTCAAATTGCAGACAATCCCGAACCCAAGAGCATTACTACAAACATCGATGCGACCATTGGTGAGTTCTTATCGTATGTAAATGTTTTCATGACTCTTTGGCGAATTGAAAGACAAATATTTTAGTGAGATTACTAATGCGTGTGTGTTTGGTGGAATGCAAATTTCTTGTAGAGGGACGGAATAAGGAGCATTTGAAGACAAAGGAGCAAATTGAAAATCTTCGGGAGCAATTTGGTGACTCGTGGCTTCACAGGGAAGGCGCAAGTCTAGTGAAGAGCGTAATTGGTGGCTTCCCAGAAGACAATAAGACTCAAGGAAGTATTCTGGAGAAGAATGCTCTCGTGGCTGAACTCTATTCTGAGCCTCTGATTGCTGAACCAATGGCAGAGGTTGAAGAAGAGTCAGCGAAACAATCTACCCCAAAGGAAGAAGGCCTTATTATGCGTCAAAGTCCAACGGAATCACCCATAAAAGCCGCATCAGATGCTGAGGAACAGACAAAAGATTTAAATAATCTTGAGACAATATACAAAACTGCCAAAAGCAATCCCAGCATTGAGATTACGAGTGATTACACAACCGCTATTGAAGAGGAGTCCGATCCGGAGGACAACGAGGTGGCCTATTTTGTAACACGCGTCTCCAGTGGCCAGGAAGTTCTGCTCATTGTTTCGGATTTGAGCATCAAGGAGAAGAATCGTAAGACGAAACAGACTCTCTTCAGGTGGAGTTTGAAGTCTGTTGAGAGTTGTGAAAGGACAAAATCGGATGTTTTGTGTATAAATTTCAACACTATCAAGAAAGATCGCAAGGAGAGAAACTATCAGATGCCACCGGACTCTTGTCAGAAACTGCAGAGTTACCTCAGGGACTTCCTAGCCAGTCGTCCACTGTCTGAGATGAACCAAATTGTGTACAAATGTGCCAATTGCACCACTCAGTTCTGTCGAGAGATCGGAAACCAACAGATTAAGCGTGGTAAATTGCTACTTTTGTCAATTTATGTTGATAAGGTTTTTTTTTTCTAATTCGAAATTAATGAATTTATCTGCAGATATTTTCTGTCCAGAATGCAAAAGCGAGTTTGTGATTGAGATGCATGAATCGCCACCGGAAAAGGGAGTTTCTCTGGACTCTCAGGCGACACCAGTTCAAGTGGCTAGCTCTGCAGAGGCTGCCACTGATCAAAATAGCAGTATCGGTGAGAAAGAACTTGAATATTTTATCATTTTCATTAGAAAATCGCATGACTAGGCTGGTTAGTTATTCATGTACGTAGAGTTTAGTGGACTCTTTAGTGCTGTTTTTATGGTGAATCATGTAACTTTGTGCTCATTGGAGAGTTGGAAAGAGCAAAGATGAGATAATTAATTAATGGAACAAATGACGAGTTGTCAGTTGAAAGAGTTGAAATTGTAACATTATTAATCTCTTTTCCAACTTTTCTGTAAGTAGGAAATATTCTTGTTCCCCTAACAATTTACTTACACTCCTCTCTCTTCTATGTTGTAATATATGTGGAGGAACTAAACAGAATAATATTATGCTTGATAGCACTGGCGACGGTTCTGAGGAGATCACCACTTAACACCAAATTGAGTAAGAAATCTTCTATTGACTAAAAAGGAAGCAATTATGATCTCTTCGGGTGTGATTTGCATGCCTTCTTTCAGTTGTATTAGATGGAGTTCAGTAAATTGCTTAAATATATTCTGCCATTATTATATTAATACTTATAGTGATGATAATGTAATGTACATCTCCTTAGGATCTGCGGGATCTATCAATGAGTCCTCGTCCTGTTCGAAGATCTCCAACAATGGATCCTTTGACTCAAATCAAAGCGTTGCCGGCAGTTCAACTTCTGAGCGTGACAGAGATCCTGATATTCATCTCTCGTCCAGATTCAATGCTGAAAGTGACGTGGAGATCCTCAGTAATCCCAGCCAGAGTAGCATAGAAGTTCTGGATAGGTGAGATTGCGAGTAGTTTTCTCTATTGCTTTGCTTTATTCTGACATCTTTCTGGTGTTTAGCAGCAAGAATTCCAGTCGAAAGCATTCTGAAGAGCGAAAAATATCCCACGTGCCCAGTTTGGAGACCATCACGGACCACAGTAGTGTCAAAGAGGCGAGTGTGTTGGCTGAAGAGAAGATCCGACCGAATTTGGCTGAGAAGAAGGATCTCATCAGGCAGACTTTCCTGAATTTGACCGAGAGCAGTTCTTCAGGATCCATCACAGACAGCATCTGCACAGCATATGAGCACAGTCAGGAAGCGGAGGAGCACAAGCATCTGTCGCCTGTGGAGGTGATTTCGGAGGAGGACAACAGGACCCAGTCATCCTTCTTTGGGTTTCTCAGTGCCTTCGCTACGACGAACAAGGTGGACGGAATTGTGATACCCATTGCAGATCCCTTCAAGTTCACCTTCGATGATTTCGGGAATGTGGACCATCGGATTCAGGTGTATCTGTATCAGCACATCTTCATGGAAAACTCTGAGAAGCTTCTGTGGGTTGTTCGTTGTCGCTTCTGCGATGAGAAGATCTCCACTGAGTGGTTTGATGGGATCGTTGTCATGTCCACTGTGAGATTCTACACGTTTATCATTACGGGAGAAGAGAAGTGAGTGCTTCAAATGCGGATAAATTATATGAGACTTCATTTCGTTCCTATCTTTCAGTGACGATCCGTCCAAGTGGCTTAGAAGACTCGCTTTGGTGCCTGTTGAGGAGATGAAATCCATCAAATGTCTTCCCTGGAGTGTAGGAGTGACTTTCAGCACTCGTCACATGGCCAGTGTTCACATTTTGCTGAGAGATTCGCGGAGAACGCAGAGCTTCTTTAAGTTTCTGCAGAAGTCGACAAATTGTCGCCCCGTGGGATGTTCGGTGGTGGCTGAGAATCAGGAGGATTTGCTGCAGACGTACCAGAACGAGTCTATTAGGACATTTGCCATCTTCGAACACTGCGAACGACGCGTGGATGAGACGAAATTGACTGTGAGCTTTGGGGGAATCATTGTCACTGAGAAGACCTTCCACATGACTTCCGGAGGACACAAGTGGATGACAGAGAAAGGCGATCCGGCCGTGGGAGTGGTTCACACGCAACTCCTTCAAGATATGGTGGAATTGGAGCCAAAGAGTGACACGGAATTCATTCTCAACTTCCTGGATGAGCGGGAAAATAAGTGTGAACAGTGGTTTTTGAGATTCGCCACTCCGGCTGTTGTTCAGGACGTCCTGGCGGCAATCCGTGAGCCCTGGGAGCGACTCTTTGAAGTTCATCTCATCGCCAATTCCTAACTCGTTCGACGTATTTCATTTTAACACATAAAATATATATATATTTCCTGTTATCCTTACAGATTCTTTGAGATTTATTGGAATTATTGCAAGTTTGGAGCTGTTTTCTGTGACTAGTTTTGCTGTGGTCAGAATTGTTTTGATATGAATTGTTCGTCTGGTCTTATCTGCATTTCTACTTAATGGCCATCTGCTCGGAGATCCAATCGAGATTCTCATAGAAGCGAGGATCGCTCATCCGGAGGGAGGCTCTCTTGCAGGAGTAGTAGTAGAAAGGAGAAACTGCAAGGATAAATTTGTGTTTTGACGAGGTATTGAGACGTGACGTCATTGCCATTGACGTCACGAAATGGCAATTGTGGTGCCACAGCAATGATAACAATCATGATTTGAGGAGGAAATACTCACAGAGGCGCTGGATTATGCAGAGAGCCGTGATGGTCTTGGGCCAGGGAAGAGTGTAGAAAGTAACTTGGGCGAGGATGCAGAGCAGGAAGTAGATGATGAGAACGCCAAAGACACTCCTGAACTTAGTGTAGAGAAGTTCACTGAGTCCTGCTTGGTAGACATACGTGGAACAGAGGCTGTATATGAGGGCTAGGAAGGAGATCACCAGACCGATGTCCTGGGCGCTGGTAGAAATTATCCTTGTTAGCAATATTGTGGGGAAAAGAGTGTGAAGTCATATACTTACATGTAGATGGAGATGAGATGAGATTTGGCCAGGAAAGAGAAGGTATTAACCGACAAATCGAAGAGCAGCAGGCTGAATTGAACAATAAGGAACGCAGAGTACTTTTTCAGCGATAACTTGAACATTTTCACACACTTTGGGTTTGTTTTCTTCGGAAATTGGAAAGAAAACTTGTTTTTATCTATCCATGTCCTCGAGTGTCCTCGCGGAGCAAAGGAAAATTTCATGAAGCAACCATGAAATTCGTGAAACATCAAAATATTGCAAACTTCACTCCAGTGGAGAAACGTCACTCATCAGTGTAAAAATAGAGGTGCATTTATCCGTGTCGCAGCTTATAATCCAGTTCAATAGATCGATAATTCCTTACTGCGTGGAATGGATGACGAGTTGGAGGACAAGGTGCTGTACCAGACCTATGCGTCCTACATGAAATTCCTCTCGAAGTTCGCCCTGGGAGTCCCCACGTTTAACTCCTCCGCTTCGTACATGTGGAAGCTGCTGCGATTATACCTCACGAAGCCCGAGGTGATCATCTGCGGACTGCTGCTGGTCCTCCTCGTGGTCTACCTACAGGCAGTGGAGGTGTGGAGCCGGGACTTCGTGGGGCGCATACAGAAGACGCTCGGCTACACGACAAAGGCCAGCAAATTGCAGTTGTTGTCGACGTACTCGGAGAAGTTGAGTTGGGAAGTGAAGAAGGATGCCAGTGCCTGCTTCGCCATTCAGGGTAGGCGTCCCCGGATGGAGGATAGGTAAGATTGGGCTGCAATGCGGGAACGGGGGGTTTGACATTTTCGAGCTTGAATGGCTATAAATAGGTCAGAGAATTCCTTGCGTGCTGATTCTAATCTGGGCCTTGGCGAGAGAATCTTTCGCAATGGGAGGAAAGTCAACGACTCAGTTTCTTATCTCGGCTGTTTTTCACAGATTTATTGTCGAGGAAAACGTCAACAGTGACACGGGTATCGCCCTCTTTGCCATTTTCGATGGACACGCTGGAGATTACGCAGCCGATTATGCCAAAGACGTCCTCATGAAGAGTGTTTCTCGGAAGATCATCGATGCCCACAATATCATCCTCGGGAAGCCTGTGGAGACGCCAGAGAAGAAGGTCGCCAAGGCAGAGGAGGATGAGAGCAACAAGGAGAACATCGCTGTGGACAAGAATGCTGTGACGCCACTCGCGCAGAGGCGCTCCAGCTTCCGGAAGTCCTATTCCTCGTTCACAGAGGACTGCTTGCAGAAGGGGAACTGCCAGCAGGCGGCTCCGGAGCCGGACATCTACAATCTAAACGCTCTGTGCCGACCACTGAACAAGGAGGCCTTCCTGGGTCAGAACGTGGCTGCCCAGAAGACGGAAAGACCGCAAGTGATGGAGACCAAGTGCTATATAGAGAGTGGCAAGATTAACTACGGCAAATTGCTCACGGATGAGGTTCTGGCCGCTGATCACGATCTTGTGGAGGCAGCAAAGAAGATTGTGAGTGTTCATGGGGTGGAAAATGAGGGAGTTTTAGCATCTCCGTTTCGTAGAAATTCCAATGAAGTCATCACTCAAAATAATGTTATTGCTACAAATTATTTTACGTTGATTCTCGTGTGGCTTTTTAGCAGTTTTAATCATCACAGGCTTGACTAATTGAATTGTTTGTTTTGTTGTAGAAAAATTTTGCTGGCACAACAGCTCTCATCGCAGTTCTCGACGGTACGAAACTCGTGGTGGCGAATGTGGGCGATTCTAGGGGTGTAATGTGCGATTCCAAAGGGAATGCAATTCCGCTGTCCTTCGATCACAAGCCTCAGCAGGTGAGGGAGAAGAAGAGGATCCAGGAAGCGGGTGGTTTTGTGGCCTTCAACGGTGTGTGGAGAGTTGCTGGCATCCTGGCGACTTCACGCGCCATGGGAGACTATCCGCTGAAGGATAAGAAGCTTGTTATCGCCGATCCCGACATTTTGACCTTCAATCTCGCAGATCACAAGTAAGATTTGTTGTTTGTCGCAAGTTCACAGTGTCTAATTTGGGCTGTTTTGCAGGCCGATGTTCATCATCCTGGCGTCTGACGGGTTGTGGGACACTTTCAGCAATGAAGAGGCGGTGTCCTTCATCAAGGATCGCCTGGATGAGCCCCATTTTGGCGCCAAGGCGCTGACGATGCAGTCTTATTATCGTGGCTCCGTGGATAACATATCGGTTCTCGTGGTGGTGTTCAAGAATGGCACCTTCCGCGTGGGGTCCTCGGGGTCTGACTGAACTGGGCAGCTTTTAACATTTACCAGAGACTTGTTTTTTGCCTCATTGGGCCCCAAAGTACGGACAAAGGCGACCGTACGAGTCATTTATTTTATTATGTATGTTTATTGTCACTCGGGAAACTCTTCCCGCATTATTTTATCTCTCCTCGTCACAATATTGAAAGAAAAAAGATTCGTATAATGTTAGGTAGAGAAATTAGGGCACTTGTTTGTTTGCACGTAGTGTTTGAGCAAGAGGATATGTAGGCACACAAATTGTAGATTTTGTATTTAATGGCGCGAAGGGTGGATGATATTAGTGGGGGAACGTGATTTTTGAGCAAAATATGATCAAGGGAATGTGAACCTCTGTGGACTGATGGGTGGACTTTTCTCTCTGGGTTTTCTTTCGATGGTCCCTCCGCGGAATTGAGATTCCTATTGCCCCGCAATAGCGTGTAGATCACAGTCCGTCCATACACAATGAAACTCTCTTTTCTAACGCAGATATATATTGTAACATTTCTACCACAATTATTGTAACTTTCCTTCAGACAAACTCCAGGCAATTCACATTCACAGCAATTCCTTCTCCCAGTTGTTATATTTATTGTATTTTGTCCGAAAATTTACAAATCTTATATTTTTCTCCACAGTGTGATTTGTACGTGCCAAATGCATGCAGAAATCACAAATAAAACGGAATATTAATCACAATAGAAATTCGTTGTTCAATTTATCTCTTTGCGCGCTTTTCTATGTTCTGTGGAAACTGTTGTGGTGCGGATTGTGGAAGACATCGAATCATCGCTCGGCATTCGGATTGTCAAGTTCAGTGAGAATCGGACTTTGGTGGTGATTGGATGTGTTTTTCTTATTTTGTGCACATGAATTTTTTCCCCTTTTCTCTGTCCAAAGTTGAATTTCACCAGCAAAAACACTTGCAAAACAACTGTGTCAGTGGGAAAATGTGTAGTGCTGTGAGTTAGTGATAAGACAGTATCATCAGAGACGCTTACGAGGCGGAGGAAAGGCCATGAAAATGACGGAGAGGAAATTCACCAAAGGACTCCATAAGCCGGGAATGGCACTCAAGCTTCGCGAGACTGTTTGCCAAGTTGTTCGCGAAAGTTCAGTCTTGGTGAGTGTTTTGCGCGATCGGTGCCCCACTGGGACCCACTCAGGGTCACTCTGCTGCCAGTGAGGGGCTCAAATTGGCAGTGACTCTTTGGGGAGGAGACTCTTGGGCGTCTCTGACTGAGTGTGTTTTTGTCGCTCTTTTTTCCGCTCTCCGTGGCTCTGTGGAGTGGAACGAAATTCCATGAATTCCCTTTCGCTGGCTCAGCCTCGTCATCCGTGGGCGGAAGGGCTTCTCTTCCCACGAGCGAAGCCACAAAATAAGTCATCTCACTGGTCATACAATCCTTTCGATTGTGGGGCGAATTCGTCATAGAGGATTTCTTTTGGAGAAATTCCTTTGATCTGCTAAAGATGTCTGATGATTTACTCTAAATGGAATTTTAATGGTATTAGGATTAGAGCGATTGTTTACATGAATATTACGAGTTTTCATGAAACATTAACAAATCCTTCTCTTTCCACTACTTTCATGTTTATCAATTCTGCAAAATTGCGAAGATCAAGTCATGAGTCAAGATCATTTAACTAAAAAGTCTCTCAAAATGGAACTGTTTCACTACTTATCTAGGATTTTGGTGCATTTCCAAGTAACTTATCTCACGAGAAAACCTTCAAAGCCCCTAAAAAATGCTCCAAATCGAGAAGACCTTATCATACGACACATGTGTTGCCAATGTCAAATATTATTGTTTATGTAATTCAACACACGAAATATTTCTGCGAATTATCATTGTTTAAACACAACTATTTAGTCAAAGAAGACACTCAACTTGAAATGCATGCTTGTATAATTCAACTAAACAAGTGTCAAACGGATGCACTTGGCGAAGATTTCTCTCGTGAAATATTTTCATGGGAAATTGACCCTGTTTTGGGTGTTAACTCATCTGTAAACCCTTCCGCGAGAGTCTCTAATTTGAGCTGGCTTGTGGATCAACGAGAGGATAAATAAAAAAATTACAACACTATTGAAGAGATTCCCCCAGTTGGAGGCTAAAAATATTCTCCGCCTGACACGCAGTCTCCATTTCGAGATCATCCCAGTTTGTCTCTCACTCTTTGTCTCCCACCTCATCCAATTGAAGGCTCTCCACACTGTTGACGAACTCCATTTAATGTTATTGTTTACATTCGGTCGGACTTTTTTCATCGCTGGAGATCCGAAAGGCGATAAAATGCCAAAAAGAAATTACAATTATTTGTTGAGAGACAAAATGTCTGTGTGCGTCTCTTTAAAAATCCACCGACAAACCACAGAATCCTCGCGAGATGAGGGAAAACTTTCTGTTTTCTCATATTTTTCCCCGCGCACTCTTAATTGTATAGGTCTCGATGGTAAGTCAATTGACTAACGCCCAGTGACACATGAAAATGATAATTAGCCACTGAATGCAAGTGAAATTGCTGGTGAAAGATAAACGGCGATGGAATAATTGAATAAAGCGTGTGGATAAATTGTTAATTTTGTCACACAAAATGCGATAATTTCGACTCTGCTCCATGAATACCGCTAGTTTTCGCAGAATTTGCCAATGAACTACATTTTATTTTAGGTAAAAAGAGAAAGAAGTGGAATGAAACCACTCTTCTTTATTATTTTACTATATGCATTTTGGTGTTCTGGGAAGTAAAACTGGCAGAGAAAAGTCTTTTATGATGCTTATTGAGATTAACTATGAGTGGTGAGAGGTTGATTAACCCTTTTTGCGTGAAATGGGGCAAATATGTCCTACAAAACAAATTTCTTCTAAATATATTTTAAATGTATTATGCAGTGAAATGAAAATGATTTTAGACAATAATAACGTTTTTCTCGCGATACAATCACGTCTGAAAACGCGGATAAACCAATTTTGGAATAGGAAACTCTCAGTTGCACGCAATAGAGTTAATAACATGGAAAAACAAACTCTTGAAAGAGTGATTTTCGGATTTCTGTAGCGGAAGTTTTATACATTTTCACGAGACTCGTATTCTAAATGCCTACAAAACTGAAGAAACAGCTTGTCGAGGGAAACATGTATTCTTCACCTCATTTATTAATATTTCACGTTTGGATAAACGCCACCGAGACAGTGTTGGTGGTGAACGAACGTACTTTTCCCGATAAAATGGGTGTAGAGTAGACGTTTTAGCGGATTTTTGTCACATTCTAAAAGCTTTTTTCCACCATTTCGCACGAGAAATTGTGTCTGAGTCAGTCTGAGGAGTTGAAAATGGTATTGATGATCTTCGCGATGATGTTCTGGAGAGGAGACGCGAGGGCTCTGCTTGATGATGTAATTCTGTAATAATAACTTCATGGCCTTTGACACGACAAGCGGTCTCACGTGTATTTTCCCGATCTTCATTCTATTTGCTCTCTCAAGTGTGTACACAAGTGCCTGAATCTCCCTCTCTCGCGATGTTAATTTGGTCAATGGAAAGGGAAATTGGATGATACGCGAGGTGTGATTTTATTTGGGGGCCGGAGGAAAATTAATAAATTACCTCACTGAGGAGTGTCTGTTATTGATATTTCCGTGTTATTTTCACACGAGAGAACTTTTCTCAACACACACATTGCATGATTGATGGCATGTTGTAGCAAATACAGCAAATATAAGAGTACTTTTTTGTATATCTTCCACTGGCTATCTTGCAAAGTGACTAAACTTTTATGTAGTATAAGTTTGAATAGCTGGAGAATCTCACATTGAATGTTGCGTAGAAGAAAACGATTTATATGGACATCGAAAGATATCAATTCGGATCTATTTATAGGTTTGAGATCGAAATAAGGAAATGAAGAAAAATCAGTGATTTATTGTTCTCATTTTAGCTACTGTCTGATTCTTCTATTCGAGCTTCTATCTTTCTAAATCCACATGGCCTGAGACTTTTATTGGATGATTCTGGCTTTTGTGCTGTCTTAAGCCTCTTGTATTCCGATAATTTTCACAAATTCAATCCCTCTCAGTGGCTTTTCTCTGTAAAAGCGGCAGAGGTATTAAAGAAACATAGAATGTGAATTAATTTTAGAGGCTCTTAAGATATTTTTGAGGAGTTGGAATAAGTTCGTTGAATTGAGATTGTCGTATTGTTTTCCTTTGATGCCCGAGCATGAATTCTTCTCTCTATTTTTGTCGTCATTCATTCAAAAGTTCACCCAAGTGGACGTAATGTCTGTTGAGTCAATGAATTACCCATCGAAAAGTACATTATCTCTGAAAGCGGTCGCTCCACTGCTGATAAGGCAAGTATGATAAGCATTGTTCTATCGCCAGACGGATAATTGAATGGCTGAAAGTGTTGTTGAGTTATCGATATGATTAACTTATGGATTGAATTTCATTTCATCGTTGCGTGTTTGGTCAATAAAATTGCTGTTGAGGCAGTCTCTGGGCTTCTTCGCCGTCTTGCAATTATAATTCTTTCTGTTTGAGCCACTCTTCCTGCCGCGAGAATCTCGTTTGTGGCGGTCTTTTGGTCAACGAGAGGGAAACTATGTCTTCACCTCGGACATATTAGTGAAAATGCATAATTTATTAGTTTTTTTTTTCACCTCTGTCGAAATAATATTGAAACGGATTATGAACTCTGGTCATTTTGAAGACATGAAGGCGAACTTGCGGAGAGACGAACGTGAGTGAAAGATTTTTTTATCATTAGACACGCATTCAAGAAGGTCAACGACAAAAAACGTGAAACTTTCCTAACTTTTTGTCCAACTTCCTCTTCTTATACCTATCATCTCTACCATTGAATATTGATTGTGTGAAAAATTTCCTAGAGCTTCCAACGCGAAGACATGTCATTCTTTGGCAGACACTTTGGCTGCACGTACGTGACGATGAATGAGAAAAATGTCTCAAAGTGGATGGTCGTGATTGATGTGGAGGACAATTAAGTGTCTTCCTCATTGCAATCTTGGCACGCTGGAGGAAATGTTTTTGGGATGGAGCCGCACTGTAATTTTATAGGTATTTTACTGTTGAATAATAGGAAATGCTTGTTGAATTTTTTTTACAATCTCTAACAAACAGAGTCTCTCTGGTGGTCAAAAAAACCTGTGGTATTATAAATATTTTCATGTAATATTACCGTGAATGATGTGAAACAGAACTGTGTAAATTGATTTGAATCAGTTGTTAAACATTTTTTAAATGATTTATTACACAATATGAATGTTTTAAAGATTTAGAGACCTTTTGTCATTTTAATAACATTGACAAAACTGCAAAACTTTCTCAACTACTTAGCTTGACAAAGGTAAAGAAAAGATTAATTCAATTTCTCTCATTAGAATAACGTCAGAGACAATTTTGCAACTCACTGTGAACAATCACTCAATCATTCTTGATAATCTTAAAGCACTTTACCGTGCGAATTGTCCATGAATTGAGAGCGAAATCGCAGTGCAATTTCCAGGGTAAATTGAGGACATTCACTGCGCGTTGACGAGAACACCGCAAATGAAGCATCTTTCGCAGTCATTGGGCCCTCTCGAGTGGGAAGAATGGTTAAGGCGTATAATTGTGTGGCCAAATTGTGTGTTGATAGTCAATTTAGCGTGAAATTTTGAGCGTTTATTTTTTCGCTGTGCTGCGTATGTTGACAACGCATTGTTGTTGCTTATTTGGGTCAATATTTCACCTTGAATTTCCTTCGATGGTCGCTTGAAATCGCTCAAGAGGAGAGCAGTAGTTGAACAATATGATGTTTATGGGTGTTTTGTGTTCCAACTGTGCAGTTTAGTAAGAAACATGTCGAAGGAGAAGAGGAAGGAAAAAATGCGGAAATGCTGCCAATGGTTCAGATTCAAGTTCAAGTTTGTGACATATATTTAAAGACACACACACGGTGTGGCATTTAATCGCGGTGAAGTTATCAGAGAGGCTAAACTAGTGGCACAAGCGTGGTGAAACGAGAGTGAGAGATGCGGAAAAAAATTAATAAATGAGCAGAAAACCTGTAAGGCTGTGTGCATGGAGAGAAAGTGGGCAATTTTCAAATATAAATTTCTACAAAATAATATCTTTCAATTTGTTATGCGATTCTTTCTTCAATAAACAATGTCTGATTGAGTTAGTTTTCAGTTGCTTTTTTTCTCTCTCTCACCATTGCCTTTTCACCCTGGGGCAGCAATGTTGGGCCATTTCAGGAAATGGATGGGCAAATAAATATAAATTTCCCATGAAAGACGTGCGTCTTGAGGGCAAAATTTCCACGCTTGACTTGGTGAATTCTTGAAAACATGTCTGGGCGCAATTGTAATTGATACAATGCGCACTGGGATTAATTGAATGAGCATCCGAGAATAATCAGTTGCAATGCTGCTGGTGCTCAGATTACAGTGTATACATTCTCTCTTCTCTTGCAGAACAAACCCGTGCTTGTGGAGCCGATCGACTTTGAGAGCTTCATGGTGAAGAATAAGACATTAATTCAGAATGATCCACAGCGTGAACTGCTCCTCTATCCAAATGACGATGTGTCGGTGAGTTTTATAGTGTTTATAAAGAGAGAAAATACACTGCTCTAATGAAATATTTTTTCGAATAATCCAATTAAACCTTCTGATTCAATTAATCGTTGTAATACAAATAAGATGTCGATTTTGTGTGATATAAGATTTTGGGTAGTTTGAAATATTAGCACGAAGAATAGCAAACTGAGAATTAAATATTTCAATCCGTTGAGAAATTAAATCCATTCGCTGATTCACGGTAATTAATACTTATGATGGTCTAATACATCTTTATGTTAGTGTTTGGAGAAGAATGTTAAACGATAAAGTCAAATATGGAGATTGCCTGTAATTAAGTAAACATCATGTCTCTCTTTTATATCCATTGAGTTGGAGATGAAATAAAAATTCAGACCATTTTAGGTCATTCAACATTTTTTTCATTAACAAGTACACCTTTTTGAAATTGGATGGCGAGTCAATGAAATAGAAATTAATAATGTGAAACTCCTAAGAGATCATTTAACTCTGTGTGTAATGATATACAGTTGATGCAATTGGAGTCAATCAGTAATTTGACGATCACCACTTGATCTTCTCTTTATTTCTTTAAGGAAATTATCCAAGCACGAAATTATCGAACTGTGACGAGTGGAATTCCAGAAGTGATAAATCACGAGAATGGCTCAATTGAGGCATCTCCGTCGTGCCACCAATCGCCAAAGACTGAGAATGTCAATGGGAATTCGTCGAGGAATGAGGCAGTTTGTCAACCACCGCTGCTCACGAGGCAGTCTATTCGCACCTACAAGTCGGACAATAGGCTCATTCAGTACAAATACGGCAGCTACGGTGGCTTATCGCAAGACTTGCCAAGGTGAGGGAATGACTTTATGGTTATCTCGTGAATGATCTGTGAAATCAAAGATCATTTGGAGCTGATTTACTACTGATTGATCGTCTGTAATTTCATTTAATTGTCTCCAATTAGAGACTTGAAGCTTTTTTTTGGTAATCTTCTTGTTTATGTGTGTTTTTTAATGTGTACAAGTAGAAGTTTTTATTGTTTCTTATAATTCAATGTAAGAGAATCAGTTCGGAAAAGGGAAGATTCACAATTTGAAGGATTAAAAGCAAATATTAGCGACTTTCTCTACTTATATTTGCGAGTAAAAACTATTATAGCGATCTTTGAGACTATTAAATTTTGTGCAAAAACCATTAATATGCATTTTTGTGAGCAATAGTCGCTGAAATTGAAAGCTAAAGTGAAAAGTGATTCACTTTTTCCTCCAATGTGAAGATTATGATAATTATTCTGTCAACGATTTCTCATATTATTTGCAAAGAGAAAAAAGATATTTCTATAAAAACTTGTACATTACAGCTCAATATAAGCTTTTATACGGTATGAATGTCAAATTTTGAAATTTATAGTCGAAAATGAATTTCATCGCTCCTACAATTCTCTAATGAAAGTTAAATGCAACCAATAACTGTGTTTGTTGCCCAATTGTTGTGCAATTAGAATTTGGTTACTGAATTCAATACCATCGAGTGGGATGCATGAATAATTCCATAAACTTGTGGTTTGATCAATGTGAGAATTTATGAAGTATTTGTGGATTCTTTTGTTCACTTCCTAAATGCCTGTCGCTCTGCATGCAATTTGAGAGCGCAAGAGCGTGTGAGATTTCATTTTAAAGTCGATTTGGTTGTATTTCCCTTTCAAAAATTCTTTCGAAGTTTCGACTTCGGGCAAAAACTGCTTCAAGTCCAAGGATGGGAGATTTTTTTACCTTTTTTGACAATCTCTTAAATTTGCGGTGTATTTGGAGAGCAAAATTGATTTTTTAATGTTGTTCTTTTGTCTCCGCCAGACAAATATCCGTGGCGGATGAATTCAAAGAGGAAGTGTACGAGGTCGATGCCGATTTGGATAGAATTGACGAACAGATGACACGTTCCCAGGCAGATACGATAACAAAACAGGGATATTTACTGAAAGGACCAGACACGACGTCTGATCGGATGTTTGCGCACATCGGAGCGAAATCCTTCAAGAAGAGGTGAGTGTGTCATCGTGGGAAAATTGCGTGTGAGAAAGTAGAAAGTGTCTTTTTGGCAGTGTCTTAATTGATTTCCGTGGCATTTGATGGAAAAGAATCGCCTCAAACTACGGAATTCCAGGGGATTTTTTAATGTCTCTTGACATTTGCAAATATAACAGAAAGCATTCTTCATGCTTCATGTTTTTTTTGTGCCTTGAAAGTAAAAGTTCATTAAATCGTGTGGATGCAATAAAAGTTCGAATGGCTCACTTCAAAATTGTAGTTTGGTGTTGAGGCATTTTGCAAATTAATCTGATGGAATTTATTGCAAATGTTATGTCAATAAAAGTCCATCGGAAATAGATTCTTCAAATTTGATATTCCCTGCAGTGAGTTTCACAGTCTATTTATCCATTGCAGATATTGCTATTTGCGTCAGGAAGTCGATGGCACTTACATTCTTGAGGTGCACAAAGATGAGCGTCAGGGTGAGGCGAAAACGACAATTGTCATGGATTTCTGCACGGAAGTCGTTCAGAATCCCAAGCGTGGTCGATTTTGTTTCGAATTGAGAATGACGGCTGGCCATAAATCATTCACATTTGCAGCGGAAAATGAGAGTGATTTGCAGGATTGGCTCACGAAGCTCCAGTCAATTCTGCAGCAGAACAAATTGCAGGAGGACAAGAGGGCTGCGTCACTGGAGAGAGGTATTTGTGGAAGAATGTCTTTGCAACATTGCAGTAGATACTGATGAAGTGCTGGTGTTTATTTGGCAGCTCCTCCAGAGAGTCCTCAGACGACAGCCTTTGGAACGCTGAAGGGACTGGAGCAGAGTATGAATCCGCAACTAATCAAATACAGCCGAGAGACGGATATGTCTATAGCTCAGGCGAGAAAGGAAGGTCGGAAGAGGCTGTTTGCGAGCTATCAACTCCCTAGCCATGTCAGCAAGATGGTCAGAGAGGCAGAACCTTGTGAGCCATACAAGTGAGGGCACTTTCTGTTGATTTGATGCGACTTTACGACGCAGATTCTCATCACTGGTCTTGTCTTTTCAGGGAGCAATTCGGTCAGAGAATTCTTTTGAAGTGCGAAAGTCTCAAGTTTCGTCTTCTTGCACCCACAGAAGATGGCGAGGGTGTCAGCCAAGTAAGTTGATACTTTAATTTGCTAGTAGCAGATAATATCGAGAAAATTCATAGAATCTCAACAGCTTTAAGAAGACTGTTTCATGATAATTGTTTACATTGTTTCTGAAGAAGACTTCCTTGCCTTCTAGGTGGAGCCATACATTACAAGTCTGGCGTTATACGATGCTAAAGTGGGCCGAAAACTGACGGAGAACTTCTATTTTGACCTCAATCATGAAAACATTCGTGATGTGCTTCCATTGAGTGGCCAAAAAGCCACCCTCGAGGGCGCTGCCCCCATAAACGGGTCAATGAAACATCACCCAACGGAGAATGGGAGTGATGCACTGCATAAAGTTCCAACAGAGTGGATTCAGTATCCACGAGAAGCGATTCTCAGTGTCACATCGCCGAATCCGGACATTTTTCTTGTAGTGAAAATCGACAAAATCCTCCAGGGTGGAATTAATCAGTCCACTGAGCCGTATTTGAAAGCCAACAAGGATCCAAAGGTGGGTGGAAAGGTGCAGAGAAGTGTGAAAGCGTACAGTCAGAAGATAGGACATTTCCGCATGCCATTCGCGTGGGCGGCGAGACCACTTTTTCGCCTCTACAGCAGTGATCTCGATGTTGCCATCGATTTTCCCGCCATTTATCGGCAAGAGGGCAATAAATTGAGGGATGAGGAACTTCTAAAGCTCCTGGCGGAATATAGAAAGCCGGACAAGTTCAGCAAATTGACTGTGATACCGGGGTGGCTGAAGATTCACATTGAGCCCATCACAGAGTTACCAAATAACTGTCTGTCGACGACTCTGGCTCCACTGAAGCCCTTTCCGGTGCCACCGACGAAGGATCCAACCCTGGAGATTAGTGAATTCTCTGGCGCGAGTGAGAGGGACGCTTATCCTTTTGCCAACTTCCAAAATCACTTGTTCATCTATCCACTGAGTCTGAACTTTGATAGTCAGAAGCTCTTCTCGAGGGCCCGAAACATTGCCGTGTTGATTGAGTTGAGAGATAGCGATGCCGAAGGAGCCAAAGGACTCTCAGTAAGTTTTTTTTCTCGTAGAACTCTTGGAGTGTGTGATTCTTATATGTTCTTTCAATTTCAGTGCATTTATGGACGTCCTGGTCAGGGAAAATTCGTAAGTCAAGTCTCCTGTCCAGTTCTCCATCACAACACGTGTCCGACTTGGTATGAGGAGATAAAATTGAAGATTCCTCTGCACATTACAACACAACACCACATCCTGTTCTCCTTCGTGCATGTGTCTTGCGACTTGGGTAAGAAGAAGGAGAATAATTCTTTCGAGACTCCAGTTGGATACGCATGGCTTCCACTTCTGACAAAGGGAAAGATTAATGTTGAGGAGCAAATAATTGCAGTAGCAGCAACTCTTCCCACTGGATATCTAGCCATTCAGCCTCTGGGTCTGGGAAAAGGGGTAAGTCCTTTTCTTTATTTCAATAAATTTCGGGAATTAGTTGGGAATTCTTTAGAGAGCTAGATTCTGGGAAAATCTGTGATAGAATTGCATGGATTTTATGTTTTCATCCTTAATATTTACTAAATGTTGTATACTGAAGGCTACTGACTATTTTCAACTAACCGGTGACTCGTTTTTTCTCTTTCTTCCGTTTCTGCTACTGATTCTTTCTCGCACAATCTACATGTGGAATTCTATTAGCAGAACGCTGGTCCCGAGATCCAATGGATTGACAATCAGCGTCCACTGTTTGCCGTGACATTCCGCCTGGACTCCACTGTCCTGACAACTGATCAGCATCTGCACAATCTCTTTGCTCACGCTGAGCGCTTGCTGGAGCAGTTGAAGCCATCAGCCATCCCAGCTGAATCGGAAACGTGCAAGATTCTGAAGGCCGCTCATGCGATTCATGCCACGACTGTGATAACATTCCTGCCGACAATCCTGAACCAACTGTTCATGGTGCTGGTGAACACATCGAGTGAGGAGATTGGCCTCAACATCATCCGTCTGCTGGTGAATTTGATCCACATGGTAGCCGAGGAGGCGGGCAGGAAGGAGTTGCTGTTGTCGTACGTGAAGTACGTCTTCCATTCGCCAAGTTTCGGCGGCAAGATGTCCGGAGGGAGTCCCAGTGCTAGGAATACCGTCCATTGTGAGCTCTGTCGACATCTACCGAAATTGTTACATCCCAACAACACAGATTTCCTTATTGTGAACAAATTCATGAGATATTCTGGAATATTTTTCGACATCATAGTGAAGAGCATGGCACAACATCTGCTGGACACATCGAGGATAAAGATGCAGAGGAATGAACGATTCCCCAAGGAATTCCATGCTACTCTGGAGTCCCTGTTCCAAGTGTTGATACCCTACATAATCTCCCGCCATAAGGATCTCGTGGTGGAGACTCAGGCACTCAACAGGAGTCTGTCGACATTCGTGAAGAAGTGTCTATCATTCATGGACAGAGGCTTTGTTTTCAAGCTCATCCGACTGTATATGGACAGATTCTCACCTGGAGATCCCCGGACGTTGCAAGAATTCAAATTTGCCTTCATGCAGGAAGTGTGTTCGCATGAACACTACATTCCACTGAATCTACCTTTCATCTTGAGTCCGAAAAATCGTCCAGAAATCTTGCAACACTTCACTTTGAGCGAGGAATATTGTCGACAACACTTCCTGGCCGGACTGTTGTTGCAAGAGGTGAAGAGTGCTCTGAATGAGGTGGCAAATACAAGGAGAATGGCTCTGGGAACCCTCAAGGAGCTCCTGGCAAAGCATGATCTCGATGATAGATACTTTGGAAAGGGGAAAATTAGTCGGATTGCAATGATTTACATTCCATGGATGGGAATTGTGCTGGAGAACCTTCACAGAATTAGTGACGGAAGCGAAAGGACGGGACACTTTAAGGGAGATATCAACAGGATTTCTTCGAGTAGTAGCTATGTTTTCTCCAGAGATACCTCAGGACTCAATGGAGTGCACAATAATTCCTCTGCCAGCACACCAAAGGCGAGAAATCGTCTGACACTACACGTTGAGCATCCAAGTCCTTTCAGGGCTTCACTGCATCTGCGGGACACGACTTATTTCGCTGCGATTGCTGGCCAGAGTCTCACCAATGGCCATTCAACCACTTCACTGGATTCTGAGTGTTCCAGCCTATCTCAGGACACCACAGTGATCAGGAATGTAGAGAACAGCAGTGATTCTTCATCCAAGAAGGGCCACAATCGATCGGTTTCCGTGACACAGCCAACTGCTCTGCCCAGAAGTGATAAATTTACTCAAGTGGAGACGAAGGACATGCTGATTTGCTTCCTGTTTGTTGTGAAGCACATTTCTCAGGAGCAAATGACAACTTGGTGGCAGAATTGCACGGAAACTGAGACCATTGGTTTCTTCACGATATTGGAAATGTGCTTGGTGCACTTCAAGTATGTGGGGAAGAAGAACATCGTTCTTCAGGATCCGGTGAAAGAGGCGAGGAGTCATCGATCAGCCAAAGCGAGCACTCTTCCAGCCAGAATGCAACCACCAAATGGAGAGGTTTTGAGTCATGAAACTGGAACGATGACGCATGGAAATAGGGAAAATCTCGTGGAGGAGACTGTGAGGTCTCAGCAAGCGCTAATCGAGAGCAACATGGCCACAGAGATAGGAATGATTGTCCTGGATTGCATGGGACTGTACACAGTTCAGTTCAGGAATTCTATCATAGACGGAGCCGTTCTGCCCAAGTTGGCTCAAGTTTATCTGCGGTTTCTTCAACTGGGACAATCTGAGGCACTCAGCATGCATGTTTTCTCAGCTTTGCGAGCGTTTATCAACAACTTTTCGCCAGCTCTATTCCGTGGCACTTCACTAATGTGTGGACAACTCGTCTATGAATTGCTTAAATGTTGCGATAGCCGCTTGGCAAATGTTCGACAGGAGTCCTGTGCTGTTTTGTATCTGCTGATGAGAAGCAACTTTGAGTTCAGTGGACGCAAAGCACTGACGCGAGTTCATCTGCAAGTTATCATATCTGTTTCGCAGATGATTGGGAATGTTATTGGGCTGAATAATGCCCGTTTTCAGGAGTCTCTCTCTTTGATAAATAGCTACGCATCCAGTGACAAGGCGATGAAGGGAACGGGATTCCCTCTGGAAGTTAAGGATCTCACGAAGAGAGTGAGAACTGTGTTGATGGCAACGGCTCAGATGCAAGCCCATCAAATGGATCCCGAGAGACTTCTCGAGTTGCAACTGTCTCTGGCCAATTCCTATGCTTCCACGCCGGAGTTGAGGCACACTTGGTTGGTAACAATGGCCAGGAATCATGAGCAACATGGGAATATCTCTGAAGCCGCATGTTGCAATCTTCACATCGCTGCTCTGATGGCTGAGTATTTGCGACTGAAAGGAGGGGGATTCATCTCGTATGGGGCAGAATCTTTTGCTAAGATCTCAAGGAATATACCCAGAGATGAGAGAGGATTGAAACTGGACAGTGGCGCACAGGACTCTCAATACACTGAGCAGATGCTCCTGGATCAGCTGAAGGAGTGCGCTGAGTATCTTGACAGGGCTGAGAGATTTGAGTGTCTGGGAGAACTCTATCGCTTGATCATCCCAATTCTGGAGAACAGGAGAAATTATTATGATTTGGCGCACAGTTATGAGCACTTGGCGAATGTCTATAACAAAATCATTGACGTCAATAAGTCTGGTCGAAGACTTCTTGGGAGATTCTACAGAGTGGCGTTCTTTGGACAGGTAAGTTGACTCCCAGCTACAATTTGAGAGATGAATAGAGTTGCTGATACCTATTTGTTTTTCACAGTTGTACTTTGAGGACGATAATGGCATTGAATATGTCTATAAGGAGCCAAAATTGACTTCCCTCAGCGAAATTTCCGAGAGACTCCATAAACAATACAAGGATAAATTTGGCTCTGACGTGGTTAAGATGATTATGGATTCTTGTCCGGTAAGCTTTTCTTTCATTTTCTTACTAAATCATCACAAATTATCGGATTTGTTGACATTTTAAGGTGGACGTCAATGAGTTGGACCCTAAAATGGCATACATTCAAGTCACACACGTTATTCCGTACTTCTGCAAGGACGAATTAGATGACAGGCAGAATGAATTTGAGCAGAATCATGATGTTGATACTTTTATGTATGAGACGCCATTCACAAAGAACGGTTCGGCTCGCGGAAATGTTGAGGATCAGTGGAAGAGAAGAACAGTGCTAACAAGTGAGTTTGAAAGATTTGATGAAATATGAATGAGAAATTAATTCCATTTTCTTTTCATTTTCAGCTCAATACTCATTTCCTTACGTTTTGACGAGAATTCCAGTGAAGAGTCGCCATGTGACCGAATTGACACCGATTGAGGTGTCGGTGGATGAGATGCAGAATCGCGTGGCTGAACTTGAAGAAGTGGTTTTACCGCCAATTGACCTGAAGAAGCTTCAACTGAGGCTGCAAGGAAGTGTGGCAGTTACGGTGAATGCTGGTCCTTTGGCGTACGCTTCTGTTTTCTTGGACCCGAAGACTAACGACAAATTTCCCTATGAACGCGTGGAAGATCTGAGAGAAGTCTACAGGTAGGAAAAAGGGCCCTTAACTTAGTGATTTGCATCTATCGTGTGCTTTTTGTTCTTCCCAGGGACTTTATGAGAGTCTGCTACACAGCTCTACAGATCAATGGGCGCCTCATCATGTCGGACCAGAAGGATTATCACAAGGAATTGGAGAGGAACTACCAGAATCTCTGTTCAGCACTCACTGATCTCTTGGATGAATCATTCTTCCCATCAGATGAAACCAATTCCGCTCATCGCACAAGCTTAGCTCTATTCTCTGCCATAAGTGGAGCTCCGAACAATTCGAGTTCTGCATAAATTTTCAAATTTTCTCAGTTCTTTTCCTAGAGGAAAAATTCTCACTGAATCGAAAGAAACGCACACAATTTAGCCAATACACAGTAATCGAATTAGAATATTTCCGCCAATATGTGTCTATGCTGAATATTGGTCTTATAGAAGAAATTATGCTAAAAATAATATGAAATAATTGGAAATAATCGAAGAAGTAGCATCAAAATGCGACACACTGTAGCTAGATAATTCGGTGGAGCTCAAACGATGGTTTCGTTTTTTATGCAAAGCGGATTTGTGTGTCCTTTTGTAATTTTATACAAAATTTCATACCGAGAATTTTATACAATTTCGGCATTGCTAGTGGAAATTGAATGTAGGGAAGTTCTGTGTGTTTTAGAGAAAATTACGAGAATGGAAGCGCACGGTAAATGGACATGAAATATCATACCAAACTAGTCAAAGTTTTACTATTCAAACTCTACTCATCTCTTTTGTGTACTGAATTTGATATGGCTAAAGTTTATTGAGAATCTCTTTCAGAATTAAATTCGTTGATAGAGAGTGTAATATTAAATTCTATTGAGAAATCTAATTGCCAATTAGTTTGTGAATCTCGTGGGTTCTCGGGATTCTAGAGACGATTATTTCAGTTGAAATCACTGTTAATCTCCAAGAAATAAATATGTAACTCGGAATACATAAATGTTCAGGAAACTATGTGTTTTATTGATCTCGCTGCCTTTTTTTTTAACTTGTCTGCTGACGTTCTCTGTTTTTTAAGCCACAACGAATTCATGATGCGCGCTTTGAAGGATTCGATGAATTGATTTCTGTATTGAGTCTACAGAGGGCGCTGTCAGCTGTGTGAAGTAAAAGAAATTGAGTTTATGCTGTACTGGACGGAGAAGACTACTGCAGGAAGACACTGAAACAAGAATATTGAAAATCCTTGTCCCGCAGAAGGTATAATAATAAATCTTTTTGATCATAAGTCAAGGTGTCTGTTTTGCAAAAGGGATGATTTTTACTCAATTTCTTACAATCAATTATCTGCATTCAATATTTTGTCTGAATAAATATTTCTCTCTCTTGTTGATCATATGCTGTAGTATCAAATTACACAGAATTGAGTAATTTGATTAACAATAAAACGCCGATTTTGTATAAATAATCTACACTTTATTTCAATCTTGTCTTTTAAATAATTCCTCCATTTCTCAATTGATAGACATTTTTTTAGAGTAAATTCAGGTGTGAGATTGTATTCACAAGTGCCGCATGAAGAGTTCCTCTACTTTCTTTGTTGGGAGACAAGAACGACAAAATAGAACACAAAAGTTGTGAATTAGAATGGCGAAAGGAATTAGTCAGATATCTAGCAAACTACCAATGAATATTTGCGCCCCTTCTGTGATCTTTTCCAGTTGTCCTGAATCCATTCTCAATTTATATATAATATAAATTAACTTTCTCTTGCGTGGGATTTTCCAGTGAATGCCGAAGGTGCTTTAGAGGCGGATGCCGGGATTGCGAGAGCGCACGAAGTTGAGGAGCTCGTCGGAGTCCTCGCAGACGAAGGGCTTCAGGTGATGGCAGGCGACGTCGTGCCACTTGATGCCATCGTTGTAGAAGTTGTTGAGGATGGACAGGCAGGACTCGTCGTTGCCCTGGGCGGCTTCTCGGTTGTCTGGCTGGGCCTGGCCGTATCCTCCGGTGTAGCTCCAGTCGCCCGTGTTGCGCTGACTCGTGGGTCCGATCTTGGCGCCGGAGCCCGACCAGAACCATCCGTTCTCATTGGGCGGCTGCAGATCCGGACGGTCGCAGCCGGCGAAGTTGCACTTGCGGCCAGAAGTCCAGATGTAGCGCACATTGCCGCGCCCTATGCGCTGCTTGATGAACTCGTTCTCCTGTGGCGTCTCCATGGACACGGCATCCATGCAGTGACGACGGCAGATGTTCCTGGCGTCCAGCCAGTCCACCTCGAGACTGCGAGTTGGCTGCAAAGGTGAGTTAGAGGACGTTAGCATTGCAATCTCAGGTCGGATCTCAAGTTCACAAAGTCTGCGAAATGGTTATTGCTTCGCCAGAGAAACTATTTGCATACTAAGTTTCAAGAGATTGATGATAAAGCCGGGGATTTATCATACCTGATGCTCCCAACTGAAGAAGTAGGAGTGAGCGACTCCACGAGCATCGCGATAAGTGGCATGACGGACGCCTGAAAGAATTTGAGAGAGTGAGAGATATAAAGCATTTTCCAGAACTCTGAGACAATGAGATTTGATGCTTTGACAAAATTACAGCATTGTTTCCCGTCATAATGACACCCATAATAGTTCTTTTACAACGCACAAATTGCAAAATGAGTGCGCGAGATGTAATTGCATACGTTATGTGCTGCTTAGAAGATCTGCGAGATTTCTCTCTTACAGTCTTTTGCAACAGACACAATGCGAGAGGTACTTACGATTTGCACAACTCCTGGGATCGGGAAGGGCCAACCGGCGCTGCGCTGCCACCATGCTCACGCCAATGGTGAACAGTGCCAAGATCCTGAGCACTGACATCCTGGAAAGCAGCATGGAAAAGTTTCAGTTGTACAATCGTGGAAAAATCTTCTCAAATCACACATCGGAAGTGAGTTTGAGTTGATCAATCAATTGAGCTTCAATTCTCTCCGTCTATTCACATTTAAATTAATGGGTCTTCATAAAATTGTGACACTCCCAACTTCCTGTTCATTCTGATGAAATTGACAACATTGATTATTTACCAATGGTGATCATTTTTCAACAATTATCTTGGGAATTCCATTTGGAGCATTGCGCGCACGGGGAAAAACATCATCAGCCGTCCAAATGCGGGCACTGCGGTTTCACCAACTCATATTGCCCAATTATTTTTCGCAAATTGGGGGAAAGGTTCCAGAAAACTGGGGGCTCTAATTAGAAATTCTAGAGACTGAGAAGCAATTTCACAAATTTAATGCTTATTTCACCCAAATTGACGCTCGTGCCCATTTCGCAGCGATTATGATGTCTCCTCTCAATGTTTGTAATTCTGTCTGGCCGAAAGATCAACCGTTAAGCAATTATATACTTCTTCAGAGCGAGAGAAGTGGAACTCTTGCTGATAAAGGGAGAGTGATATTTGTCCAATAACCGATCACGATTCATCCTTTCGAAGCCAATCATCACTGACCATTGAATTGTTAATTTGCATCATTTGTCATGGTCTTAATCTTTCTCACATTTTCTCCTCCGCAAACGATCGTGATCTTCGCTTATTGGGAGAGGTGGTGAGAAGGCGCAGAGAAAAAACGACTGTATGTTGTGTGTTTTGGAATTATGTTAGAGGAAGAAGAGAAGTGAAATCAGGAAAAGGCTTTTCGGTGTGATTTTTTCCCGCTTCGTGTGATCGCATCAGTGAAAGCTCATGTGATCTTCATTGCTGATCGACGAAATGATCAATGATGTATTAGAATTGCTGAATAATGCCATTTAATAATCTGTTCGTGGGTGGAATGTTTTTGTGTGTAGAGAGAGTGAAAGTCAAGGTTTAGATCAAGTGATCTTCTCCTGTCGCCAGGTTCAGGGCAAGCGAGAGGACCACGCGAGAGCGAAGAAGATTGTTGTGTGGCGATAATAAAAATGAAGCTCAAGTAACGGTTAAATCGCACCAAGAGTGTCTCGATGTTGTGAATAAAAAGCACGCACGCGAGAGCTTCGCTAAATCAACAGAAATGCTAATGATTTCCAAAGAGGAAGAAGCTTCCTGGGCCAGAAAGCGTGCTGATTTGATGACAAATTCAAATAATTACTAGGTCAAGATGACTATGTGATGATCAAATACGTCGGCCGAGAGGTCTTTGAGCATGAGTTCGGTGGCAGTTGCGACTGTGACACTGGGGAGATCAAATGGGGCCAAAGAAGAAAGTGGAAGATGGAATTTGGAGTGTTGTTTACACCTTTCCACGAGGCCCAATGTAGTCCTCCTCAGTGACAATCTTCTCACCTATTCTTACCGCCAGACAATGATCAAATTCATTATGCAATTTTTCTCACACAACACCTCCAATGCAGAGGAGAGATGTTGAGAGCAGAAAGAAGACACAGTTCGCAATGGTGTTGGGAGAAAATTTATGTAATTAAGTAACCGGTAGTGTCGAGCAGTGCGCCTCCTTTGCCGTGTTTATTGGTTTATCCAGAAATGGGGGTCAGTAAGTCTGATTGATGGTCCGATTGATCATGAGAATGGTGGATAAAAAGAAGTCGAAGGAGACATACAAACAGAAGTGTGTGACTCTGTTGCAGTTCTTCTGCACCTCAATTGGAAAAAGGGGTTGTCATTAGCGAAAAGAGATGCATCGCACAGAAAAATGAAAGAAAAATACATCTTTGCAGTGCGGGCAATTTGTGATTTTTGGTGCACTTTATTTACAGATGCGGAGCCTCTTGATCTTCTTTTTTTGATTGGTTTTATGTCAATGATCTTGGGTGATTTTTCGAAGAGGTTCGTGGAATGTTGAGAGGAGAAAAAAAAACAAACCAGAATTTCACACCTATTTGCATATATTTTTGCGGTCATTTACCCGCGCGCGCGATTTGATCGAAAACCACACAAGATTTGTGATTGAAGATCACGGTATGATGCTGCGAATTCCGCACTGTTTGTGGCTTCTTGAAAATTGGCATTGGTGAAAGGAAAAGTTTTGCACGGATGAGGAAATGGAGAGAAAATCGCCCGCGAAGAAATATAGGCTCACCTGAAGTTAGTGCTTAGAACGATAAACACTGCCAAGAATTCACAGAAACACTGGATAATCCGATGGAGTGCGACGGAAGTAATCCAAAAGACGTGGAAGGGTACACACAACACTGGAGGAGCAATCTTTGAGATCCACACTTGGAGACACACAGGTGACTGGCTCGCTAAAACGTTCTGTTGTGTGTTTATAGCTGGCCTAAATGCCCCATCTGCAGGTCTCTCTCTTTCTCTCGCGATGGTGTGGGTACGAGAGCCGATGTGCCTCACCACTAAACCGGAGGTTAACCTACTTGCCAGCCTCTCCCCACTGCATCGCGATCTTCTGCCACTCGATCACTCCTCTGTGCACTCAATCGCTTCGTGCGTAACACTGGAAGGCACTCGTTTGCCCAGGAGATCCTTGAGAAGTTTCGGGAAAGAGCGACGAGGAAGTCCTCAAGTGTCTTAGGCATTGAGCTGAAGATGTTTTTCTTCTGTGTCGACTATCAGCAACGATGCAGAAATGACATAGACAACCACTGTGAAAATATTACCCCATTATTTTCAATTAAATACAAAATCATTGAGTGTACAAATTGACTTTTCCACCATGAAAAATCACTCAATTTCCTCTAATTTCACTTTAAGCAATTTTCCAGTGAGTAATTTGAATGGATTTCTAATTTTCTTCTCTCTCTCTGCCGTGTCATTTCAGGCTGTCCTGCGATGGATTATGCAGAATCTGGAGGTTGTTTTTCCTCTCTCGAGGTGCGGTGAGATGGCAATGAAATGGCAAGAGAGACAGAGAGAAGTGAGGAAAAATCTTGGTCAACAAGTCACAGAGAGATGTTCGTGGAAGTGAGAGAGAAAAAATCCATTCGGATGGATTGAATACGATTGTGTAATTTTTAATGAGTTTCCTGGTTCGATTTCTGCACAGCACACATTTGAGTGTTAAAATGAGCAAGAAATGAGAAGTATCTCGTGGATGCGCTGCATGAATGCACTGCACCATTCAACTTTCCCATCTTCTGACTCGCATTATTCAACGGTTTGGACTGACTTGCAACAATTGAGTGTGAGAGACAGAGTGAGAGAATTTAATTGCTCTTCTATGAAATTACACTTCAAGACGTCGCAGACATTATTTTCTCGTGCGAAGATCAAGCAACTCAGCGCCGGGGTCTCTGAACTCTTTTCTTCTCTTTGGCTCTGCCACTGGCAAATATGTGTGTCTAGCGTGGAAATTGACGATGGCACGAGAGGAAACTCTTGATAGATCCTTCTTCACATTCACTTTTTCAATGCATGCAAGCAAAGAGAGGGAGAGAGAAAGAGAGATATTTGAGTGTGGCAGCCAGAAGATTTCATCACACTCAATGTATAAAAGAGAAGATGAAAAAAGTCTGTCTTTGGCTTTAGAAGTCTCGTGACTTGTGAGATGTTTCCTTCACTCCTTTACAGTGGAATATAATTCATCTCAAAATGCGTCCTTCTGTATTTTCAGATTGAAAGATTGACGGCTGAAAAGCCACCAAAAACAGCACCGCAAAAGAGTTCATCAAAAGACCCCCGAAATGAGAATAATAACCCCGCGAGTCAGATGGACGTGAAGATTTCACTATGACAGATCAGAGAGGCAGCTTGGAAAAAAAGAGTGTTTGCAATTGTGTAACGAGCTAATAAGTGATCACATGACGGGGATTACCATCTAGAAGATGGCCAAATTTAGGTAAAGGTGAGCCACTAAATAATTTTTCAAGCATCACAAAAAAGCACCCAATCACCACACACACTCGTGCACATCATTAATTTCTGCAGAGATGCAATTCTGCGATGCCACGCTTCGTAAAGTTGCAAAAGCATCCTACCTTGAGATTATTGGAAGTTATGCTGTGAAAAGATCACTTTGTGGCTTCAGGTGCTTCCAATTTGTGTTCAGCACTTCTCAGATTGACTTATTGAGAGCTCCTTTGTGATTTAAAGAGGCGTGCTGTCGGGGGATGCAAGGGGAGAGATATCGCGTTGTTTTGAAAGTTTTACTTTCAAAATATTTGTGTTAGGTATAAAAATAAATTGTGGTCACGTTTTTTTATTGTAAATTTGCATTGATTATAATGTCAATGGTTGTCGCTGTATGAATAGGAAATTGTCATCCAATTTATTATCGGATTATTATTTCCTTTGTGGCAATTTTTCCAGAGACTTGTTGTACATATTAATATTCAGGTGTAATAGATTTCTTTCACTGACCATGTAGATTAAAATCTCATTAGGTCTTCATTAAATTTCGCAGTTTAATTGTTAATGGGTGGGGAAAGAATTCATTTGCAAATACTTTGTTTGCTTCATTCAATTTTCTGGCATAAATCTTCGTGCGTTTCCCACAGAATGACACAGTAAGAAGGCCTTAGAAGTGAGCCAGAGACGATTTACCTAATTAGATTAAAAAATAATCCCGATAGTCTCGCTAATTGCAGTGAAGATTGATGTGGCTATTAATGAGCTTCAGCACTTTTCATTGAGCTTTGCAACTTTGACACAGTTTGAATTTAGTCAATGAAATCTCCCAAGTCATTTGCAAGAACCCGAAGAGATAAAGATAATTTATCTATGAAATATTTTATATGAATATTTCATGTGAAATTGAGCTGTGAATTTTCCAAATACCACAAAATAACCATAAACAATGTTTTATCGAAGGTTTTCTAATACTCTTCATTCCTTTCTCTCTCTCTTTCACTGAACAGTGAAAGGACTTTTGAGGCTTCTTCTAACTTAAATCCGTGGATTTATCGTCTAGAAATGGTAAGTCTTTTCTTTTTTGTACAGCAAATAATGAATCTTTTGATTGAATCACGGAGATGAAGTCACGAAGATTTATCTAGGTAATGATCAACGCCCAAGAGTCTCAAAAATTTTCATCCAATGCAATTTACACACTAATTGAATTTAATTGAATTTTAATTCTCATAACATTTAATGGAAAACTAATTCACAACTTTACACATTCTCTTTTTTTCACAAAATGATGCATTCGGCAGATTTTGGAAATGTCTTTTAAAATAAAAAGAGGGAAATATGAAAACAATATTCAGTCTCGTATAGTTTATTCTGATAAATTGGTAAACTTTTCACTTTCTTTGGCATCTCATCCGTTGGTCCGCCAATGGTGAGAGGAAGAGATAGAGAAGAGGTGTAATTGAGAGAAAAAATTGGAATTTTGTGCCCAAAAGGGGAGTAGTTCGGATAGAAAGTGATTTACGGGAGTGAGAGAAAGGGGCAGAGAGAGTGGGAATAATTTGACCTTAATTTACCTATATTGTGGGCTCTTCTCCGTGGCGATCTTGAGCCGTTAAGAGGAGATCAATTTGAGAGGAATGGCGTGGCCAAAGGGAGCAATCTCAGAGGCTCAGATGCACATGATGTTAAACATGCGAGAAAGACCTGCAAGGTGGGCTTTCAGGGTAAATTTCACTGTGCAGATGGAAAACAAACAGAGATGAGGATGATTTTTGGACCCGAGTCACCATGCAAAGATAGAAAGTACGCGGTGTCTTTCTCTCTTTCTCGGCAACTCGACAAACGAGCCAATTTATCGCCTCACATGTTGCATTATTGCCATTGCTAATAGTTTTTTGTCATTAAATACCACAGCGTAAGGCGGTGAAATGCTCATCATTAATTCTTTACTCTATTGCGAACTCTTCCTTGGTCACACGCTTCTGCATCTCTTTTTTATGTCTGCTTAGCATTTGATGATTGATGGAGAAGATCTTGCAGAGACCTTTACGTAATGCATATGGAATTTTCCACAGATCTGTTCAGCGGATGATCGATCATATATGATCAATTTCAAAATCCCTGCAAGCTTGCCTGCAAGAGACGTTTGAAGCAGCGATTGACTTTGTCATGGATTTTAAGATGAAATGCACATAACGGAAGTCTTTTCAATAAATATTTAATATGATTTTCAAATAGAAAATCAAAGAAGAGATGATCAAAAAGCCAACATCATTGGAAAATAATTTCAAAAAATAACAAACTCTTCACATTTTTCCGGGCGCCAATCCGTCATTTTCAGGGAAGGTTAAGGTTACTAGTTTGTTTGGTAAGAGAGTCTTGACAGTTTTTTTTTATCTTTCTTTTGGCTAAACACTTTTTGGAGAGTTTATATAAAAGATGATTGACCTTTTCCTCTGCACGACGAAAAAACGACTACAAAACAGGTGTGATTGAGTCGAAGTGGTTTCCGGAAACCTTCTTTTTTTTGGTGTGCCTGAATGTTTGCTTAAGAGGAAATTTACAATGTTGCGCAAGACAATCCCACCCACATTCCCAGCAAATTAGTTCCGCGATGCAATTGAGGAGAAAGAGGTGTCGAGGAAGATGAGCTCTCTAGTGTGAGAGTTAATCAAGATTTCGTGTCTTGGTGCCTTCATTGATATTCACGCTATTCTTCACATCTGTTCTTCCTACAAAATGACTCTGCAGATGGCAAATTTAAAGCACAGTAAATTGAAAGAAGTAAAATGAGAAACTCTTTGCTAATTAGTGCGTTTGCATTTCACTCCAATTGAGGAGTCAATCTCTACCACAGACGCCCTGACAAATTAAAAGAGATCACGAGATGAAGATGTGAAGGTGATTTCGGAAATCTCTTAAGTACTCTAATTGTTCGTCTTGCTCTTAATTCCACACCGTATCAGCCACATGCTGAGGTTCGGAGTGAAAAAAAATCCGACACAGCTTTTTTGGCGGGAAAGTTTTCGACACAGACTCAACAAAAGACTGTCTATTTTCACTCGTTTTCAATGTCTTCAATTGAAAAGTCGAAACAAATTCGATGCTCATGAGGGCTAACAAGCTTTGCCCAACTTGTGCTTGAATGAATTGCAATGTTGCGAAAAAATGGATTGTCAACAAATAGTATTTTAAGAGTTTAATTGAGATCCAGATGATTAGTTTTTAATTGTATCCGAACCCTTTAGTGCAATAGTGCATCAATATTATGTGCTGGTGTTTGGAATTCTGCATTTAAAAGCCTCGTCGTTAATGAACAATAAAAATTTCGCCCGTTGAAATGGACAGAAAAAGAGATGGTGAGGCGAGAGAAAGAAATAGTGTGAATGAGGGTCAATATTAATTAATTCGTCGACCTCTAATCGTGCGAAAAGAATTCCTTCGTGTGCGATAGAAAGTGAAAATCACACTCATGTGACAAAAAGATCTTTGATTTTTCAACTTCATTGACTTTCGTATGAAATACCTCTCAATGGGGGAGCGTTTGGAGTGGTTCGTGCGCACAAAAAAGAGCTCCAAAGTCAGACACTCAGCATATGAACAATAAATACTGTGAATTATTGCATTGGATGCCTTTTTCGCACGACACTTTTGCCACCTGCTGAAATGTTTGACCGAGTGTGAGACAAAAAAGTGTGGCCAATAAAGCATCTCTCCCACAGTGGCTGAAGAAGAGGACTGTATCTCATTTCCCCATCGCGCCAAAGAATGGAAAATATGATTATTGCAAAACGCGTTTCCTCGGACGCAAAAAGAGATCGCCCTTGTGCTCAATTAAGTGGTAATTTTTCAAGATATTTCGATGCTCCGACAGGGAGGAAAAAATGTGACGAAAAATCACTTAGATATTATTCCGTAGCTCTGTTATTTAGAGATATTTTACGCAGAAAGCAATATTCTCACTTTCTCACTGTGGTTCGCGATAAAAGAAGATGCGAGAGCATCATATTTATATAATTTATACTTATTTTCTATGAAAATTTTAAAATCAAATACACCGTGAGTGCATTGATGATTTCTCTCTATCGCTGGAACTTTTTCTCGCTGTATGAAAATTTATCGACAAAACACAGTTTCGCAATGAAATTCATTGTTGATCCATTTACAACACTGATGATGTTGTGAAGATTTTCTGCACACACTTTTATGCCATCTTCAAACTGGACTAGTTGAGACCAATGCGTTAAGATTGTATCTTATTCAGTGTTATTTACTGTAGTCACGTCGATGAAGTGATGGTAATTCACAAGAGCTTGTTTTCTCAATAGGACATCGTTTTTCTCGTAAAATTGTTGGTCTTTATTTATACAGATAAAGTATAGTTTTGTCACGGTAGAAATTTTGGAGGTGACTTAAAATGGAATTTTCCTTCAGCCTTTTCAACGGATCTCAAGAACATTCATTTGCTGTTAAGTTTAAATAAACATGTGAACAAATTGATGAACAAACTACACAGTGAAGAAATTGTTCGTTCTCATACCTCAGCGTAAGTGAAGTATGAAATGAAAATGTATAGTTTTCCACAGGCATTACAAGTTATTACAAGACCACGAAGGCTTTCCCTGCTAAACTTGAAGAGAATTTTCCACAGTTTAGAAATGGAAGAGCAATTCTCACCAACTCTGTGAATCTCAAGACAGACAGCGCGTTTACTGGCATGCAATCATACACATTTTGAATCATTCAACGTCGAAAAACTCATGTTGAAAACGAACTAGAGTTAAATAAAATCTATATTTCACATTTTCAATATAGAACAGTAAATTCCTATAATATTGGTCTACTCTTGATTGCAAAAATTTGTTGGGAAAAAGAAGGTATAGAGAAAGAGAGGAAATTTTCTTGAATTACACGATGAATTTCTTCGTGATCTGTCGTGATTAAGCTTCCATCTTAATGGGTGGCAAGAGTTTGGGCCAGTCCACGAATTCCTTGCCATATTTGAAGATTCCAGCTGTGCTGACGCCCACCATGGCGCCCCAGAAGAGGAGGAACAAGAGATTTTCCGTGCTGTACTCCTGCGGGAAGACAGACGAGGCGAAGAACATTGCCACAGCGAACATGAGCACCGACGGGAATGTGAGATACTTCCAGCCACGCTGAGTGTTGAGAGGACTGGGCACGGACACCCCCTCGCCGTCCTGGATCACGTAGTTGCCCAGCAGGAGGTCGATTCCGTCCTGCCGGAAGCCGTCGTTGAAGTTGTTCTTGTAGTATCGCGTGAGAGAGTTGATACCATCCTTGACCAGGCCCATCTTCGTCCTCTTTCCCGTGCGCGTGAAGTCAGTTTTGAGGGCTCCTGTGCCCGAGTACTGCGTAGAGACTAGGTCAGCGTTGTCCGCCCAAACATTCTTGAATAGCATCTCGAAGGCATAACAATTCTCAATCGTCTGTCCCTTGAGGAGGATTCCCAGACGCATTAGAGTGTGCGTGAGAGATCTCTTAGCTAGCATACTCTGCACCACATTCGTCCTGTCCAGACAGTCAACGCAATTGGTTCGAAAGACACCATCCTGGGAAGATAGGAGAGTTCCGTCGCGTCTCAAGTGGAACACTGAGAACTCATCTTGCTCGTGCGCCAGACGATCTATCAGGATGTTGAGGCGATCCCAGCGCATCTTCCTGCACTCAGCGTGAAAGTCAAAGGCCTCATAGCGTATGGCTGAATTCGCCAGCAATCCCACGGCATTAGAGTAGGCCTTCTCCAGGACATCTTCAGCTCCTCGGTGATCGATTAGGTTGATGAGAACCTGTCGACCGTAGTGAAGTAGTTGCGAGTCCACGTGTTTGGTGAAAGCCGTCATGTGATCCTTTCCTGGGATGATTTCTGGTGGTGGTTTGTACCTCAAATTGGGAGTTTGACGCCAGAAGATTGGGATGCTGCCCCGTGTCTGGACGAAGGACACTTTGTCGCCCAAGTACTCAACGATTTGCTCAGTTTCCACGTAATTGGCGCAATTACCCTGAAACATTCACTCATATGAGATAATAATCTAATGATTACTTGCAGACACACTCACGTTCTGATCGATTCCACGACAGAAGAGTCTAGTGCCGGCCCGATGGATTGATCGGCGACTTATGATGCTCCACGTGAAGGAGTTCCCATTGACATTCACTTGATTAATAGATATGACTAGAAGAGAAACGACGATGAATCTATTAATAGACCTTTGATCTCATATGGAGAGAAGTCAGCGAATCTCGCATTTTATCTTCTCTTAATTGCCTACTGGGAAGCTGATAAGAATTCCACTTGAGAGATATCAAGACACTTACATCCGAGAATAACTGGTAGGCTGAACTTCCGGCAATCCACCCGCTGGAATTCCCTCAGCAGGAACCCGTTCCACACGAAGCGAACGTCCGCTCGCTCCAGGAGCCCCATTTGCAGGAATTCCGGGGGCATCCCGTTGAGGCGCTGCAGGGTGTGCGTGAGATCGTAGGAGTAGGAGAAGTAGAAGTGAGGTGTGCCTAGGGTTTGCCTGATCATCTGGAGGTAGGAGTCGTTCTGCACCTTCTGGCTCTCGCTCAGGTGGCTCGAGGACGGAATGTAGGGGAAAATGTCATAGCCGGCGAGGCGCCAGATCGCCTGTCCATTGATCACGCCCACGAAGACCCGGTGTGTCGCCACCACGAGATAGTGGCCCCCGAGGAGCTTAATAGCACCCAGGATGCCGCAGATTCTCCGATGGGGGCTCACATGGGTCAAATCATCAGGCTTCGATACTGCAAAGAGAATGCCTTTCAGTGACAGCTTCCGGGAAGGTGTTTTCTCAATCCCCTACCTTGAACACTGATTGCCTGCGTGATGCGATCTATCACCAGGACATCCTTCTTCTCCTGTCCATTAGGCTCCACGACGAATTTGTCCGGGGACAAGTAGCTGCAAAACAAACAGAACGTCAGTGACGTGAGTTCAAGGCTTCACGCCAGTTTCTCCTGCAAATCAAGGACAGTCACAGAGAATTTCACTATTAAGGGATACTAGAGGCTTCCGAGGACAAATCTCGAGTAAATTAGAACGGAATTGAATCGAGGGAAGTGAGGAAAATCAACTTACAAATTCATATCGTCGTAAATATCCATGATTCGTGACTTTTCCAAACACTCACTCTCAGCCCAGATGACGTAGCCGATAAGACTTGGCTTTAAAATTTCAGTGAAAGTTTCATGAACTCGAAAATTTTGTGTTTCGCTCAAGATTTTAATTTCAGAAATTCTAGGAAAGTAAATTAAGTTCAATGAGGTCTCAACTATTACACAGAATCTTACAAAATATATAGTTTAAGTAGAATGTCTTCATAAACCACATAAAGCATAATGAAATTTTCAAGCCAGTCAACTCTAAATTGTGATGAAATGTTATCGGAGTAGCAGAAATCGGCAACTAGAGGGCGCCACTGACAGCAAACATGCAATTTCAAACAGATTAACATAATTCAACGACGTTTTTGTACAAAAAATGATTTATTTCTCAGTAAATATACAAAAAATAAGAGAAATGCCACACTATAATCTTAACATTATGTTATTAGCGAATTAAACGAAAATAAAAACAAATCCATATGAATTTGGAATTCTCCCACAAAGATCATTATGCATTCAGTCGAGATTTTGGAATTTTGTCGTTATAGATTAATAATCATGGCGTTACACTTTTGCGGAGAATCCGAGGGTGAATCTCAGCAAATCTCCATAGAGAGAGAGCACATTTTCGATGTGAAGACAGACAGAATAAATTACAAGGGATGAGATTGCACACATTCACGCTACTCCTTGCACCCCAATCCGGCTGCCCAATTGCAAATGCCACCCACGGGATCGTAGCTGAGGCCTGAAAAGAGGTGAGAGGGAAAATTTGTGAGTGTTGAGTGCAGAGGAAATGGCAATTAAGAGTTAACCACCTTTCGGACACGTATATTCCCATCCTACCACGCCCCCATTTTCCATTTTGGCGCAGGAAATGAACTTTCGACATGATAACGGATGTGGAAAATTGCCCTGGTCCAGACACTCGATTACTCCGTGGCCGTGGAGAATCACCTTCACCTGGAAGTATTCGCAGAAGTAATTTTATTGAATGTCAGTGCGTTTGTGAAGGGTTATTCTGTACTTGTGAATTGGATTTTCCGATTATCCTATCGTCTTCATCGTCATAATAGTCATAATCGATGACTGGCCGGTAGGTTTTGCTCACAAAGTCTGAGTCTGATCTCGGCGAGGATGAGTGCAATCTCTGGGATCTCCTCGACGGCAGAATCCTGTCGAAAGCTGCAGGGACTTTCGGTCGGCGACTCACGCTGCTTAGCTGAGCTCTTGTCGTACTTGGTCGTCTATGGGTAACTCTTGCTGTAAGGATAATTAATGTACTACGATTCCAGGAAGACACAATTTAAGGGTCTTACGTGTGGGAGAGACAGGTTTCCTTGGTGTTGACAGCTCAAATCGTTGCAGTGGCGAGACGTCTTTGAAGGAATTGTCTGCTTTGGGGGTGGAAATGGGAACTGGCGGCGGAGCTTTAGAGATGGTCTTAATAGCCAGGACGAATTCCTCGTCGATGGGTTCGCTTATTTGATTGTAGCGACTGCTTGAGAATTTGTTCTCCTGATTTATGCTCTGTTCAATTTCCTGGTCAACCCCATCGATGATGGTTGTTGCCACTGTTGAGCTCGCAGAGGTTGTTGTTGCCGGTGTTGTTGTCCTCAAGGATGGCTTTGTGGTGAAGGTGTAACGCCTCTTGTAGGTGGTCTGCTCTGTTGTGCCTAAACGCGTGTTTTTGAGTAATGAATTTCACAATGAATAAAGTAATTAATGTCTTTCTCAACAACTCTACAATGCTAATGATCGCAGAAGTGAGGGATAAAAATTAAGTGGGTGGCAAATGGTTATAATAAAACCTCGAAAATATGTACACATGATGTAAAGAAGCATTTTCTGAGTAAAATTTTGTATGAATTTTGCACTTTCTAAATGCAAAGTTTCATAAGTCTCTTAAATTAAATGGACCAGCAAAAATTGTGTCAAGGTAATTAATCCTGCTGGCAAATTTCCACAATGTCCAAAACTTTTATTTCTCTCGTCTCAAATCAAAGACTCGCCATTCACTTGTCTATCGAAGATGGCACAAGTGGTTCAATAAAAATATTTCATCACTCTCGGCGATGTTTTGCCTTATTTTTCCAGATCGCGAGAAGGGAGAAGAAGCGGCGAAGCACGCAATTTGACGATGATCATTTGAATAAAATGCTCATCTTTCGCTCGCTTGTTTGCCTTGGCTGATGTTTTACAGCATGCAGAAATGGTTGTGGATGAAAAACCCGTGCGGTGGCCAATTTATGGAACAATCTCGTTGGCTGTTGCATCAAAATGTGGCTTTTGAGTGTGGTTTTGATGGAAAAGCGACAGGAGGCGAAATGATTGTTTTTCCACACAAGTCTTTATGTTTGCTCAAGGTGGTCCGACCGGTCTGTATATCGGTGGACAAAGTGGGTGAGCGAGGTGGTGAGAGATATGGAGGCATTTGCTCAGTAAATATTCTCACCATCTTTGCCAAAGGGGAATTAATTGACATGGCGCGACTTTGACGAATGCTGAAAAGCAAAGTCTTCACCATTCCTTTTAGTCAATTCACTCGAGAGTCAATAAACTTTCTTCAAAAGGCCACTTGTCGCCTGAACCTTCAACATTTTGCATTCAATTGAACTTTATGCAATCAATTTATGCAACTCTCTTCGTGTGGCTCTTCATCAAGATGGCTATAGAAATTCCATACTTTCACACAAATTTGGCGCTAATTTTCTCTTTTGCTAAATCAGCATTTTTTAACCAGGTGTTCAGATGAGATAGGAAGTGATTCAGTGTCAATTAAAAAATGATCTCACTTTGCCATATATGCAAAGTTATTTTTTCTTAGCCTATTGTTTCCAAATCTTCCAATTTATGGGGGAATTTCTGAAGTTTTATGCCGAAAAGATCTTATACTGCTCGAGAGGTATTAAATAAGTCATTCATCACGATCCAGTTTGGCTCTTTTCATGGACATTGATTTAAAATCAGGGGCTGATGAATCACGAAGCAAGAGAGTGTGTTTACATTAATATTGAGTAAGCTTAAAAAATAATTTAAAAGTTCCACCCCCAAAAAACAATCTAATTTTCTCGTTAAAGTGAACCATTTAAAAAATTACGGATAAAACTAATCGAACCACTCAAGTAATTGAAGTAATATCAGCTCCCTTCACTTTTTTTCTCTCTCGCTCCTTTTCAAATTCCAAAGCACGATTATGCATTTCGCAATGGCGAGCCCCTGATGCGTGAGAGCTTGTCCGCGAGTCAAAAGAAGTGGTCCAAGAAGTATATCTTTCTCAAGAAATTGTCCTTGCCATGCGGACCAGATTTGCTGTCAACCTCGTTTTCTGCGGTCTCAAACAAGATCACGATCGCGCGAGCGAGATTAAAGTGAGAAAGATCACAAAATATGCAAGAGGCAAAAAAAGAAATCTCACCGAGATCATTGCTTTTCGGCGGAGCGGCCGTGGTGGTGGACTTGGCGGGCTGGGGCGTCTCCCCACGCGATCCGCCGAATTTTCGTCGGATGGCGATCCGCGGCGGAGTTTTGGGGCTCGCTTGCGGCGGCGCGCTCGTGGTCGTTGGCTGCGTGCTTGGCGGTCGCGATCCTCGGCGCAGCAGAAACGATCGAGCCGTCGTGGAGGAAGCACTCACCGTTGGGCGCTCTGTGGTTGTAGATTTCGGCGTGGCGACGGTGCTTCGGGTGCGAGGATTGTACGTGGGACGCCGGAAGTTGGGCCTCAGCAGCTGCGGGCGGTTCTGCAAGAGAGATCCTCAGTTATCACCTCGGAAGCTGTGCATTTGCCATCCATCTGTGACGACAGTGCAGAGTGTTAAGTCATTTACAGGTGCTCTTGAAAGTGTGTGATCTTGTTGGTGATATCGTGTTGTGTGGTGGAAAGAGGTGATCTTGTGCATGACAATTTATTCATAATACTTTTATTTTATCTCTCACAAGCAGGAAACAATTAAGGCGACAATAAATAATTGCTTTTCTCGATGGTCTTTCAATTTAATACGTCCCATGCTTTTCAGTGTGGTCAATTTTTTGGTGATAATTTTTTTCCCTCCACAGAAACTTTCATTTTTTCTGTACAGAGTCAATAAATATTTTCCCAGAGAGTGAGAGAGAGTGAGTGAGTCAATGATATCTTCAAATATCAAATGATCACGACAGATCGAAAGAGTGACGAGAAAAAAATCACACGAAGGGAGAAAAAGCGATAATTTTATGTAACTTTCTTTAAAAGGCACTCTGTGAAAAATCATATTGATGATTTCATCGTTTCATAACACTCTTTGCTACTCTTTTATTCATTCAGCTATGTGTGTATGACTGGGGGAATTTGTAAATATTAAATGTGACACAGCGATCAATTGTGATTCATCATAAATAAATCTCTCAATCCTCCGTCTCTCACTTTTGCCTCACTAAACATAGCCATGATCTTCGATGCAGGTTTTCGAGTGAAAGTATTTTTTCGTCTCTTTGGCACAAGGCATTCAATCAATGTGGCTCATCATCGAGGCTGTGTTTTGTAAAATTCATTATCTCACTGGAGTTCCAGTACAAATCAACTTCCCGAATGGCTTCACCATCAATCGCTGTCTCACTTTCATTTTCCCGATGCAGCGAAAGTTCCGTTAATGCCTTTTGAGCTGACTGTGAAGTCTTCAGCTCACAAAAAGCACACTCGAATATATTTTACGTGTGCTCCACCTTGAAAGAGTTTACATTTAATTGGATGGCAAAGAGTGATTTAAATCACTTAACTGACTCAACTCTTTTCTAAAGTGTGCGCTTGCAGATTTGGACTCTTTCACTCTCTCCCTCACATTGGGGTCAAGGCCAGTATTAATTACATTTTAATTAGTTACGCGGAGGCGGAATAAATTATATAGAATTGACAGACGTTGATTTTGAATCCAAGAGATGTGACATTTTGACGTACAATTTAATGTCACTGTCAGATACAAATATAAAAATTGAACATCCGTTAATAACGAAAACATTCTCTTTTATTGATAAATTACTTTGTTGAAATCATTGTGAGCAATGTGTTCTGCTGTGAAAAATGCAATAAAAGCCCTATAATCTTAAATCTGTCTTAATCTATAATTTCTGTGTATGTACAAACATGGCATTATTCTTGCAAAAGAGTTATTTCTCAAATTTCACAACCATCCCACGACTTTTGGACAGCTTAAGCAAGTCAAGAATATTATCCCAAAAACCGTACAAATCATGCGTGTGTGTTTCCCACTCTGTGACAGAAGTAAAACAACAAGTGTAACAATAAATTTTCATTAGCAATTCTCTGGCAAAACATACTTTGTAGTGATTTACAATAAAATATGTGTGATTAAAACTAATGCTAATCTCTTTTCATCCAAATCGCCAATCTTTTCGTGCACTTGGAAAAAACTACAACTCTCTTCTGCAAATTGCTTTCTTTTTTACAGAGACGAATTTTTGGATCGTTTAAGGATTTTCATGAATATAAGAAGTGAATGTAGCATTTTTGTATAGTGGTGAAGATATGAAATTTCAGAAAAATTCCAATCAGATCTTTCTTATACATCCTTTTTACAAAACTTAAAGCTAAACTTACATAAGATATGTTATTTTACACATGTTAAAGACATACATTAACAAAAAGACATAACATTCTCTCAGAGAGATTATTGAACAGGATGACTTAAGATCCAGGATATGTACTCGCTTCTCTTAAAGACTCTTGTGTCAAAAGCACCAGGAAGAGACAGAGAAATCCATCGCCTCAATCATTGTGTAAGAGATTCCCAAGAAGAGAGCCAAGAAAATGCTCATGAAGTGAGTGAAAAGAAACCCTCAGACCATAGATTGTGGGGACTGTACACAAGGGGAAACCTAGAGAATGGGTGAAATGTTGAAGCAGGTGGTGAAGGAGAGAAGGATTAGAGTTGTGTGGCTGTTACAGAGTCTGTTGTGGTCTCTCCTTGGACTAGCTCTTGAGTCTCCTGCGGAACACTCTCTGTGGTGCCTTCACTGTCGCCACTTCCGTGATCGCCAGCGACCACCGTGGTGGAATCCGCTGGTGCCAGCGTGGAGGTGGACGCGTCCTCCTCAGTGACCCGCGTGAGGAGGACCTTGTCCAGGTTGGCAATGGAAATGACGATAGGGGAGGATTCATTGGTTTCGGGTCGCAACAGAGAGACAAGAGGTCGTACCGGCTTAAATGTGCTCGATGATCCGGGAAGAGATGTTGTCACCTCTATCTCATTATCCGTGGTGCTTTCTGTGGCATGCGTGCTGGTGGATCTCTTCTCATTGCCCCCGATGCTCGTGGCATAGACAATGTTCAGCTTCTTCCCATCTTCCTCGGCTGTGAGAACGACGTTCTTTGCTTGTCGCTCACTCTCTTGCCGAAAGAGTCCTTCCAGGGGAATTGTGGAGGTCTCCACACTGAAAATATACTCTGGCGAGAGTATTTGACGTGATTTTGCCTCCCTGGGTGTGTCTGTGAGATTCTCCTGGGTGATATTGAGTGGATCAACGTACTTTATCAGCGTCAAGCGACTCACTTCACCCAGTTTGTCTAACGTAGGGATTTTCTCCACCCTCAAATCTGTGCTTTGGAGAGTCTTCGGCTCCAAAGATTTGCCCTCTATCCGAACATTGTCCTGCTTCGAGTAGATCTCCACAATCCTGTTCACCTCCACAAGTTTCTCCAGATGCTGGCTGATCTCCCCGGCGGGTTCCTCCTGCTTGGGCGTCGTGCCATTGGCAGATGGACTGGGACTGACTGTGCTGGGGCTCGTCGTGGTATCATCATAGTCTATGGCGAAGACATGATGGAGTGTGGTGGGTCGACTGGTGGTCGTAGTGGTGGTTTTTCTCCTGAAAGCCGGCCGGAAAATGTGGGTTCCGCCCTGCAATTGGTTCGAATTGATTAAACTCTCCTCATCATCGATAGTGAGTGTTGTGGTCTCAGTATCCTGAACTGTACTTGTATTTACATCTTCCGTGGTGTCTTGTGGACTGTTATCAGTGTTATGTGATGTTTCTGTTGTAACCCCAACTTGATCAACTCCCACATCTACAGCAACTTTACTACTAACTACGGGTGTATTGTACTTTTTACTCGTGACCGTGAAGAGTTTCCGCGTTCTTTCTCGCTGGCTCTCGCTCAGGCTGCCCTCGAGGGTAGTCGGTGGCTCCGTGGTGGCCACAGGTTTGTCAAAACTCTTAGAGGACTTTGTAAGACTCTGGGTTGTTGTCTCAAACTTCCTGGATGCTGGATGGAGCTTTGACCGATCAATTGTCTGGTATGTTGGACGATTGACGATCTTCTCAACAGAGTTATTCTCAATATTATCACCCGGGCGCTTTTCTTCCTCTGCGGCCACCACCTCATCGGGGCTTTCTACCTCTGGCTCATCCTCATGAATCTCCTGATTCAGCGCCACTTCCTCAACGGGTGCTTCTGACCTAAATCCCCCGCGGAAGCCTTCAATAGATCCCGTGGTGCCACGGAATGTGTTTCGGAAGCGAGGCCTGGTGCTCCCCTCAAAGTTTAATGGGCGACCTCGCGCGGTGGTGACCTCAACACTTACCTGCTCCTTGTCCTGAACACGACTGCTGAATCTCCTGGGAATGAACGACCGAGGCGTGGCCACAGGTTGTTCAGCTGAAGTTGTTGATGTGAATATTACTGGCCGACGAGAGCGAAAAGCCACTCGATATCGTGGAGTCAATTTCTCCGTTGTTGACTTTTCCTCGAATCTCTCGATCTTGGTCACTTCCTCCTCCACAGGGTCTTCCACTTCATTAGAGAGCTCTGTTGTGGCTTCCTGAGATGCTCCTCGATTGATAGTTACATAAAGTTTTTCAATATTTTGCGCCTTTGCACGACGGAAAGTTGTCGTTGGAGCGACAGTGGTGCTTCCATATTCAGGTTCCTCAACTTCTTCCTCTGTTTCCTCCAGTTTAAGAATGTGAGTTCTTCCATTGTCTGCCTCAACATGCTGGAAGGTTCCTCTTGCCGTCGAGACATCCTCAAAACTCTCTTCAGTTGTCTCAGGAAGTTCAGTAGTAGTCGTCGTTGTTGTGGTTGTTGTAGACGTCGAAACTCTTGGTCTCAGCCTTCTAATCACTTTCCTGTATCTCTGTTGATCAGGAGTTTCTGCTTCTGGAGTAGCAGCCGTCGAGGAAGTTTCTTGTTCAACTCTTGGCACTTCAGAAGAGACATCAAATCTCGAAACTGGCCGTTTTCTGATTAATTTCCTCCTAAAACTCACACCGGATTCAGATGAGCTTGTGGAGGATTCAATTCTACTTGGACGTCTTCTAATTGGCACATAGGAAGAATCTGTTGAAATTTGAGGTCTTCTGCCTCTCACCCGACTTCTCTCTGTAAATGCTTCTTCAGAAGAAGAAGTAATAGTTTCTGCGGATTCTGTTGAACTTCTCTCAAAGCTTTCCGCTAATGTGGTTTGGTATTGAGGTCTTCTGCTCCTGATTCTCTGTGAAGCTGTCGTTGCTTCTTCCTGGGATGCACTGGCCTCCCTGGAGACTTGAGCTATGGGTCTCCTTCGTCGGACAACAAATCTAACCTGTCCCGCCGAGGATGTGTCTTCATAACTCCTCTCAGGAGATACTCTCCTACGCTCTGCAGAAGTTCTGGACACAGTGCCAAAACGATTCCTTCCTCTCGATGGGAAGAGTGTCACAGGAGCAGGAGCATCCGTGGTCTCCAAACTCGAAGCTGTTGTTTCCAAATTCTCAGCTTCTGTTACTGGAGGCTCAGTTGTGGAAATGGCCACTTCAATTGGTTCCGCTATAAACGGTCGAATGATTCTTGAGTCTCGATAGTTCGGTCCTGACTTTGTAGCCTCTCCTATTTGATCCAGTTTTCCATGGCGTTCATTGTGGAAGAGACTATTGTCCTGGAATGACCTAAAGGGATATGGCGTGGTCACGAAGACTATCTCCTCCTCTTGAGCTTTCGACGTGGCGACTGGTTGAACTACAACACGAACAATGGGAGAATTGTCCTCCTGACTCCTAGAATCTTTCGCACGCTGAAAGATTTGGAATCTATTAATGGGATTCACTGGGAATTGTGTGGTTGTCTGTGGCTCTGGAGTCGTTGGGATTTCCGTTGTAGTTGTAGTACTTGTGGTAAAAGGTCTCCTTCTCCTTGAAACAATCTGCCTTCTATCTGGGGTGCCTGGAGTGGAGATTTCCACATTTTTCACTTCAGTCACTTCATCCCTGGGCCTGATGGTTCTCCTTGGTGGAAGATTTCTCTCTGTCGATGGGAAATCATTTCCTCTGACGATCTCTCCGCGAGTGTTGTACCTCTTTCTGCCGCGATAAATTCTCTGACGTTCGATGGTGGGATCTCTCGTGAAGTCCGAGGGAGTGGGAGATTGTGAAAATGGTGCAGGTGAAGTTGTGGACTGAGTGATGACTTGGGAATTCAGTGACAAATCATTTGGGACAGGAGAATATCCGCGGAATCTACCACGCTGTCTCAAACTCACCTTTCTCTCCTGACCACCTGGTGCTTGAGTCACTTCGTTGGCCAACGGAGAGACTGCCTCTGAGGCGTTCTCCGTGGACGAGATGCGCTTGAATGGTCGGATGCGGCGATGTGAAATGCCAAGGAAGTTCCTCACTGGTGCCACTGTGGAAGTGGCTAGCTGCTCCTCATCTAAACGTCTCACTTCATTCACCTCAACGCGCTTTCGCGGCGGCAGGAGGTCCTCTTCGACCTCCTGAATCGTGTCACCACGCGTCTCCGTGGCCAGAGTCGTGTCAGGATCTAAAATACTACTACCAAAGGTGCTACCCTCAACTACATAGCCAGTGGTTAGCAAGTCAACTGGGTTAGTCGTTGACGGAGTGTAGGTTGATGGAGGCTCTAGGGGTATTTCCGTCGTTTTGCGAATTATAAATATCGTTTCCGGTGCCGTCACCCTTTCTGTCCACGAGTAATCTTGTGTGGTTGTCGTGAATATATCTAAGGGTAATTGTGTCGATGTTGTTGCTGTTTCTGCAATGTTAAATTGTCTTGGGGTGCTAAAATACGTAGAAGAGCTTGGTACCGAGGTTGTTGTACTCGTTGATGACGTTGTCGGGGGAACGGGCGTCTCCTCAGGTTCGTCCTCCTTCTCCGCCAGTTGATTCACATCCGGGGCCAAGGCGCTGAAGGTGGTGGTTTCCGTGGTCCGTGACAGGATTTTGTACCTTTACGGAAAGACGAAAAGTGTATTAGAATTTGGATATAAGAAATTTGTATAGTTAGTCCTTGTTTCGAAGCTGTTATTTACGGGCCATTAGACAATATCCTGAAATTATAGTAAGTGCAAGGCAGTATAGATAGTCAATTAATTAGAGGCACTAATATTTAGAAAGCATGTGAGGAAATGTATTTTAAGGATTAACTTATATACCTGTTAATTGCATTCAATAGAGGTGCTTCAGTTTCCACTTCATCCGGTCCAGGAGATGCCGCAGTTGAAGTTCTCCTGATGCTCACATACTGATTATTGGGCACGGATCTCTCACTAGTTGGACTCACTCTATCGTAGCTAATTTCCTCCTCAGGAAAGTCCTCTTCCTCCGCTTCGTCAGCAATATCTGCACTGACAACGGGATTCTTCGGCCTTCCCCTTCGAATGTTCACATAATTTTGCTGCGGAAGCGTGTGTCGCACGAAAGTGGGCTCAGTCCTTGGAGCATCCGGGAGACTCTCGTCGAAACTCCCAATTTCCTGTTCGTCTGTGGACTGAGTGGCTCTCGGCCGGCTGATGGTCACATATTGAGGCTTCTCACGCAGGAATCCCTCAAACTCCGGCAATTTATCCACTCCAGCGTTTTGAGGCCCGGGACGAGAGTTCCTCACAATTGGAGTGTACTTGGAAGTGCTCCTCACTCGATTTTCACTTGCGCTGTCTGAACCAAAACGATTCTTAAAGGATTCAAGATTGCTGCTTGAGGCCCTGCTGAGAATCTTGTCATAGAGCGATTTGCTAATACTGGCCGCTGTGGTTGTTACGGTCTCTTGTGGATTGTCATTATTCTGGGTGTGGAGTTGCTTCTCCAGTTCCTCCAAACCGCCCGCCTTTTTAATCAATTCAATCAACTCCTTAATGACTTTAGGATCTTCAGCATCCTCTGTATCTGAGCCTTCTTCCCTCTCGTCTACGAGTTCCTCATCGTCGTACTCGTAATCATCCTGAAAAGAAAAGAATTCATTATATCTTCGACATACATTCAATTTTTGCTATTATTCTCACATCATAGACAGGGGATGGGGTTGTCGTTGTGGTTGTTGTTGATGATGCTCTTAGGAATGTATATTTGCTCGTAGCGGCCGTAATTGGACTCTTCCTGGTAGTTGTCGAAGGAGCAAAAGTTGTAGTTGTGGTCGTGGAGGAAGAACTAGTCGAGGATGAGGATTTGGACTTGGAGCAGATCACATTCCGGGAATAGTCACATGAATCCGCCGCTTTGTTGAAGTACAATCCCGACGGACATGTGAACTGATGCGCCACAATGCCCAATTCCGATGGTCCGCTATCCAGACACCAGAAGTACTTCTTGCAGTCGCGCGGATGTGGGAAGAAGCCCTCATCTTCGCACTTGAAATCACTGCCTGGGTCAGGAGTTGTCGGTGGAGCGGGCGTTGTGCTGGTTCTCATGGACACATAATCCTGCACAGGTTCGGGAGTGGTTGTCGTGGTAGTGGTGGTCGTTGTGCTGGTCCTCTTCCGGTGACCAGGCTTTCGTCGATTTGTTGTGCGCGAAATAACATTGCGATCATCCTCCTCCGTGATGCGATTCTTAGTTGATGGACGCGGTCGTGGGCGACTTGTATTCTTCTTGCGACTTCGCGTAATAACGTCATTGTCACTGGAACTACAAAAGACATTCATTAATCATCATTTTCGCAGAGGTGGGAACCCGGGAAAGTGAGGAAATCTCTCAATGCGCCATTACTCACCCGAGATTGAGGTAGAGGGAGTCTTTAGCTGCCTCGATGATTGGATAGGGCTTCCCAGTGCAAGTTCCACGGAAATCGTCATTGTCTATCGACCAGAACATTATTCCTCCCAGTCCATTTGATGCCACATATTCTGCCTTCCGGCGAGCAATGGCTTCGTCATCATAGCCGACCCACTGGTTGCCTTTGAAAGCGTACGGGCCCATGGCTTTGTCATTTGGCTGTACCACAGTCCATTCTGAATCCTCCTTGATCATCTGGCAGATCTCGTAGTAGGAAAGGTATCCCTTTTCCCTCGTGGCATCACCCTGAGCACCCGGGCCGTCAGAAGGAGCGCCTATTTCAGTGGCTTCAGGGTTGAAAAGAGTGTAGGATCGTCCGTAAGTTGGAATCCCCACAACCAGCTTATCCCTATCAGCTCCCTGGTTCAGGTAGAACTTTATCGTGTAGTCCTGGGAACAAAAACAGAAGAATTTGAGACTTCAATGGTAGAGGAATAGTTTTAGGGACTTACGATATTCAGTTCCGCGTCAAAATTGTACTCGTCGTCCTCCTGAAGCGACAGCAGAGGAGAATGATGATTGACTGCAGGCTCAAAAGCACTGTGGTAATCGTAGGTCAGTAGATTGAACCAATCCAAGTACTTATTGAGCTTCGGGATGTCGTAGCCCTTCTCAATGTACTCAGTTCCCGCGGGAACTGCCATGGTGAGAAGAAGTCGAGGTCTGCCAGTTTTGGAGGATTCCCTGTCGAACTCTTCCCGCAGTTCCTGCACAAATTGGGCGTAATTCTCCCGATCGCGTGGTTTTCCGCCATCGCGGAACGCCGGGTATTCCCAGTCCAAGTCGAGACCATCGAAGTGATTCTGTCGGAGGAATTTGATGGTGTTCCTCACGAATTGCTGTCTCCGCTCAGCACTGGCGACCATTGGCGAGAACCGCGATGAGGCCTCATTCCAGCCACCGATGGCCAGGATGCACTTCAGGTTCTTGTTGTAGGTCTTAAGGCCGGTGAATTTGGCATAGCCGCCCTGCTCGATGTCCTGGTACTTGTCGAAGGGCTTGAGGGCGTTGTCTTTGGTGAAGCCGCCGAAGGCGTATATCAAGTGTGTGCAGAGATAGGGATTGATGTTCTGTGGGTTGAACTTCGCCGTTGACGGACGGTACACTGACCAATTTGTGTAGTAACAGACTACACGATTGCCGGCTGTACTGCCGACCGTGTGGACTGTGGCGCACAGAACGCTGACTAGAAGCAGGTACACAGAAAATCGCATCCCTCCGTGAGGTGACTGAAAGGATGAGGAAAAGAACGTCAAAATTGTTACATCAATTATTAATGAGGAAGAAGTTCGTTCAGCAAAGAGGTTGTTGAAGACAAAAGGGTATAATATGCTTATTTAATTGCATATTAAGTGCAATTATTCGGTATGTGTTTCAAAGAGAGCGCGAGAAAGGGAAGTCATAAAGAGCTCTTGTGATTTCGTTAGCACCATCGATTGAATCTCCGGTGGTTACATGAAATGAGAATACTTAATTTTATTGACCGTAGCGCTATTGCCGCAAGAACTCTGAACACGTCTTACAATTACCATTTGGGCGGATGTTCTCATGGACCTCAAACACTCTGAATTTTTATCACACAAAATTCTGTCCTATTCGGCCTTCATTGCACAAGAAAATCCACAACTTGGCTTTTCTTCAACAATTATCTCACTCTGGACTAAAATATATTTCTTTTCTTCAGCAACCAGAGCATAAATTGATTCGCAGAAATGTTGATGCATCTGCAATTTCTTACATCTCTCATACCTTCACTGGGCAAGAAGAAATTTGTCTGAGCAATTTCCATTAATTTCCACTGATGGAGAACTCTCTTGCAAATTTTCGGTTGAGGAATTTTGTGAGTGAATTTGCATTGAGAGACGAAATTGGCAACGAGAGTGGAAATGAATGAAAACAGTCTTGAAGTGGAGTGACCCAATAAACTCTTATGTATGCAAACTTCAAATCCAATCTCATGTCAATTGACTTGTTTTGGTCTCTATTCTCAGTGTAGGTACAACATTCCAGGTTGCGTTGTAGTATTTTGAGGGGCTTGTTATATAAAGAGCCGCGTCTGTAGAGAAATATCGCACATAAAACAGTCTTTAACATTCTACTCCCATTGTTCGTCTCTCCGCAAAACTCGTGGACGGAAAAAAGAGGTGATTTACCAATTTTTGCAATCATGACCACTCCAGTGCTCCCTCCCTTCTTACTCATTCACACTCAAATGGAATAGATCCGAGAAACAAGTGGAAAGCAAGTGGGAAAGAAAGAATAGTTAATATCCCATTTGGAGTTGAGGACTTGCGACACTTTTTTCCGCACACTCGCACTTTTAATTGCAATTGTCTTACCATCTGATTTATTAACAATTTCAATTGCGACACGACTCAGAGTCCCACCGCTTTTTTCCTGCCGTCTTCTGTGGCCAGTGCCCCAGAAATGGGAGCAAGATCTCATGATGATTGAGCTATAGGCTAAATACGTCAATTCAGACAATAAAAAAATGCTTATGGGAAAGAGATAAATTTCATTTTAAATGCATAATTATGACTGTGCTTGTTGCCACTTTGCCGGAAGCTATTCTCTTTTTTTCGCGCTTTTCCGTATTGTGGGAAAAGTATTGGGATTGATCAACAAAGAGTGTTGCATTGATTTTCTTCACTCGAATGATTTTAGGTGTCTTGAGATCATTTTAGCATTAATCAAATTTACTGTGCATAATAAAACATGATCATTGAAGATTTTTCCATCGCCTTTGCGATACATCATAAAATGATCTAAATAGCCACACTTAAACATGAGAAGACCTTTTGCATGTTCGTGTTTGGGCAAGATGTAAATTTTGTCCTATTTTCCCTCCAACAAACTAAAACTTTTTGTTATTAAACTGTAATGCTCAATCACAAGATTTCTTTTAGCACCTGGAGTGGGTATTATTTTGAAAAGAAACTCCCAACTAACGAAATGGCAATGCGCAATGCAAGCCAAATTTTAACTTCACCTTCACATAAGTCACGATTCTCTTCAAGCCATTTTCACTGTAATCACTTTTTATTCAAGTGATCGTTTTTTATTGTTCCCCGGCAAATCGGTAAATAATTTGTGTTTAAGTAAGATTGAAAGTAACTGTTTCAATTGAATTGTCTTAGCCGTCAATGAAATCATAAAAGTGTCTCTTTTGTAGAAAGGCTGAATGGGACACGGATCAGCAGCGGAAGGAACATCAGTCGATTGTTAATTAATACGTGAATTTATGTGTGGATTATCTATTTGCTAATTAGGCAGAAGAGAAGGCGCACTTGGAAAAGCTTGAGCCATTTGCAGTGAGCTTGAAGGCGAAAAAGAGATTGTCTAGTTGAGTGATGAGAAAAAATCACTCAATAAATTACTGTGACAGAGGTTTTTTCACCTTCTACAAATAGGGAATCTCGCACAAAAATGGGAGGGCAAAAAGGCCTCTGAATGATCTCCAAGAGCGTGACCAATCATCAATTAATCCATTGACAATGATGAAGATTTATTTGGCTTCCATTTAGTACACTTTTCTCTATATTTCCTCACGATCTTTAACTTGAGTGATGCAATTATGCGAGCATACGGCAAAAAGTATTTCTAGATCACGTATTTAAATTTATAAATCTCATGAATGAAGAGTGACGAAAAAAGGCTGCAAATTGCATAAGAGGCTGGAGAGAATACGTGAATAAATATTAGTTAATATATGTGACATGCTGTTAACATGAAATTGTTGAGTGAAAGATCATCTTCTATTGACAAACTTTCTTCAAATACTTCGTAGTGATTTGTACACAAAAATTTTCGTATTACAGCATCACTTTCTTCTCTCGAACGGAAATCACAAGGCGCGGATCAATTACCAACATTCGGAAGATCATCTTCAGGTGAGAAAAATCACGATAATCAAATACATTTGATAACATGGCAAATATATTGTGAAATGTGGGGAAATTTCGCAATTATGAAATGTCTTTAACACACTTTGCCAAATTTCTTTGAGTGTTTTTTTATTATTAAAAAAAAAGATTTTAGTATGTCATTTTGAAGTTATTGCGTGAAAGAAGAAAGCCTTTTCACTATACTAATATCTTTCTTTTTATTCGATAAATAAAAATACATATCTTTCTCCCTGTGTTATTCAATGAACGTATTGAAAATGGACTTCGATATCGTGTCGAAATTCAATATATTTTCAACTGGTTTCATTTTTATCATAGTCAATATTCATAAATATTCCTGTTGAATCACTCAACACGAATTATTAAGTAAAATATCTTGAGCAACATGAATTTATTTTGGGTGTTGTGTCGACAGACAGTAAGTGTTGAATAGTGATTCGATAATTTTTGGTAATAATTGTCACTTGAGTTGCATAAAGATCTAGAATTTATTAGGCACACAGAGTGGCACAGTGACACATGGTCGAGAAAAAACTTCCACCTTTCTGGCCTCATGAAATCCAATATCTAACCACAATCTTAAGACCTTATCTCATCTTTCTCTGCGCATTCATTTTCACACCGACAATCTTGACCTTGCTGAAAATAAAACCATAGAGATCATTGACAAAAAAGAGTCAGTTTGCATGAAAAAGTTAAGACTGCACTCCCACTTTTCCGCCCGGAATGTAAGTATGTAAATACACTCGAGAGGCGAACGAGAAAAAGTCCTAAACTTGTATGCTCATCGACAATCGTGCTCGAGAAAAGAGTATTGTATAATAAAATCGCATAATTTTAAAATGTTAAATATTTAAGCATCACGAGACGACATCCAACCGCAGATCAAACTATGTATTTACTTTGCTGTGTCTCTCTTTCGCTCGTGCATACATATTCAGTGTGGGGTGACGAGAAAAAAAGCCCGAGAGGAACTTTGAATGCCATGGGGAAAAGCTTGAATCGCGTAGTTGGCAAAGAGAAGTGTGAGTGAGAGAAAGAGGAATTATAAACACGATTGGTGACAAAAGAGTCTCAGTTTGATATCCACATAGATATTTAATATTTTCAGTGAAAGTCTCGTGTCGATTGCATTATACAAGATTCAAATCTGCTCGTGTCTTTATGCCGATGCTCCACAAAGCATCACTTTTGCTCTTGGTAACATCACCCAATCACAATAAATCTCTCCATTCATACCAATATTTTAGTCTAGAGACCAACACAACGCTCTAATTGAACTGTATATAGAATATGTAGGCCTTTTTTCCACCAATTTTGCCTACTTTATATGTCACGCATTTCATATTCACTGCAGATTTTCTCATGGGCATTTTATGATAAGCCATTTATGGACATTTTATGTCAATCATCATGAGGAATTTCCCGTGGACGCATAATTCATGGGCTGTTTGTATTTCCATGAGAGATAAATTCTCCCTTTGGATGTTTTGCAATACTACAAAAGCCATTTTTCACCGATCAATTAAGGAGAACGTGCCTCCTTCGCGCTTACACACACACACATTTCCGTCATCGGCAAAAGTAAAAGTCTTTTACCCGGAAAAAGTGCGCCAAAGGAGCGAATTATGAAATATTCTCATGATTTTTGTGCTGGTTCATATGAAATAAGCCGTAGAGCATTTGAATAGAAGGAAAAGACACACGCAGTTTTAAATATAGCAAACAATTGCCCATTAAAATGTATTTTATTCTCAGTGACAAGCTCAGTAGAAAATGCGACAAGGTTCTCATAGTTTTTCCACCACATACTTTGGCTAAACTCCACAATGAACCCATGTAGTCCGGCCAAGGAGCCGCAATTGTCTGTCCAGCTCCAGATCCTTGTGAAAAAGAACGCACACAAAATCTCGGTTTCGCACCCATAAATCTAGAGCAATGAACTGACCATCCAGGTGGGCCTTCTTGTGTGCGCGTAGCATGGAAAAGTCGCCGATAATTGCGGCTACATAACATTGATATTACAATTATAGTATGTGAAATGCCATGGGAGAGATATTTTAAATATTACTCGTCTCTCTGGTCGATTTTCTTGTGAAATCCATGTGTGTCCAAGTGTCCAACTGCGAAGAGATTATCACAGTCATTGCGCAAGGTTTTTATTAATATTTTCCCTCCGCATATGAAGTGCAGACTGAATGTCCATTAGCAAAGTCATGAGAGATATATCGTCTACTTTCCGCTTTAGTATACCTCTTTGTGAATTAAATTACAAATACCAGTTTAGATGGGAATTTCTCTGCTCTAATTCTAGGTCT